AAAATAAATAATTTTGATGTTCATAGTACGAAGTGAAAATTTTTAGTTATACCAAACACTTATCAAAGCTGGTATATAGACCAGATATAACCCTGAATAACATTAAATAACAAAAAAAGCAATACAATTAGTATCAACAGGTCAAATAAGCAAGAAAGTACGATTTGAGAGTACTCGCAGTTACTGACAGCTAGTTAAAAGCCAAAACAATTAATAATAAAAATCATGCATCAGAGACTAAAATCAACTAAAACACATCCCAGGGATTTAGTATTTTAACGTCATGGATAGTCAAAGAAGACATGACTAGTGCAATGCCAAAAATAAATGTATCGACAGACAGTAGGATAGTTAGGAGTTTAACCTCTTTATAGATCTAAATGAACGTGGGTGTGTCTTTATACATCCCGCTTGAAAAAAATACAAATTTAGTTATGTTTTAATTTGATGATGACAAAATCGATATTAGTGCCAATGTAATCTATATTCAAAGATCTTATTACAACATTGGTAAGATAACCTTTACTAAGACCCCGTTCACACTAGGACATTTAGATCGATTTAAACTAGATCGGTTCACTTTAGATCGATTTAAGGGCCAATGTGAACGCGTTGAATCGATCTTCAATCGGTCTAAACTAAAACACCAAAAGAGGTAGTTTAGTTTGAATCGATCTAAAGTGAACCGATCTAACTTTAAATGTGAACGCAGAGATCGGTTTAAACTAGTACGAATGAATCGAAAATAATGTATGCGCATGTATAGCGGCACAACTATATCAATGGTTCGTTGTTTAACCCATATTTGTCTGTTAACAGACCTTTGTGTACATGCACGTAAAAACAAACTGAAAACATGTTGTCTTCGCTGTAGCATAAATATGCGAAATCTGTGTCTTCTTTTTTTAGTTGATTTTTTTCTTTTCAGGAACCGCAGTATTTCGTCGTGTTGTAACTTCGTTGCTACAGTTTTTTGTTTCAAAATCAAAGAAAACAGCAAGAACACCAGTATCAAAATTTGAACTTGTGATTCAAGAGAAACAATAACTTCATCCATTTTTTTTCAAGTGTGTGTATCAGTGTATCAACACATCAATTTGATAAATTAGTTCTATCTATACACAATGTTTACAATTTTACGGGTAATAAGGTCAGATCAATTGCATTTTTTATTGTAGTGTGAACGCACTGGTTCAGATTAGACCGATAGAGATCGTTATGATTATAAAGATAATGTGAACGCAAACTGGTTTTATTTAGATTGATTCAAATTAGATCGATTAAAGAAAAATTCGTAAGGGTTCCGCGGAACCCAGTGTCTCGCCTACTTTTGCTGTTAATCACAGGCTCAACAAAAATGAGGAAAAAAATTAATAAAAATATTCCTCTCTATACTATCTTTTGAATGTAAGAAGCTTCTGTCCAAGTTTGGTAAAAATCCAGGATAGTTTATGAATCTAATAAATTTTTTAAAATAAAAACTTAAACTGCAGACTGTTATGTAATGTTAACTGGAAGAAAAACTAAGTCCATTTATAAGTAAAATACGGAAAAAAATGGAACAAAATTTTAACAAAATTTCCTTTTAGATACTAGCTTTTAATCATAAACAAGCTTCTGTCCAAGTTTGGTACAAATCCAGGATAGTTTAAGAAAGTTGTTAAAATTTAAAAAACTTTAACCACAGAGTGAATGTAATGTTAACTGGCAGAAAAACTAAGTCCATTTATAAGTAAAATACGAAAAAAATGGAATTTTTTTTTTACAAAATTTACTTCTGGATACTATCTTATGATCACAAACAAGCTTCTTTCCAAGTTTGGTACAAATCCAGGATAGTTTAAGAAAGTTATTTAAATTTCAAAAACTTTAACCACAGAGTGAATGTAATGTTAACTGGCAGAAAAACTAAGTCCATTTATAAGTAAAATACGGAAAAAATGGAATTTTTTTTTTAACAAAATTTACTTTTGAATATTATCTTATGATCATAAACAAGCTTCTGTCCAAGTTTGGTAGAAATCCAGGGTAGTTTAAGAAAGTTATTAAAATTTCAAAAACTTTAACCACAGAGTGAATATTTGTGGACGCCGCCGACGACGACGACGACGACGACGCCGACGGAATGTAGGATCGCTATGTCTCGCTTTTTCGACAAAAGTCGAAGGCTCGACAAAAATGCTAGTGTGAACGGGGTCTAATAAGTATGTTTAAAGGTTCGATGAGTTTACACGGATCACATAGTGATTTCCGCGTTTTAAGTACAATATTACCGTAAAATTTAGGATGTGAAATACCGTTTTTAATCAGTTTTCTACAAGTACAGCCAAATTTACTAATCAAATCTTTGTATCTATGAAAGAACTTAGCAAAAGTTTTACGTAATTTATGGTAACGAAATCCTTGATTTAATAATTTACCAGTGATGCATTGATTACGTTCGTTAAAATCTATGACATCACTACACACACGGGCATAACGAACGAGTTGGGATATATAAACACCGTATGATGGAGCCAAAGGAACATCGCCGTCTAAAAAAGGAAAATTAACAATAGGGAATGAAAAATCGTCTCTTTTGTCGTAAATTTTCGCCGCAGTATGGAGTTTTCCTTTAGAGATTGAAATGTCCAAATCCAGAAAAGGACAACTACTGCTGTTTATGTTAGATTTAGTTAAAGTAAGTTCTATTGGGTAAATTTCGGTAGTATATTTAGAGAACTCATGCAGGATTATTTAACGAAAAAATATCATCTAGATAACGGAAGGTATTGTTGAATGTATCAACCAAATGTAACAATGACGTGTCTTTTCTGAGTTTGGTCATAAACTGAGATTCATACAGGAATAAATCTGCTATTAAAGGGGCGCATTTAGTGTCCATAGGAATACCAACTACTTGTCGATACACTCTATCGCCGAAACGTACATATATGTTGTCCAGGAGAAAATTTAAAGCTTCAATCATATCTTTACATTTCCAGTAAGTGTATCTAGCATACTTTCCTTTTTCGTTACAGAAAAAGGCTTTAACGAGTTACAGCAAATAAATTTGTAATGAGATTTTTCAAAAGACCATTTAATTAAATATGAAAACTTTTTCTTGATAAGATTGTGTGGAAGTGTAGTATAGAGAGTAGAAAAATCATAACTGTCAACAGAATTAAAAAGACCATCAAAAGCATGTATTTTATCTAAAACCTCTAAAGAATTTTTAACACTCCAAAAATAATTAATACCATTATTTTCATAAGATTTATTACAAAAGTTAATAACCAGTTCTTTGATAGTAGTAAGGGAGGTAGTTAGAAGCACTGATAGATTAGTAGTAGAACACTTACTAGATGCGGAGATGAAACGGAATTTAAATGGTTTTTTGTGCAATTTAGGTAACCAGTACATAGTAGGGACTTTCAAATGTTCGAAAGAGGCTTTAAGCTGGGTAGTGGCAGTGATATGCATTTTTGTATTGATTTTCTCCTTGTCATATTTTTGGAACATCAGCAATAATAATTAAGTTTAAATTCAATTGGCTTAGAAGTTTCAGAGGGAGGATTTTGTAAATAGTTCTTACTGTCCCTTTGGGCCAGGTGAGCTAACAACTTAAGATTTACAACATTCTGATGAAACTGTTATTTTACATCAGTTTCAATGAGCATCTTTGTCATTAAAGCATCCGTGTTCTTTATTCAGTCACTACAGAATAAAGAACCTTTCCATATATAAGTGTAAACTCTTTATAAAATCCCATAACTGATTACTTTTTGACAGACATTCTTACAATTTAAAGTTTTAAATAAGGACATACCCTGGTACATGATTTCAGCAATATATACCAACTAAAACAGCATTATATAGCAAATATGTAGTCTCAGCAATATAGACTAACTAAAACAGCATTATATAAACAAACATGTAGCCTCGGCAATATATACCAACTCAACCAGCATTATATAAACAAACATGTAGCTTCAGCAATATATACCAACTCAACCAGCATTATATAAACAAAAATGTAGCCTCAGCAATGTATACCAACTAAAACAGTATTATATAAACAAAGATGTGGCCTCAGCAATATAGACCAACTAAACCAGCATTATATAAACAATCATGTAGCCTCAGCAATATAGACTAACTAAACCAGCATTATATAAACAAACATGTAGACTCAGCAATATAGACTAACTAAACCAGCATTATATAAACAAACGTGTAGCCTCAGCAATATTGACTAACTCAACTAGCATTATATAAACAAACGTGTAGCCTCAGCAATATAGACTTACTCAACTAGCATTATATAAACAAATGTGTAGCCTCAGTAATATAGACTAACTCAACCAGCATTATATAAACAAACGTGTAGCCTCAGCAATATAGACTAACTTAACCAGCATTATATAAACAAACGTGTAGCCTCAGCAATATAGACTAACTCAACTAGCATTATATAAACAAACGTGTAGCCTCAGCAATATATAAACAAACGTGTAGCCTCAGCAATATAGACTAACTAAACCAGCATTATATAAACAAACGTGTAGCCTCAGCAATATAGACTAACTAAACCAGCATTATATAAAAAAACATGTAGCCTCAGCAATATAGACTAACTAAACCAGCATTATATAAACAAACGTGTAGCCTCAGCAATATAGACTAACTAAACCAGCATTATATAAACAAACATGTAGCCTCAGCAATATAGACTAACTAAACCAGCATTATATAAACAAACATGTAGCCTCAGCAATATAGACCAACTAAACCAGCATTATATAAACAGACATGTAGCCTCAGCAATATAGACTAACTAAACCAGCATTATATAAACAAACATGTAGCCTCAGCAATATAGACTAACACAACCAGCATTATATAAACAAAACATGTAGCCTCATCAATATAGACTAACTAAACCAGCATTATATAAACAAACATGTAGCCATACCAGGACAACAGTTAATCCTTCCCTGTGACTAAAGTAAGAAATACAATCAAAGAAATCATCTTTTATTTATTCTTGCTTTTATTTGTTGTGTTTATTGCTGCAGGACATACTTAATGTGAATAAAAATTTCACTAACAATTGTGCATCTTGTAAAATCAAAAGCAAAAACATCAGTCGCAATTCACATCAACTGTTAATCATACATTAAATAAATTATATACATGTAAATGCATTTTTGGCATACATGTACTAGAAAAAATTTGTCTCCAAATTCTAGTATAAAGAAATTCAATAGATTTGTTATTGAAGAAATCATACATCATAAGGTCAAAATTTTCATTTCTTTCTATGAAAAACTAGAGAAATCATTGCATGAAAAAAACATGCAAAATATCAATAGTCTACAACAAAGGTATCAAAGTCAGGACCTAGAAACACTAGAGATGAAAGGTCAATGAGTACCACGATAGTATGTAACACATCATCGTATTGTGATACGTCCATTTGTATTACATGTCTATAACAAAACAAAATAAGAATCTAGCCAATGCATACATATGAATGAAAAAAAAATACAATTTAACCTTGAGGTCAAAGGTAAAATGTTTGCCATGATGATATTTGATTTTTAGGTGTATGGTGTTATACTCACATGCCAAAGGAGTTCACATTAAGATGTGTGCTGAACAAAATACTATTTAGTAATTAAATTTCATATGGACATAAATTGATATTGAGAACCATGTCTCCATCTTCATCTCAGGATCTAAAATGTTCAAGTTTCATGTTAATCTAACAACTGCTAGCTGATGGAGTTGGGTAAACAAGATGTGTTCTAGACTCCATAAATACAAATCAAGTTCAAAGGGACATAACTATTGGAAAGCAAATTTGACTAGAAATATTTCATACAGGAATTTTATACACACCAAAATCTGTAATCTTGCAATTTCCATGTAATGGGAGATAGACTTGTTCCAAGATTAATGAAAGTTTCCATAAAGGCATACGTATCAAAAGGGATCAGAACTATGGTAAACAGTATCATTTGTTCTTGAACATGTTGAAACAGTATGTAATGTATAAACATGGGTGGTTAAAAAGATGATAAATTTCATTTATATCCCAACAAAAACTGTAGGGAAACTTTTGTTCACAAGGCAAGGAAGAAATATCCAAGATGTTGTTCATAACAAAGTAAAGTTAAAATACTTGTTAAAGTTGATTCACATATTTTTCTTGCTTTTAAAGTTATGCTTATAAAATGTCAAGGCAAAAAAGTACATGTTTACATAATGAATCTGGAAAATGTCTGCAATCTTTGACAAAAAATGTCCTGAAATTTTAGTAAAAATAGGATGCACCTTTGGTAAATCTAAATCAAGTAGTTTCAATCCAACAAATCCAGCACAACATAGGATAGACATTATAAATGGATATTTACAATCACTAGATGGAAATTTTTGATAGGCCAATATAGCTCCAATTATTGCTATGACTATATGAACTCCAAGTCCAATCTCAAACCCTACATCTGTATATAATGTCAAAGTATAGCTACCAACAGAAAATATCATACACTGAATGATTAAAATCAAATTCCAACCAGATGTTAGAAAATGTCCCCACACAAACACCCACATAAAGAGTGGGTATGTATACCATTGATCTAAAACAGCAAATTGTTGAAGCTGAGTTAGAATTCTTAAAAGTTGTATTGGACCATAACAACCAGCCATAAAATTGAATATATAGGATATATATGCATCAATTAGCGTGATCCTATTTGCTTGGAATGCTGCTGATGTATAAGCACACCAATATGCTCCCATTATAACATATCCAAAATTAACAGCTGAATTTAGTGGCATCTTCATCCATTTTGGTAACAGAGCTTTCATTCCTAGTCCTGGTCTCTCAGCATAATGTTCAATACCATTTTCTGTGAAGACTGAATCAAACAGACCTATGTAGACTAGGTAAAAAATGGAACAGGATGGTAAAATGACACTTAGAAATGCTCTGAACATTACTTTGTACATAGCAAAACCTGGAAATATACAAAGAAAACATATAAGTTAGGTAAATATTGTAAAACAACATTGACATTAATAGAGATTTAGAGCTTGATTTGGTACAGATATTTGTCTATTGTTGAGGACAAGATGCTAATGTCTGAATGTCATTTGGGGTCTTGTTGTGTTGTTGAGTTAATGTCTTCTTGATGCAAATATTGTTCCAGCAAGGTTATGGAGAAAACAACTACAAGTTTTTCTAGTCATCATCATGAATTGGTTGACTGTTATGCTGTGTCTGTGTTTTAAATCACAACAGACATGTGTTTGAGGCCTTAGATCTTTAGATACCAGAAGAGTCAACTAATCTGTAAATTAACATATTGTGTCTTTTCCCTATTTTTAAAACAGAGGCGAAAGATACCACAGGGACATTCAAACTCATATGTCAAAAATAAACTTACAACGCCATGGCAAAAAAAGTAAAAGACAGACAAACAACAGAACACAAAACACAACATAGAAAACCTAAGACTGAGCAATTTTACATTTTAATTGAGTGTTATTCGCATTGTGTGTGATGCATACATAAAAGGAGATGTTTACCATCTTGCTCAGTTTGAAATTCATGTGATTCTTTCGAGTTTTTCATGTTTTACCTTAATTTGTATTATATATTCTAAATGGGTTTACCAGATTTTAAAATTGGTTGTCTAATGTTGTCTCTAATACCCAACATCTCTTTTATTGATATTAAAAACAATAGACAAGTAATGTTCTGCTTCTTAATATTGAGGTGTGATTGAATTTTGAGAATTTCTTATAATTCAAAAAGACAAGAAAAGTTACGTTTTATTAACATGTAATTTGAAAACAAGAATATGTGTCCATAGCTGTGTGACACACCCCCAACACACACTATCACATTTCTGTGTTCTGTGAATTACAAGATCTTTGTCAAAACCCTCATTTGGTATATATAGTTTTAAAAGTTCTCATCATATTGAGCATGTGTATTAAGCTTCAATTGAATGTGACCACAACTGCATGTTAAACTACCTTAAACTAAAACTCAAACCTGGTATTAGAGAGGGAGTGACGTAAAGACACATCAGATGGACTAATAGACCAATTATCATAAAGCCTCTTGATAATTATGAATGGGGCATAAAAAAGTAACTTTATAGCAAAATATGTAATTTAAAATTTTCAACCAAAACTTATATTTTATATTTATGAAAAACAGAAATGTTGTTCATATAGCTGACTTCCAAATAAACATCTGAAAACCCTGTCCTGCATTCAGTACAACCATGAAACAGTTTTTTCATATCAGTGGGGTAGTACACAAAAAATAAATTCGCCTGAATAACATCAGCTGATTAACCTAAGCTTCACATGCATTCTCAATGTAATTTGTAGTTTCAAAATTATATTTGATGATGCAGTCCTCTACAGAAGAAAAAATAACCCAGTATAGTCTACATGTATAGGTACCAGGCCAGTGACAGTGCTACTAGAAGCCTCTAAAGTGTCTTTATCAACGTTTCTTTTTATCACACTTTTGTTTGGGACAAAACTTTAAATTTTCAGTGTTTAAAAACCTTATGTTCAAGGGTAAATAATGGGCTCAAGTAGGGTACCCCTAGGTCACAAGATCATGTTTAAAAATTGACTCGGGTCATTTTAAGCAAATTTGAAAGCAACTGCAATCCATACAACAATTTTAAAAACATTCTTAAAGGTCACAGGTCCTTTTGAATGAGATGTCAGGACACAGGGTCGCCCACCAATAAATTTTCCTTAAATATCAAATTTAAGATCTTACTATCAATTTTAGCAACATCATGATCTGTGGATTTTTCTTTTCCTAAAGAGTCTTCAACATTATCTGGCTTCACTCTTTTCCTTGTTGAGGTTATGTTTTCAGCCATTGTGTTGTTGTGTGTAAATATTTTCTCTAAAATGAAAAAAATAAAACTTTATAATATACATAATAAAATTCTAAACAACTAATTTCATCTTGATACAGTAATGCCAGTTTCATGTATGCTTACTGCATTTAATACAATTATTACTGTTGACATTTTATAAATCTTTTGTTTGTAGTGCTTTAGTGCAATATTACATGATGTACTTAGTTGTTTGTATTGCTTTAGTGCAATATTACATGGAGTACTCAGCTGTTTGTATTGCTTTAGTGTAATAGTACTGAAGTACTCTACCATTGTCTGCTGTTTGTACTGTTTTAGTGCAATATCACATGATGTATTCAGCTGTTTGTACCTTTTTTGGTGCAATATTACATGAAGTACTCAGCTGTTTTTATTGCTTTAGTGCAATATTACATGAAGTACTCAGCTGTTTGTATTGCTTTAGTGTTATAGTACATGAAGTACTCAGCTGTTTTTACTGCTTTAGTGTAATAGTACATGAAGTACTCAACTTATTATACTGCTTTAGTGAAATATTACATGAAGTACTGGGCTGTTTGTACTACTTTAGTGCAATATTACATGAAGTACTCAGATGTTTGTACTCAGGGTTCTAACTAAGGAATTTTGAAGGCGAGTAATTTTTTACCATATACATAATATAGAGTCGAGAAATAGTGAGAAGATGAAATTTAAATTATTTCAGTCCCCATGACAAAATAGAGAAAGGAAATGACATCAAGTTTTGATAATTTTTAAATTTTTGTCATAAAATGATGATGTTTGTGCTCAGTTGATACAGCATATTACAATCTTGATGCATCTTTGGACTCACCAGTTTTTAAAATGATGAGTCCAGACAGATTTTCACAAGTCCAGGACTCACAAACTTCCCTTTGCCATTCAGCTCATTGCCCAAATGTTCATTAATATCATCTGTCTCGCAACTTTTTTATGTATGGATAGTAAAATAAGGAATGATATATTCGCCCAAAACAAAGTCAGACTGTCATGAAATAGAATTTCTTTCATAATGTAAATTCTATATGGAAGAAATTTTCAGTAACATTTTTCCACTTACAGAAAAAGGATATAGAATATGTGTTCCTGAACAGAAATAGATATAATGGCATAATGGTATTATTTATAACAAAGTTTCCAGGGGAACTTCTGTTAAGCAGAACAAATATACTTTGACAAGACAAGCATATGATAGTCAGATAGTAGTGTTAAGCACATGTATGAAATGTACTTTTAAAATTAACTTCAGTTTTACACAGATATTTTTTTTAATCAGTGCAGGTATATTTGTACATAGTCTTCAACATTATACCCTAGGGTAGTGTAGGAAAATACCTGAAACTGGACTGAACTGCCATTAGTTTTTTTTTTCATTTTAAATTGTTTCACATTTTTCATATCGGAGCCTTTTACAGCGGACTGTATGGATGGCTTTTTCTCATTGAAGGATGTACAGTAACCTATACTTGCTTATATCCAGTCATTTGAACTCTAGTAGATATTTGTCTCAATGGCAATCATACCACATTATGTATCGTGATATTTTGTCCCAATCTATGAAAAAATGTCCAAACTCCAGAGAAGGACAATATTTCATAGATTTATAGTATTGAAATTTTGTGTCCTTAAAGAAAGGTAATCCAAAGTTACTTTTTTTATATTCATGATATTGATACATTATTTCATGGATGGATATTTTGTATTATGAAAGGGAGGTTATAAAAATTAATATTTTGGACAATGATATCATCAGAGTGTTTTACTTTATTGATATAATAAACATATATTATATGTCAGTACTTTACTTATCTTTAAACAGTATAATATAGTAAAATTAACATATTTGATTTTACTAATTTATAAATGCAAACCTGAAATTAGCTTATGATAAAATATAAGTTTGTTTCTAATATAAACTACTTGTCCTACAAATATATAAATTTGTGCATGCTTCATGCTTGTGTATTGAAGATGAGAGTTATTTGATGCAGCATTTCACTGTTGTACACGTATTTTCAAGAACAATATTCTAAAGATTTCTGAAACGCTCTTGTAAGCGTACTTTCATTCCGCCGTGTATTTATTCCGGGTAACTGTTTTTCACTAGAGAATATTGGATGTAAATAGTGTGAAAGCGTCGACCTAAATATTGTTGTTTTGTTTCTAATAGACCGGTTTATTGTTTACATAAATAAATGGGTTAAAATTAGAATGATTTTCAAGGAACCAATTTAATTAATCTGAGTCAATCCAGTAAATAATATTAATGATGATGAGGAAGATATTTTTATAACTCAAAATACTTTATCAATGATCAGAATATTGAGCTTGATATAAACCAAATTTATTGGACAGATTTGTTCTTACATAAAGTTTCAATTATAGAAACATCCTTTGATATTGACATACAAGATATGATTATATATCTAAGTCGACCTAAAAGCAAATACACAGAAAAACTTCAGCAATCCAATAAATATACATATTACAATAAGTGACAACTTAAAAGCATAAGATTTTATAGATTTGCATAGAAAAATTATTTAAATCTGATTCGTTAATAAGCGTTATTGTGTTATCGTGTGTCAAAATGAGTATTAATCACTTCATCAATGTATATAGATCTAAAGCACTAGTGTAATTAATCCCGGTATAAAATAACTAGTGCAATCATTCCGATACAAAAACACTAGTGTGAACATTCCTTGGATGAAAACTCTCCACTTTTTACATAAATCAATTATGCAAGTTTCAAATACACTAAAAACTACTATGCCACATTTTATATATATTTCCCCTTCAAAAAAACTCTTTATATAACCTTATAATGACTGGTGGATGTTTTACACTGTACCCAGATAGAAAAACCTAGTGAATTTATGTTGGTGGATAAAATCACTGGTGATTTTCTTCCTCCAGATAAAGTACACTGGCGGAATCAAACCACTGTTACACTCTCACATTGTCCATGATGTCATGCGTAAGATTTCTCAGGGAAGACATACTTTGATAAGAAATATTGTCATTGACAGTATTTCACTGTGGAATATTGCCGTGGGCAAAAATTCAATGAAATATTGCAGTGACTGTGAATACTAGGCACAGTATTGCACAGTGAAATATTGCTCCACATAAACCGGACAACATTTGATAGAGAAGCTAGGACACTATTTCATAATGAAATAATATCTGGCTGACAATATCTCATGGTGGACATTATTTTAAACAAATTTCTTGATTCCTAATAATTTGGCAAATATGGGGCATTTACAAATCACAAAGTTCATACAACAGTATCCACACAAACAACACATGCATTCTTACATACTATATTCTATTCTATACATATTACTTTATGTTACATTATAGATGACCCGTTGGAAATAATACTTCTTGTATCCAGAACTATTGCAAAAATTTATCTATCAGAAAAACTATTGTTACCCTTGAGTTAATGCAGTCCAACACAGAAAGGTTCTTTTTTGACCCACTCAACAGCTCAAAGGTGTTTTCCTTGTCTATTTTTAGAAAAACTGTAATCCGACCAGGCACCAGTTTTTCCACATTTTAGCTAAAAAAATAACATCCGAATAGAACTTCAACATACAATTTAAAAATGAAAGAGACATATGAAATTATTTTTTTTGTTCCCATTAGATTTACAATATATTTCTTTATTTACGTCCAATTTCGTCATGTGATATGCAAATTTTGTTTGGACATACGGGTAAGCAGATGCATTGTGGGTTAATTTAAATATGGCGGCACCCATATTGAAATGGAAGCGGCTAACAAATGCATCAGGACCATGCCCAAGACCTCGACATGGACACCGTGCAGTTGCAATCAAAGACTTAATGGTCATTTTTGGTGGCGGAAATGAAGGGATCGTTGATGAGCTGCATGTCTACAATACCGGTATGTTTTGTTTACAGCTCTTCGGAATAAAAAAATGGCAGCCATCATTGATAACTGTCAAATTGTAAGAATTTTCATTTGCCAACTCCTGTACTTCTGACAATGAAACAATGACAAAACAGTATCTCTTAATAAATGCTTTTGGTAAAGTCATATCTTTTGGCTGTTTGAAATATAAAAATGGAAATGCTCATTCTGTGAAGGAACTTTTTTGCGGCAAAAACAAAGATGGCGGCACCCTAGATATCTGCTTCATTTAATATTACATTAAATTTGAAATATTTCAATGTTTGACATTCTTTTGATGAATTGCAAAATTCAAAAGTAACTTCATTTTTGCCTTTGAGAAAGTAGGTATATTTATTCAAGTCTATTTTCGCGGTGGGAGAGAGGTTTTTCTCTCTGAACGCGAAGTTGAATAAATCAAAATGGCGGATTGTTTTGCTCAATTTATCGGACCTCCGAGAAGACGCCAATAAATTAAATTCAGAGACAGATTTTAAAAAAAAATTTATTTCCTCCTTTTTCAGAAACAATGGTATTTTTTATTTACACAAAATGGAATCATATTTTGGTTTAAAAAACACTACCGGAAATTACGTCATATTGATCCCATAATGTTTTTAGATGGGGTTCCATTGGGGATTTGGTTTTATGTCGATCTGGCCCTTATTTTAATTCTCACTAATTAGAGAAAAGAATATGAAGATAGCGCCAAGGAAGTTTAAAAACTCTGAAAGCAAATAAATTTACAGAAATATGTAAGTTAATACTTTTGACAAAGTTATTTTTTTTCTTGAAAAATTCAGACATTTCTAAAAAAAAATTGTAATCTACAGTAGCGGATCCACAAATTTTCATAAGTTTGGGTCTACTGGCACTGACTGCCTAAGAGGGGGCCCGCTCCAGTCATGTTTCAGTGATTCTGCCTCTGATCTATGGTGGATATGTTTTGATTGGCCCTATTTTGTTTGCCTTAGAGGGTCTGGATTGGGTTAACAACATTCAGAATATAGGGACTAAAATATATAAAGAAAGAAGAAAATTACCTAAGAGTTCAATTGTATTTGCCCTGTACCATGTATACAGATAGTTTTTATTAGAATAAACTATGGTCAAATTATAAATTTTTCAGCAACAAACCAGTGGTTTGTCCCAGCTGTTAGAGGAGACATTCCACCAGGATGTGCAGCCTATGGCTTTGTTTGTGATGGAACAAGAATTTTGGTTTTTGGTGGAATGGTGGAGTATGGAAAATATTCTAATGAACTATATGAATTACAAGCCAGTCGATGGGAATGGAAAAGATTAAAACCTAGACCTCCAAAGAATGGGGTTCCACCATGCCCAAGGCTAGGTAAGCAATGTGTTGTTGACTTGCTGTTTCATTGAAGTTTACACAAGGACTTGAACATTTCAGTTTGTGGAGGGCAAAAGATTAAAACTGACAGGGTTTTAATGAATTAAAATTGCAAATTCCATAGTAGTCGACCATGCAACATGAAACTTTCGATTCTGAAGTAAACCAGATGTATAAATTTGACTGTAAACTATGAAATGAATTTGGAATTACAATTCAAAACTTTTTCAGATTATCAAATTGCAGTTAATATTGGTGTATTTATTTTAAACTTGTAAAGTGATTCAATTTGATTGATAATTTTTGTACTCATGTTATTTGGCATGAAGCATGTTCCCTTTTACGATAAAAAATGGAATATTGTACTAGTTTAGAAAGGGGGATGCTGATTGCGTTAGTCACCTTTCAATCATATTGCATAGATGCCAACCATTACGGTTTGTCCGTAATTGTTACGATTTATTAGCCGAAATTACGGTGTTACGGCAACAGTCTACTTTTTACGGTTTCCGTTCATTTCCGGTCCTCAACTTTTTTTGTTTAGATAATGTTGTGATCATTTTGATGTTTGAGTGATTCAGAATATAAAACACTTTCTGGTTTCTCAGGACTTTCTATATGTTAAGTACGATTTATCCATTTCTTGTTAGATTCCGAATAGTTAATGAACGCATTTGAAATGAGTCCCCTTTCCCTTACTTGTATTCTCCTGTATTTGCTCTTCAATTGATTTCATGATGTCATCAGCAGGAACAAGCACTTCTGCAGCAAAGAAAAGAAAATTGAGACAACGTTTTCGTCCTGAATATTCCATTGAGTTTCCTTGTCTTATAAAATCAATTTAGTCAGGTCAGGAAGAACAGAACTGACACATGCACACGTCAAAATCTTTCTGTTTCAACTTTGTCGTCAATAATGGTTTTGAAAACATTCATGACCTCTACCAACAAAAAGTGCTACGACACACACATATACAAATAAACAATTGAAAAGTGCTAAGTCAGCAACATACCAGGCACTCCAGAATTAGACTTTAGTTAAACTATGGGAGGGAGATGGAGGGACATTTCAGGAAATTAAAATTTGTATTGACAGTAAGTTGAAACAGTTAATTTACATTTGTTAAATAAACAAACAGGTATTAAAATAGCCAACTTTTTATTACAAGTCTTTAGTCCTCACTTGCTCATCAACTTTGCATCGAGTTGTCAAAAATATAGTAAATCATTTGCCGGTCACTTTGCATCTAGTTGTTTATAGTATGATTATGGTAAAAAAAAAATTGACTTACTGTGATTACTGACAAATATCACAAATTACTGAAATCTTAAATTTTGTTTACTGATTGCATCACAAAGGGGTTGGCATCTATACATAGTGCAGTTATTTAACCAATGGTGGAAAATGATTAAACAGGTCATAGAGATCCCTGTGCTGAAGTTTATCTTTGTTTTTGCAAGCTATCTAGAAGAAGACTATAATTTCCAGTTTAACTTATCCACATTGGATCAAACTTTAACTTTATTATGTCTGTGAGATTTTTTTGAGAGCAGGTCAAAACAGAATTGACATCACAAAGTTTGATATGGGTTTTGAGTTATGCAAAGTGATACAGATACGATGAAGGCTTATACAGAATATTATAAGCACATGATTGTTTTATGTTATAACTGTCCAGTTCTTTATTATTTTTAGATTTACACATTGACAACCAGAACGATGTACATTACTGTATCACTATCACATGTTTACAGATTTTACTTTTGTTTAAACAGGACATAGTTTTACCTTACTAGGAAACAAAGCTTATTTGTTTGGTGGATTGGCAAATGATAGTGAAGATCCAAAGAACAACATCCCAAGGTAAAAAAAGTCTTTTATTTGAAACAAATACATGTTTCAAAATCTCATTGTTCAAAATCAAAATTGATTTGTAAACTTACAAAATGATAGAAACATGAATAGCCAGATAGCCTTGTGTGTAAATAAAATCTTATCTTCTATGTCTATAATTGAATGTTGCATCATTTTCATAAGGCACGTCTTTACAAAAAGTTGTGAAGAAGCATTAAACACATGAATTTGAATTCTCAAAAGTTATGTGGAGGTCAATATATTCAATACTCAAAATTATGTGGAGGTCAATGTATAATCAATGTTAAACAAATGTTTGTACAAGTTATATCAAGCTCAAAATCAGCTCAGTCGAGTATGTGTGTACCTTCTCCATTCTGAAATATGTGTATTTATTTGTAAACAAAACACCTCCAAGTATATTAAGAACAGTAAATCGTCTGATTTAAAGTGGCATTGACTAATGTGCATTGCGTATGTTTAGTACACAAGGCTTCTGTATGGAAACAAAGTTTGGTTAAGTGTACAACCAATAATTCATAATGAACAAGTATTATCGAGAGAGTTAAGTTATATAGATACAATGGATAAAAAAAAACCGTGGATTCTTGAAAAAGAAACCATGAGCCCAGAGGGCGAATGGTTTGTTTTTCATGAATCTACGCTTATCCATTGTATCTATAACTTAAACTATTGTGTTGATTTCTTTTCAAAATTTAAGCCTTTTCTTAATTAGAAGGTATTGTAAGTGAGTTTAAATAACCAGGTTATCGTGTCCAACGATGCATTGATAAATCTGAGATCACAATTAATTGGTCAACAAAACACAAATATAACACCTCTAGATTTTTATATTACCAGGCATATGAATATTATCTGTTTATACAAAATAAAGACATATTCGAAATTATTACTAATAAAATTGAAAATGGAAATGGGGAACGTGTCAAAGAAACAACAACCCGACCAAAGAGCATACATGGCATATATAAAGTATATATAATAAGTATGTTATCAAAATTTTTCTAGCACTCTAGGCATATCACGATTTTCTTGCATAGGAATTTGCGAACAAACCTTTGTAAAATTATGTAGTAAAACAGATGAAATCATACTATATTTATAAAACAAAAATTGACAAATAGAATGTAATCATTCTTGTTTCAAACATGTGAAATAGCCAATAATAATAAAAAGAAAAACCAGTAAAAACTCGCTATTATTACAAAAATATCCACTATAACATGCAAAATTTGGAAAAAAACAGGATAACTTAAGAATTGGAACAACAGAGAGAATACAGGGGTTCTAACCTAAACCGACAAATCCCTATCTTTGACTCACTGATTTTAACCATGCTAACCTCGCGGCTACCAACTCATACTATACGACTGCCTATTGTGTCTATATAAAGGTACAAGCCCTGTGTGTCCGATGAACCGATGTATATCAGATGTTCATTTAAATATATAAAATAGACATCTATAGTGTAACAAATTGGTAGCCGAGAGGTTTCGTCGATGTGTTGAAGTCAGTCACACATAATAGATTTCAAGGAAGGGTTCGATTCCCAGTGAAGGCATACAAAAATTAAAGGTAAGTTTTTAAATTAATTCCATTAGTGAACAGAAATCAGTAAATTGGCCAATTCGAACTTAATGAAATTAGGCACACAAAGGAAACAATTGAATATAATTTGGTGAGTCAATTTCAGCGGCAGATTAAGGAAGCGTTGATTCTAGAAAAAGAATCCACGGTAAATGAACAGGCTGACATCACCACAATGGTTTAATTTGTTAATATTACATTTTAGAACATTTAAAAGCAAGATGGGTGTCTATGTTACATACAAAATATCTTTAGACATTTAGCCCAAAACGTGCCAATGATTTTATAATCATTGTTAATGTTTCCTTTAATTATGTAATTGTTAATGTTTTGACATTTTGAAAAGATTTATGCAACAGGGCGTCAATATAACAATAAGGAGATGTATGTTTATTGTCCCCCTGGCAATGCCCTTGTTATTGCCCTTGGACAGAACAGATAAAATATGTGCAACGCTGGGGACATTGGAACTCTGTTCTTTTATATTTCTTATTTCAGATATCTAAATGATTTGTATACACTTGAAATGAAGCAGAACTCAAGTACCATGTCCTGGGACATCCCACCTATAGTTGGTCAGCCTCCACCACCCAGAGAATCTCATTCCTGTTGTGGATACACAGAAAAAGATGGGCGTCGTCCTCGATTATTGATTTATGGTGGCATGAGTGGATGTCGCCTTGGAGATTTGTGGCAGTTAGAAATAGGTAAACACAACTATAACATTATAGAAAATGTAACAAAGGGATATGTGGAGTATAACATCTATGAGACAGCCACCACACAATAACACAATACAAAAAAAATAGACATCCAGAGGTCAACATTATGCATGGATTGATTTACTTGAAATCTGGTAAAAATAATCTTATCTTTCTATTTCGAGACTTTAACTGTTGCAATAAAGAAATTATTCACACATCCCACACTAAGCTTTAATATACTTTGATCATATAAAATAAAACTAAAGTTTAACTTAAGAACTGGTACATAAAAGGATAACTGTTACTTCTATAAGAAAAAGTTGTTGAAGAAGTTTTAAATATTATATCAAGAACAGCTTCACCAAAGAATTTTTTCTACCATACAATCAGACATTTGTATAAATTTGATAATTCTATTTAACAGATACAATGACATGGACGAAACCAGTTATACAGGGAATCCCACCATTACCCAGAAGCCTTCATTCATCAACAGTTATCAGCAATCGTATGTTTATATTTGGAGGATGGGTTCCACTTGTAATGGATGATGTCAAAGTTGCCACTCATGAAAAGGAATGGAAATGCACAAATACATTAGCATCATTGAATTTGGGTAAGTGTCACACACACACACACACACACACACACACACTAAAAGAGAAATCATAAAAAGTAAACTTGTATGGAATGTTCCAAAATTTATAAGTTGTCACTTTTATTTAGCCTGTCAGTAATAGAAAAACAATGATGCATTTTCAGATCCAATGTCTACAATTGATAATAGGTTAACAACAACAAGGTAAACATAGAATTGTAATTATTTCAGTTACTAAAGTACAAAATGCTATGAATTTCTATATGATAGCTTTTTGTATGTTATATTAATAATGTTATAGATGTTAGTGAAACTGGATATTATTCCGTCACTTCAAAGTTATTCAATTAGAGCTTAAAAATCTTAAATATTTTTCTTCAGATACAATGACTTGGGAACCTCTTGCAATGGAGGTATTTGAGGATGCACTGCCCCGCGCAAGGGCTGGACATTGTTCTGTATCTATACATACACGACTTTACATATGGAGTGGTAGAGATGGCTATAGAAAGGCTTGGAACAATCAGGTATTGGTCACATTCTCTTTTATTCCCTATGAATGGTACCATGAGGTGCATCATTCATCTGTCATAAAGCCTTTGGTCCACACCTAATTAAAAAGCAACTAAATACATTTCACCTAAACTCAACTTTTATCGCCACTACTTCCTATTATATGGTGAAGTGTTTGGTTCTGACTTTAAAATGCTATTAATACAGTAAAGAAGAGAGGGAAATAAATTCCATGTATAGCTTCAACTACTTAGTGGATTCTGTTCAAACTGATTCTTTATCATGTTTATTGTGGAGTGTTTTGAAGCCTCAATATGGTTCTAAATTTCTGATTCTTTAGCAGATAACTTAAATAATCAATTGAATTTCTAGTTTACAGCATTAAAGTTCTCATTTTGTTTCAGGTTTGCTTCAAAGATCTATGGTTCCTAGAAACAGGTTTGTATATAATCTTATGTTCAAAAATTGTTTAACATTTTTCATTTGAATGTAGAAATGTAGATAAAGAAAAGCATATTTCCATGGAAATACTGGAAATAACCATAAAGGACTTCATACTTACCAGAGTTTTCACTAATTGCCTAAAAGTTGTTTTTCTTAATTTCCATTGCAATAAAAGTGTGTGATGATCATACATAAATATGGACAATTATTAACTATTATAATTTTGCTATCTTCCTTATTGATTTCTATAAACAAACTTAAATAAAGAAAATAGGAAATCAACTGAATGGTTTTAGGTCATAGCTTTATACAGGAACAGTAATATATAACTTAATGAACAATAGAAAGTGATATCTTATCTCTAGTTAAGAGTTTTGTAGGAAAAAATCGAACCAGAATCAATAATACTGATAAAAGGATGTTTTAAAGTGTGATTATAGTTGTTACATCTTGCAATCATGACAGTATCAAAATTAATCATCTTCGTAAAGGAGGAGAAGATTGAAATGTTTTTGCTATTAATTCCTTTTGATTTCCACCATTTTATAAAGATATGATACTCATATTTATATTTATGATGAACTATAATAGATCCAGTGATAGCATTGACTGTTTTTTGCATGTCAAGTTTTATAATATAGAGCTGGTTTTCAAATGCCTATAGAATTCCAGAATAATCTATAGATATACATGTAATATAGATTTAATATTATTTGTCATGTCTGAATTTTTTCATTTGCCTGACAGAGAATGTCATCATCATAATGCTGATAACATAAAATAAATGTTATTTACAATAAAGCCTCCCGCTCTATTGCATGTTCAGTAAGTGAAAGCTAGCACTAACACATTATTGTTATTTACAGAAAAGCCTCCAGCTCCATCGCGAGTTCAGTTAGTGAGAGCTAGCACTAACACATTAGAAGTATGTTGGGGTAGTGTACCCACAGCTGATGCATACCTGTTACAGTTACAGAAATATGACCTGCCACCAGCCCAGGCCCTGACCCCTACTGCTGTGCCTCAGACCAATCCACTGGCTAAAGCAATTGCAGCACCACAGCAAACTACAACTGTGGTCAGACCACAAACACAAGGTGAATTTCAGTTAAAAGTTTTAGCATCCATCTTTTACATATTCTTTTTCCTTTATCTGGATACGGTAAAATTCATATTTGAATATGTTTCAATATAGAAAAGTAAGTGAGCATAGAAATCAAATGCAGAAACAATATAAAGGAAAGAAGCAATTAAAATATCCTTTGTTTGAATTATTCTTTAGTGTTATATTTTGTTTTTTTTTAGGCTTATTTTTTCTACCATAGTAAAAACATTGCTGATAAGTAAATTGAATGAAATTTGATTACACTTTGGCATAATTTGTATATATATGATCTTTTGACAACTTCATTTCTATTTTTTTTAATAATTAAACAGTTATACAGTTTTATGTTCATGAAAATTAAGAATCTAGACTTGTTTAGATTAACTATGGATGAGAATCTTTGTATTGTGAATATTTTTTTTAATGGATTTGAAATTCATGGATATTTTTATATTATCATAAATTTGGTGGTGCAAAAACATTAATTGCAAGTTTTATTGATTCTGCATCAGTATTGAAAACTGTAGAAATAAAATATAAAATATTTCTTTGTCTTTCTTTTACTATCTTGTGATTCTGTCTTCTTGCTTTAGGAATAGCACACCTACGTGCAGGGGCTTTGGGTGGTGTTTCCATGACAACACCTCAAACCATCAGAGGTAGACATTACATTACTGCATGTTTTATTTTTAGTTCTTATGCAATTATTGTGGTGTAAGGATAGTTGTTTTTGTTGTAGTATGGTAATTGATAAGACATCTTTTGATGACCCCCCTATTTTTTTAATAATAAAACTGTGGTACCTTTCCAATACTATATGCATTATATATCCAGGAACCTCTATCAATGCCAAATACATGTTTAACAAATGTTTAACAAAATTATGTATAAAAGATGATAAACTTTATCAATATCAACCCCTTAAAGATTAGTATCTTATCAAAATCTAATGTATGTTAAAAATTTATCATGGTTTGCGAAAATTACTTCATATCCTGAATAGTCAAGAACTCGTACTTCAATAGATCAATAAAAGTCATATTTGGTTCTCAGACAATGCTTTTCCTTTAAGAAATTTCAATGAATGAATCTTTATATGACTGCATAGATAAAATTTGGCCGCATGGCATTTTTTATGAAAAGTGAATTAAGGGTTAAAAGACAAAATAGAGTTGAATAGTGTCTGGGATGAAGATAAGTTTGACAAACATTTGTTTTACATTATCTCAAATATGGACAGTGATACATCTGCTTAAATTTACAGTAGAAAAAGGTGCAAACTGATCTTGTCGGTAGTTTCTTTGACTTTTTATCTACCCATGGTTGCAAAAATGAAAATTAAACAAAAGGATGATACATTCAGGTCCATGAATTGAATTATAGTTCAACAGCAAAATATTTCTTTTGTTTTTATACGACCGCAAAAAAAAATTTTGTGGTCGTATATTGGTATGACGTTGGCGTCGTTGTCGTCGTCGTCCGGCGTCGTCGTCCGAATACACATTGGTTTTCGCACTCTAACTTTAGTTTAAGTGAATGGATCTCTATGAAATTTTACCATAAGGTTCAATACCTCAAAAGGAAGGTGGGGATTGATTTTGGGGGTTATGGTACCAACAGTTAAGGAATTAAGGGCCAAAAAGGGGCCAAAAATAAGCATTTTTGTAACTTCCAGACATGACTTGTGTGTTAGTGTATGGATCTCACAAGGTTCCATATCACAAAGGGAATGCTGGGATAGAATTTGGGGGTAATTGCCTCCAAATTTTAGGAATTAGGGGCCAAAAAGGGGCAAAAAACAAGCATTTTTCTAGTTTCATGACAATAACTTGTGTTCAAGTGTATGGATCTCTCTGACATTGTTCCACAAGGTTCCATATCTCAAAGGGAATGCTGGAATTGATTTCGGGGGTAATTGCCTCCAAATTTTAGGAATTAGGGGCCAAAAAGGGGCAAAAAACAAGCATTTTTCTAGTTTCATGACAATAACTTGTGTGTAAGTGTATGGATCATTATGAAATTGTACTACAAGGTTCCATATCACAAAGGGAAAGCTGGAATTGATTTTGGGGGTAATTTCCCACAACGTTCAGGAATAAGGGGCCAAAAAGGGGCCAACAATAAGCATTTTTCTAGTTTCCAGACAATAACTTGTTCAAGTGTATGGATCTCTCTGAAATTGTACTGCAAGGTACCATACCACAAAGGAAAGGCTGGGATTGATTTTGGGGTTAAATCCCTAGAAATTTGAGGAATTAGGGGCCATAAAGGGGCAAAAAACAAGCATTTTTCTAGTTTCAGGACAATAACTTGTGTGCAAGTGTATGGATCTTTATGAAATTGTACTGCAAGGTTCCATATCACAAAGGGAAAGCTGGGTTTGAGTTTGGGGGTAATTGCCGTAAATGTTTAGGAATTTTGGGCCAAAAAGGGGCCAAAAAATAAGCATTTTTCTAGTTTCCAGACAATAACTTTTGTTCAAGTGTATTGATCTCCCTGAAATTGTACAGTAATCATACATGTGAACCTCCCGAAGGGAATACAATAATCCCGTTTTCAGGGGTCTCCTCCCGACCTCCCGTTGAAGACAAAAAAATCCTGTGTATGAAATATTTCATGAATGAAAAATTTCAGCCCAACATATCTGGTGTAACTGACATTACCTGAAGTTATATTTTACCTGTAAATCAATTAACATGATAATTATATGGCTTCACTTGTCACCTTGGGTGTCAAACATACTGGTAATCGACGATTTTTTACATCAGGCTAACTGCCGTTGTGTAATAAAACTTTGTATATTTATAAATGAATGTTGGGTTACTTCCCTTGATTTATCCTGTTTTAAGTTACTTTCCTTTAAATAATGTAAATTTTTAAAAGAATATAAATAAAATATAAATTGAACAAATAATCATAAAAGGATGGTAATTAAATGATTTTAAATGTCTTAGGACAAATATAAAAATAATAATTTGAAAATTATTTGAGGGTTCTATACTTCCTTTCAAGGCTTAAATTGAAATTTATATATTAACTATGACCCATGAATCCAGTTTGAATGTGTTACTTTTCATGCATTAAAAATCTACTTGCATAAAGATTAAAATAAAAGATCTACTTGCAGATAGATAAGCAAATATTCTGATTGCAATGAATAATGGAAAAAAAGATATGACCTAAAAAATTTAAAGAACATACTTAAAAAGAAGAATGTTAGATTGAACAAGTTGAAAGTTTAAAAAGATAGAGAAAATTTATAAGTACAAGGGTACTATAAACATAATACATTCGGATGGAAAGTTGAAGAAAGCACACTTTAACAGACAATTTCTACAGCACACGGTTACATTTACGACAGAATTTATGTCGATTAAAAACCTCCTGATCTGAGTCCTAATCTCCTGACCAAAATTTCCCAAACTCCTGATCTTAGTTTCACAGTTCATCATATGTACTGCAAGGTACCATACCACAAAGGGAAGGCTGGGATTGTGTTTGAGGGTGATGAATCATAAGGGGGTTCAAAAAATTTTGAGGGGAGGGGGATTTTTTTTTCCTTTTTTTTTCTTTGAAATTTTCCATTTTAAATTGGTTATTTCTGATTTATATATAAAAGCAAATAATAATGATATGGTTTGAATAGATAAATTAAAATTTTTTAAGTTCTTAGACCACATTCATTCTGTGTCAGAAACCTATGCTGTGTCAAATATTTAATTGCAATCCAAATTCAGTGCTGTATCAAGCTTGAATGTTGTGTCCATACTTGCCCCAACTGTTCAGGGTTCGACCTCTGCGGTCGTATCAAGCTGCGCCCCAGCGAAGCATTTTATTAACTTTTATTTTTCTTTTGAAAATTGATGAAAGGTATCAAATTTTAAATTTTAATAGTGCTTGGTTAAGTGTTCTTAGAACACCATATTTGTTTAGATAGCCTTAATAGATAAAAACTGTCAGAAGTTGTATGATTACAAAAATTATCTAGTCATTACATACATTTTAAAAGAACTGCAAGACTAGTTTTGTCATGGACTATATATATATGTACATATAAACTAAAGCTTTGCATGTTAACATGCTTTAACAGATAAAAAAATATTCCATGTTGTAGCATGATAGAGCTTTACTGTATGTTGTATCATGTCCAATTGCAAGATGTAAATTGATCTAGGTTCATTTTCCATCCTTTTTATGCCCGCCTTAGTGGAGGGGGCATTAAGTTTTACCCATGTCTGTCTGTACGTCCATCCATACATACATCCCAAATTTGGTTTCTCTAACTTTAGTTTGCCTCTACCAAATGTATGAAACTTATACACAATGCTTATTACCAGAAAACACAGATTAAGTTTGAATTTTGGTGGTGTCACTTTTGCCGTTCTTGAGTTATGCCCACTTACAAATTGTAAAAATGCTGAATTTTATGTTTCCGTTCTCTGATTTTAGTTTGCCTCAACCAAATTTTATGAAACTCATACACAATGCTTATTACCACAAAACACAGATCAAGTTTAAATTTTGGTGACATCACTTTTACTGTTTTAGAGTTATGCCCCTTTACAAATGGAAAAATTGCTTAATTTTTTTTCTGTTCTCTAACTTTAGTTTGCCTCAACCAAATGTTATGAAACTTATACACAATGCTTATTACCTTAAAACACAGACCAACTTTGAATTTTGGTGGCGTCACTTTTGTTGTTCTAGAGTTATGCCCCTTTACAAATGGAAAATTGCTGGATTTTTTGTTTCGGTTCTCTAACTTAAGTTTGCCTCAACTAAATGTAATGAAATGTATACACAATGCTAATTACCACAAAACTCTGATCAAGTACAAATTGGGTAGCGTCACTTTTACAGTTCTTGAGTTATGTCCCTTTATAACATTATATGCAAGCAGGGGGCATCATCTGTGTCCCATGGACACATTCCTCATTTATTTCGTATATGATGTATTTGATTGATCTGTAACCATGATTAAGCAGTGGATGGCAATTCTATACTCAAGGCTTGTTTTATTCCTTAAAAAAACAACAAATTACATTACAGTCTTCTAGTCACTTTGTAAAACACCTTCTATACCCTGATATTGAATACTATTTAAATCCAATGTTTCAAATTTAATTTAAAATATGAATTTTGTAATAGGTAAAAAAAGCAGAATTTTCAAATGTAGCGGGAAAAAATGTATAGAGTTTTATTTGAACATTTACTGTGATTTTCAAGAGTGAAATTTAGACATTAGGAGTATTAAATGTTTAACTTTCCAGCCAACTAAGAGAAGTGTTTTGCTGTGAAATTGTTTGTGAAATCAGTAGCAGATTTTATTAATAGTTATGTTTGTGTTTAGTTACAGCTGTGGCAGCCAGACAGAAGACACCTATCACTGTTAACCCAGCAACGACAGCCATACGAGTAGCTTCTCCACATATTGTAAACCTGACACAAGCTCAGAAAGCTAACATTGTCACATCAGTAAGATTTCATATATTTTTTCAAACATTTTTTAAATTGTCTCTTTGTTATAAACAGTGTTTTATTCCTACATGAGAATGAAAAAAAACAGGTTAAAACTAAATTAATATCAATTTAGCTGGTGAAATAAAATCATCATAGATACCAGGATGAAATTTGTATTTGCGCCAGACGTGCGTAAAAGATTTCTATGGAAGGCAAAGAAACCAATATTTAATCATATAAGTTAAGCTAACTGACAGATGTAAATAGAGATAAGTATAATTTAAAAAAAAGTTTTTTGACATAGCTTCATATCATATTTCAGTCTAGTGGAATGACGGGCATTGCAGCTCTTGCTGCTGCTGCTGCAGCCACACAGAAAATACCTGGCACAACAGTATCTACAGGTACTCCACAAGTTCCAGGGATTAAAGTGGTAACACCTACTATTGTTACACCTTCAGGGATGAAAGTTACACCTGTACAGAGTAGAATAGGTATGTCTGATCTTATTAATAGTCAAATGAGAAATGCAATTTATGGTTGTATATATCAACCAACATCAGAAGGCAGTTCCAATATCACTGTATGCTTTTTCATAGGGTACAGGTAAACATGATTAAGTTTTTATACGACCGCAAAAAAATTTTTGTGGTCGTATATTGGTATGACGTTGGCGTCGTCTGGCGTCGATCGGCGTCGTCCGAAGACGCATTGGTTTTCACACTCTAACTTTAGTTTAAGTGAATGGATCTCTATGAAATTTTACCACAAGGTTCAATACCACAAAAGGAAGGTTGGGATTGATTTTGGGGGTTATGGTACCAACAGTAAAGGAATTAGGGGTCAAAAAGGGGCCAAAAATAAGCATTTTTGTAACTTCCAGACATGACTTGTGTGTTAGTGTATGGATCTCTCTGACATTGTACCACAAGGTTCCATATCACAAAAGGAATGCTGGGATTGATTTTGGGGGTAATTGCCTCAAAATTTTAGGAATTAGGGGCCAAAAAAGGGGCAAAAAACAAGGATTTTTCTAGTTTCTGGACAATAACTTGTGTTCAAGTGTATGGATCTCTCTGAAATTGTACTGCAAGGTTCCATATCACAAAGGGAAAGCTGGAATTGTGTTTGGGGGTAATTGTCGAAACGTTTAGGAATTGGGGGCCAAAAAGGGGCCAAAAATAAGCATTTTTCTAGTTTCCAGACAATAACTTGTGTTCAAGTGTATGGATCTCTCTGAAATTGTACTGCAAGGTACCATACCACAAAGGGAAGGCTGAGATTGATGATGGGGGTAATTGCCTCAATATTTTAGGAATTAGGGGCCAGAAAGGGGCAAAAAACAAGCATTTTTCTAGTTTCAGGACAATAACTTGTGTGTAAGTGTATGGATCTTTCTGAAATTGTACTACAAGGTTCCATATCACAAAGGGAAAGCTGGGTTTGAGTTTGGGGGTAATTGCCCTAAACGTTTTGGAATTTCGGGCCAAAAAGGGGCCAAAAAACACATTTTTCTAGTTTCCAGACAATAACTTGTGTTCAAGTGTATGGATCTCTCTGAAATTGTACTGCAAGGTACCATACCACAAAGGGAAGGCTGGGATTGAGTTTGGGGGTGATGAATCATAAGGGGGTTAAAAAAATTTGGGGGGGGGGATTTTTTTTTTTTCCTTTTTTTTCTTTTTTTTTCTTTTAAAATTTTCCATTTTAAGTTGGTTATTTCTGATTTATATTTAAAAGCAAATAATAATGATATGGTAGGAGAAACACACCAAACAGGAAGTGTAAATTATTATATAATAAGTATTGTGCAATAGCAAGAAATTTTCAATTGCACAGTATTGCACAATAGCAAGAAATCTTCAATTGCACAGTATTGCACAATAGCAAGAAATCTTCAATTGCATAGTATTGCGCAATAGCAAGAAATATCCAATAGCACAATATTGCGCAATAGCAAGAAATTGTCAATTGTACAGTATTGCGCAATAGCAAAAAATATTTAATTGCACAGTATTGTGCAAAAGAAGATACTTCGTATAAATTGCTTATTTCTTGACCAATTTCAATGGGGTTTTATTCTTGAATTCTTGGGGTTCTTTAATATGCTGAATCTAACCGTGCATTTAGTTTTTGGATTTTGGGCCCCGTTTTTAAATTGGTCCACATTGAGGTCCAAAGGGTCCAATGATAAACTTTGTTTGATTTCATCAAAAATTGAATAATTGGGGTTCTTTGATATGCCGAATCTAACCGTGTATTTAGATTCTTAATTTTTGGTTCCGTTTTCAAATTGGTCTACATTAAGGTCCAAAGGGTCCAAAATTAAACTTAGTTTGATTTTAACAAAAATTGAATTCTTAGGGTTCTTTGATATGCTGAATCTAAACATGTATTTAGATTTTTGATTATGGGCCCAGTTTTCAAGTTGGTCCAAATCGGGGTCCAAAATTAAACTTTGTTTGATTTCAACAAAAATTGAATATATGGGGTTCTTTGATATGCTGAATCTAACCATGTATTTAGATTTTTGATTTTTGGGCCCCGTTATCAACTTTGTCCACATTGAGGTCAAAAGGGTCCAAAATTAAACTTTGTTTGATTTCATCAAAAATTGAATTCTTGGGGTTCTTTGATATGCTGAATCTAACCATGTATTTAGATTTTGGGTATTGGACCATAATAGGTGAATGTCCAATTTAAAATTTTTAAGTTCTTAGACCACATTCATTCTGTGTCAGAAACCTATGCTGTGTCAAATATTTAATCACAATCCAAATGCAAAGCTGTATCAAGCTTGAATGTTGTGTCCATACTTGCCCCAACTGTTCAGGGTTCGACCTCTGCGGTCGTATCAAGGTGCGCCCTGCGGAGCATTTTATTTAACACTAGTGTAAAAGCTAGAGGAAAAATACATACAGTTCTGAAAATTTGAATAAAATTGCGGTTCAATTGTTTAAATCTGTTGTCATAAATTATTAAATGACTCAATTTTTAGGTCAGCTTTTGTATTTTTTCAATATCAGGAACACCTACTCAGACAGTGAGAGTTGCTACGCCAGGAACCACCATATTGAAATCTACACCAGGATCAATACAACAAACTATAGGAGGAAAACAAATCATCACAGTACACAAAGCAGGTGGAGGGTCATCAGGGACAGGTCATCCTCAGATTGTAACACTTGTTAAAACAAATCAAGGCATGCAAGTAGCTACGGTAAGAATTACAATTTTTATATAACCACTAAATGGATTTTTTCTTGCATTTACGCTATGTAGATAGATATAAGTATTAATGTGTAGTAGAGGTCCAAAAATGACCTAATTTTTCAGTAATGACATTTCAGCATCTTTTTCTGAGATGTTTTTGATGAACAAAAACATGAGAAGTATATATGAAAATATTACTAAACATTAATGCCATACTAACGATCTTCAATCAGATAAACATTCCATATCAAATCTATAAAAATAACATGTGTATGTACATTTGTAGATGAGGGGGAGACTACATGATTTGTAATGACAAGTTTTAAATGTGTTTGAAGTTAAAATCTGAATTTCACTTAACTTTTTATTCAGACCAAAGGACCTCTGCCACAAGGAGCCACTATTGTCAAGTTGGTAACCACACAAGCAAGTGGCACTCATGGTAAACAAACAGCTATTATTACCACCAGTCAGCCTGGGCAGACACCTTCTACTATTTTAGGAATTAACAGTGTACAACCACAGGTAAACAGTTTTACTATGTTTTTTTTTTTCAATAAAAGTTCAGTACATTGGTACTTTCTTAGATCTTCATAATGGATGTATCTGGTACTTTCTTATATCTTCATAATTGATGTTATTTTACTGGCATGCAGGTGTCTTCTGAGGACTTTTTTCTTGATACTTGAAAGTGTTGTTCAAGAAATGAAAGCACAGGGGTCAGAGAACACTTTTTATTCTACCTGGCCTTGCATAAATCCAATTGATTATTTCCTAAAATTGTTATGTCTGACGTTTTGAAATAGTCCCAACCCATCTAACTTTAAAAGAAGTGCCTTCCCCTATTACAATCCATTCTGAAACAGCCCCAATAAAACATAGATGCCAACCTTTACGATTTTTCCGTAATTTTTCCGAACTTTGAACCAAAATTACAATATTAGGACTAACAGTGGACTTGCTACAGATTTTTGTTCATTACTTGTCTGAACCAGTACCCTGTTCAGATAACATTTTGATCATTGTGGCGCTTCATTTTTGGTTATAGTTTTGTAACAATAAGTGCTTGAAAGATTTAGATTATTAAATTTTCTGGTTTCTCATGAATATATATAGTAGAAATCGATCTATCCATTTCTTGTTGGATTCTGAATAATTAATAAACACTGCAAATGCAATGTCGTACGGAACAATTGAATTTCTGCAGTAAGGAAAGAAATCAGAAACCAGGACATTATTCCTTTTGCAAATATTTTGTGAAGAAGGCTTCCATTGAGTGCAATGGACGTGTTCCTCACTTGCTCATCAACATTGAATTGTAGTTGTCATAAATATAGAAAGTCATTTGTTTGTCACTGTGTGCCTAGTTGCCTGTATGATTATTATCAAATTTTATGGAAAAAATATTATTACTGAAAAAAATCATACATTACGGAAATTTTAATACTCTTTTACGGATTGCAACAAAGTGGGGTTGGCATCTATGATAAAATTTCAAACTTTCAAGATAATTATTCAAATATCATCAATTAAAGCAGGCATGGCATTTCAGTGTGTCAACTCTTGATATACTTCCTTTATTTCCATCTTATTGTATGATATTTTTAATTTTCCTTTAACAGCAAGTATCATCCAACACTAGAACAATAATAAAGACCATTCCTTCATCAATGTTGTCAATGGCCAAGGCTGGGACAGGTACTGTAACAACACAAGCTGGATCTAAAACAATCGTGATTGCAGCACCAAAGGGCAGTACTTCAGGTCTGTCTGGAAACCAGCATAAAATAATCACATCAATGCCAAAGTTGGGTGGCACTGGAAATACTCAGTTCATTGTTGTTAGTCCACAATCATCTCAGGGAATATCCACGTCAGTTACTGGTAAGTCTATATCATAGTGTGTATATCACTGTATATGGAGTATTTATTAAGTGGATGTTTATGTTATAATTTTTGTTATCCAGTGTTTTGCATCCACGCTTCATTGAATATCCATGCTGATTTTAAAGGTAGCAAATTAGCCCTGTCAATTTCCAATATATAAATATAGAAGTATATTCAGGAAAAATAAACAATTATCAAAATTCTTGATTATGAATGTATACCTAAAATTGCATCACTGCTTCAAATAGCATGCACAGTGAGAGAAATCTTTATAATCTCAATCAAAAACTTCAAATGTTAAAACTTAAAATTGCTTGTGTTTAAGACGGATCAACACTTGATCGATAATATTAGACATATTGACATGCAGTGTGCAAAATGTTGTCGCTCTTCTGTAATGGAACATAATAACTAAGGGCTGAAAATAATTTCTTGTTGATTTGTCAGTAGAATATGGTGAATGTATGTGGATTGCTGTCTATATAACATACTACAAATCTGCCTTTAATTATAACTGTAACCAGGAAATGAAAGATTTTTTCCAGACATCTCTTAAATTCAACTGCCAAAAAAGAATTAATAATGATTATGAACTTTAGAAGAGTCCTGGCCTTGTGGTCACAAAACTTTGGAGTACGATTATCGTACTCAGACTCAGAATTCAACCAATCAAAATGCTTGATTTGGTGTTAAGAGCACAAGTTTTAATAGTACTCCCAAGTACTGAGTCAAGTTTTATGGCCGAGAGTCCTGGTCCTCAGACGAACTTTTAGCCACTGTTTCTAGTAAAGTAAACACCAATCAATCAATCTAGTTATCTTGTGTTATCTAAATATAAAAATTTTAATCCCAATTTTTTTTTTTATTCTTCAAATAATAAAAAGCCTTGCATAATGTTTTTAAACAAGTAATTCATTTTCCAAATTATGAAATGTTGTATTAGTCTGAGAAATTACACTTTTTTTTCAGGAAAACCATTATCAGTGACTACGCTTCCAGCAGGAACACAGCAACACATTATATCGGGATCACCATTAGCTAAACCAGCCATCAATATAATTTCAACACAAGGTAAAAATATATCCTGTATATGTATATATATGTACTTTTTTTGGCTGTGTATTAACTTTCATGTATTTCGCAGTAGGTATATTTATGTGAAAATAAATACATGTGAATACAAATACTGTTTATGTAGATATAAAAACCATTAAATTACATCTATTTATTACTGTACATGAATGTTTACCTGTTAAAACAAAAGTGATCAATACAAACAACCAATTAAGGATAAAGGTCAAAACGTAGCAAAAAATGACCCAAGGCAAGCAAATGTGTCACCTTTATTGCAAAATATACAACCTATCGGGCAATACCTCTTTGATCCTTGAAAAATGGTTATTTTGTAAACAGTCACACTGATTTATTTCAGTTAGTAGAGCAATAGAGGAGGGATGTCAGCCCAGGTGCCGTGTGCAAAAACTTTTCAGGTCACATGGTTCAATTTCAGCTTCTGTTTGGCAATTTTAAATATTGTAAATGATTGATTTGTTCATGTTTTAATTTCAAATATATTCTAATGCAATAATGGAAAATATAGCAAGTTTTAACATGGAAAGATTTATTGATAATCCAAAATCATTTTTACATAAAAAAAAAATTTAATGTAATTTTTACTTCTTTTGGGCAAATTGTATCTATAAAGATTATGTTCCGTAATGGCTTGAATTTTTATTCGAGGTCTGTGAAAATACAAGGCACAAGTTTTTGTTAATATTTCATTACTTCGCAAGCAAAAAACATCAAAATTTATAACAGTTAAAGAATAATTTTCAAACAGCCTAAAACATAAAAGGTCTTCTTAAGTCTCCATCTGTTGCTGCATAGTAAGACAATAAAAACGATGATTTTCGAATAAATGTCCAAATATAGTTGTCAAATCCGTGAGTAAATCTGGAGACCTTAGCCACATAAACCATTTATTGTGTATTTTAGATATATTCAAGATAAAATGAAACTGTTCACTAAAAAAAAAAATGTAAAATAGCTTTTTATTTTTTAATTGTGTATTTTTTGTGAATTGGTCGGCTTTGTTCTCTATTATGTTTTCTCATGTTTTTTTGTATATTTTTATAATTGAAGAGAGAGTCCAATATTTATAATTCTGTATTAAATTAAAGTTTTGACTCGAATAAAAGCTCAAAATCAGTTAAATGACTTTAATAAATGAGTATTCAATTAATGGCCATGTCGTACGAAAAAGTCCCAGGAAATAGCAGTCAAATTAGGGGAGACATTTGTATATTCCCGGTAAATAATGACAAATACTAAATTCTGTTATTATATATACATGTATGTTAATAGTATAATCATTACAACTGTATATTACTGCTTATATTCATAATCCCATAATCAAATTTTGACTGTCCAGGTGATGTCCACAGCACGAACTGCTTGTAATAAATGACACATTATCACTGTGACCGATCGATAATATAAGTTCAATATGCATGCCATGTGCAGAGTGCCTACCCTCCTCTGGAAGAGCAATTTGTTTGTGAAAACTAAAATTTTAGCTCATATTCACTTCATACAAAAAATCTATATATGTGTTGAAATTTTTTAATTACTGTATTAAAGATATAATGCATGCTAATTTTTTCAGCAATTTACATTTAGTGAAAATATGTTCACTTAGGAAAAGTATAAATTTATAAAGTATTCAGTATCCATGTAATCTTGGAAAGGAGGGTATGTAATAGGACCATAATTCAAATAAATTCTTCAAACATTTCATACTCCTGATAATTTAATTGATAAAATAAGATTATAAAAGTAAAAAAAAAGATTAAGTGCTTTGTTACAAGCATTCATTTTTCAATCAACCAATCTAATGATTGTTTATAAGACTAATTTCTGTTTTCAGGAACGCAGCAATCTGGTGGAACAATAATCAAGACCATAGCTGCCACACCATCTCAGTCTGCAGCCACATCATTATTATATACTACACAGGCAACGCCAGCTCCATCAACACCTACTATTTCCCTCATAACACAGCCATCAATTTCTCAGTCTCCAGTCACAATGACAACTCAGCCAGTTTCTGTGGCAGCTCAAGGCATCTCATCAACACCAAAACCAGTTCAGATAACTATAACTCCAGCTAGTGCTAAAACAACGACAACAGCTCCAGTTGTCTTAACTCAGGCAGCAGCCACAACAACACAGCAAGCCCCATGTACTGATGGTCATAACTGTCCAGGAGATGAAACTCAGCCACAAGCTGTTTGCACAGATGGCCATAATTGTCCTGGGGATGAACCACCGAAAGCAGTCTGTACAGATGGCCATAATTGTCCTGGGGATGAACCACCCAAGGAAGTATGCACTGATGGCCATAATTGTCCTGGGGATGAACCACCCAAGGAAGTATGCACTGATGGCCATAATTGTCCTGGGGATGAACCACCCAAGGAAGTATGCACTGATGGCCATAATTGTCCTGGGGATGAACCACCCAAGGGAGTATGCACTGATGGCCATAATTGCCCTGGGGATGAACCACCCAAAGAAGTATGTACTGATGGCCATAATTGTCCAGGAGATGAACCACCCAAGGGAGTATGCACTGATGGCCATAATTGTCCAGGGGATGAACCACCAAAAGAAGTATGTACTGATGGCCATAATTGTCCCGGAGATGGAGGAGATGAAGTAGATGGAACACCACCTGGTGAATGTAAAGATGGTCATAATTGTCCAGGGGATGAAAATAATCCAACACAAAGTGGAGTTTGTACAGATGGCCATAATTGCCCAGGAGATGAAAATAATCCGACACAAAGCGGAGTTTGTACCGACGGCCATAATTGTCCCGGGGAAGAAAATAATCCGACACAAAGTGGAGTTTGTACTGATGGCCATAATTGTCCAGGGGATGAAAATAGTCAGACACAAAGTGGAGTTTGTACAGATGGTCATAATTGCCCGGGAGATGAAAATAGTAGTCAGACACAAAGTGGAGTTTGTACAGATGGCCATAATTGCCCGGGAGATGAAAATAGTCAGACACAAAGTGGAGTTTGTACAGATGGCCATAATTGCCCAGGAGATGAAAATCAAGGGCAAACAACAGATTCTACGCAACAAGGATTAATAGAAACACCTGCCTCAATGGCTGCTGATAGTGCTATAACAAACTCTGATCTTTTAAGTAATGTGCCAATGATTGATCCAGTTACAGCCGCAATTCCATCACAGCTGACATCACATGACCCAGAACCTGAACCAATGGATATATCTGGATCACATGTTAGTGCATTACAACAACTGCAGGAACCTCTTGCTGACATTAATCCCACTTTACCAGCAGACATATTACAGCCTTCAGAAGGTCAAATATCAATGCCTACACAAGAGGAAGCTTTAGCTGTGACACAAGCTCTAGCTCTTGTACAGGATCAGGCTCTAGCTGCAGCTCAGGGACATGCCTTAGAACTGCCCGATCAGTTATTAGCTCAGCCAGAACAAAAGATGGAAGAACCAAAAGATGAAGCTATGGACACATCTACTGGTTTACCTGCAAGTCTTCCTGATACCAGTGCTCAACAGTTGACTAGTGCTGCATCAGTAGATAGTACAGCCATGTCATTAGGACTGGTACCACCTACACAAGGAATCCTCCCTCAGATCTCAAGCTCAATGGACTCAGGTAAATATAATTAATCTGCTTGAAAAATAAATTCTACCTCAAAACTAAACTAAATGGATTAAAAAAATATATGAAAATTTCAAAATTTTTCCGGGTAAACAATTTGAAAGTTTCACACTTGTAGAGAATTCCTGCTTTATAATGTGTACATTTATTAATTCAAAATTTAACAAGGATGTATAAACATGATGAAAGGGATTCATTTTCAATTTGCTGATGATAAGAATTGATTTTGTATTTTGAATTCCTTTACAAATAAAAGGATATTCCAGTTAACAAACATGAAATCAAGTCGAGTCTACTGGATAGGAAATTGAGACGCTTCATGTAAAACTCCTTGTACAATTAATTATACCCCCGCTTTAAAAAAAGTGGGGGTATACTGTTTTACCTCTGTCTGTCCGTCCATCCATCCATCAGTCCGTCTGTCCGTCCCATGAATATTTTTCATCGCATTTTTCTCAGGTACTACATTACAAGGATTTCTGAAATTTGGTTTCAAGGTTTATATGAGTGAGCTATACCGTGGCGTGTGATGCGTTTTCAGATTCATCACTCAACAACTTCCTGTTTACCGAACACTTGCATATTTTTACACTATTAAAATTATCCATATTTGGTCGGGGGTATCATCACTGCTCACAGTTTCACTTGTTTCTTCTGTATTGATTACTTAATTTTAGAAATAACTGATCTTTAATTAATGAAAAAAAATATAAATGATGAACAACTTATTGATTAAAACTTAAACTTTAATTTCTATAATAAGAATTGTTTTTTTTGGTTTCGAAAGTACAGAAGAAATTTTAGTCTAATTATTTTCAGTTATATAAAATATCTGTTAGCTAAGAATAGAATTTTCATAAAAGCTTTATCCCTATAAATGAAATGACTGTGAATGCATACTGTTGATTGTTTCTTTATAGATCCTTTGTCTACCTTGGCATCAGCAGCAATCTCATCAAATTCAGCAATATCTTCTACTAATGGTATAAAACAGGAACCTGATGCATCTAATGGAATTAAAATAGAGCCAGGAACAGAAGTCAAACAGGTAATAACAAAAGTGTCCTGCTATACTGGAAATAATTGTTGAAGAAATTTTTTTTATCCCCCGCCGTAGCGGAGGGGGCATCAAGTTTTACCCTTGTCCCTCCGTACGTACGTACGTCCCAAAGTTGGTTTCCGTTCTCTTAACTTAAGTTTGCCACAACCAAATGTTATGGAACTTATACACAATGCTTATTTCCACAAAACTCAGATCAAGTTTGAATTTTGGTGGTGTCACTTTTACTGTTCTAGAGTTGTGCTCTTTTACAAACAAAAAAATTGCTGAATTTTTCATTTCCGTTCTCTAAAGTTTGCCTCAACCAAATGTTATGAAACTTATACATGTTATACACAATACTTTTTACCACAAAAGACAGATCAAGTACAAATTTGGATAGTGTTACTTTTATCGTTCTTCAGTTATGTCTGTTTATAACTTTATATGACATGCAAGCAGGGGCATCATCGGACACATTCCCCATTTATTTTTATTGGTAATAAAAGTGTCATTTGGCAAATGTTTTTTTTTTCAAAACTTTTTTCTCTTTTATGAGGGAAGTATTGTGTTTGTGTAAAATGTGAAAATATAACTGAAAATAATGAGATAAATGCAAAGTTTGTCTTTCTTACTTAAAAAAAAAAATTTAGTGGCAAACTTGGTAAAAAAAAGTGCAATCAGAAAATGGTCAGTTATTTGTTAACCAATTTTCTGGAAGTTGATCAATTTGAAATTAACAAAGAACCTTTCAAATGAATTCTCAGTATAAAGTTATGTATTGCTGAGATGAAACAGCTTGATTCACACAACTTTGCCTTATGCTCACCTATGCAAAATATGAACATGTTTTGAATTGCTGTTGATGAAATTTATATAAGTTGACCACTTATTCAAAAAGATGTTATTGTTTGATGGGTGATGAAAAAGTTAAAAGTTATGCTTGTTTAACTTCAGGAAACTAGTACCACTCCAATAAAAATGCCAACAACTCCAATAAAGAAGGAAGCTAACCAGTGGTATGATGTAGGAATCATTAAAGGATCATCGTGTCTGGTCTCACATTTCTATCTGTCATCAGATGGACTACAGGGCAATGGGGATGTAAGTCTTATTTCTTATTTTGATTTTTTTTCTTGAATTAATTGATTTGTTAGCTTTGATGTTTTTCATTTTCCATTTTAGAAATAATTATCTTCGGTCAAGAGAAAAAGGGAATAATGAAACCTGAAATGAGATCCCTGAACTCCGTTCTTAATTTTCAAAAGTTTTTTCAAAAATAGAAGTTACACAATCATCTTGTAATAATAATGTCAAAAAAGCAATCTGAAGATATACAAGGGCAGTTCTTGATTTGCTTTAGCATACCAGTATAAGCATTTTAGTACATCATTGAAAACTTCCATCAACTCTAGATGAAAAATAGCAATAAGAGCTCTTTCTTTAATGTTTAAGTTATTTCATAGTATTTTTTGAGATTCTTGTTTAACACCACTGGATGTTAAACAGCCATCCATCATCACAGCCATCAACTTCAGCCTCTTAATATCCTTATAAAACAGTGAAATATGTTAATTTTTGAACAGGACGTTGATGTTGTTAGCATACCTGATCACAGTGTTCTAAAGAAACAAGAGTTACTACCAGGAACAGCATATAAATTCCGAGTGGCAGGTATAAATGCTTGTGGACGAGGACCATTCAGTGAGATATCTGCATTTAAGACCTGTCTGCCTGGCTATCCTGGTGCTCCATCAGCAATCAAGATTAGTAAGGTTAGTTGCTTAAAAATTCTTACGCAGACAGAATTCAATGAAGAAAAATTGTCATGCAATAAAAACCACCATTATGAACCATACCAAGAAGTAAAATATGTTTATGACATGGACAAAGTTCTAAAATATTTTAAATATATCTGCAAAGAAGGTTAAAAGTGTTGTGGATTAAGCTTTAATTACTTAAAAAATCACAGTTAAGTCAGAGCTACTATTGTTATAACTTTGACTTTATATGATAAAATATTTCGAGTCCAGGAGGTATATAGTGAAGGAGGAGTCCCTCATTCTATTTGTTTCTCCTTACATCTAACTTTTGTATTCACAACTGCTTCTGAACCTTTGACAGAATTTTGTGAAACTTTCAAGGAATCTTGCATGTTCTTTTGCACCTATTTCCACTTTGTCTAAACTACTGTGTTAAAATATGTCCCTCTATTTAGCATTTTACTATGCATTTTTACTTATTTCTCCATTAATTGGAACAGTTGTAGAAAATATTACATCTTGCAATCTAAAAAAGTATATTCTACAATGCCATACAAATAATAAATAAGAAAACAGAAATCCTAACTCTCACTGTGTGCAAGACGTCCCTCACCTTTCTGGATACTAGATACTATTGAGTCCAAACATTTTTTGCTAGGGTAGTTAAGACACAGTGATTTAATTTCTTTATCTAAATGATGCTTGGGTTTACTTTTGGATGATATGGACTTTATCATATTTGAACACTATAGTACACATTTGTATCAGCCTGTCATAAACCTCTTTTTAGAATTTATTGAATTTATCTCAGAAACTTAACCATTTAATGCCATATGTACCTCCTCTGTTTTTATCCACATTATTTTTGGGGCTTCCCTTAACAAATTATAGAATTTACCATTACTGTATGTGTGGCTGGGGTACGATTTTGTGTGATTTGCATTTAGTATATCTAGTATTATCAAATATTTTCAGAGTCCAGAGGGTGCCCACTTATCATGGGAACCTCCACAAAACACAGCAGGAAAAATCACAGAATACTCTGTTTACTTGGCTGTACGTAATGCTGCATCACAGACTGATCAAAAACCAGGAGCACCAGCTCAGCTGGCATTTGTCAGGGTCTACTGTGGACCTGCACCAACATGTACAGTGACAACAGCAAGTCTGGCCTCAGCTCACATTGACTATACAACAAAACCAGCCATTATCTTCCGTATTGCTGCTAGAAATGAAAAAGGATATGGACCTGCTACACAAGTCAGGTGGCTTCAAGGTCGGTTAATATGTAATGTTTTAAGAAATAGTAGACAGCACTGGTTATTTATACGACCGCAAAAAAATTTTGAGGTCGTATATTGGTATGACGTTGGCGTCGTCGTCGTCCGGCATCGTCGTCCGAATACACAATGGTTTTCGCACTCTAACTTTAGTTTAAGTGAATGGATCTCTATGAAATTTTACCATAAGGTTCAATACCACAATAGGAAGGTGGGGATTGATTTTAGGGGTTATGGTACCAACAGTTAAGGAATTAGGGGCCAAAAAGGGGCCGAAAATAAGCATTTTTGTAACTTCCAGACATAACTTGTGTGTTAGCATATGGATCTCTTTGACATTGTACCACAAGATTCCATATCACAAAGGGTCAATGCTGGGATTGATTTTGGGGTTAATTGCCTCAAAATTTTAGGAATAAGGGGCCAAAAGGGGGCAAAAAACAAGCATTTTTCTAGTTTCATGACAATAACTTGTGTGTAAGTGTATGGATCTTTCTGAAATTTTACTACACGGTTCCATTTCACAAAGGGAAAGCTGGAATTGAGTGTTGTGGTAATTGCCCAAAACGTTTAGTAATAAGGGGCCTAAAAAGGGGTTTAAAATAAGCATTTTTTAGTTTCTAGACAATAACTTGTGTTCAAGTGTATGGATCTCTCTAAAATTGTATTACAAGGTACCATACCACAAAGGCAAGGCTGTTATTGAGCTTGGTTTGGGGGGAAAGGGGGGGTGGGGGTGATGAATCATAAGGGGGGCGGGGGTCAAAAAAGGGGTAATTTTTTTTTTTCAATTTTTTTTTGTTTAAAATTTACATTTTAAGTTAGTTATTTTTTATCACGAAGAGAAAGTAGGAATTGAGTTTTGGGGTTAATTGCTCAAACATTTATGAATAAGGGGCCAAATATTGGTCGAAAATAAGGATTTTTTTAGTTTGCAACAAAAACTTGTGTTCAAGTGTATGGATCCCTGTGAAATTGTATTGCAATGTACCATACCACAAATTGAAGGTTGTGATTGAGGTGGGGGATGATGAATCAAAATGGGGTTGAAAAAATGTGTGGGGGGTAGGATTTTTTTTTCTTCCTTTTTTTTTCTTTAAAATTTTCCATTTAAAGATGGTTGTTTCAGATTTATATATGAAAGAAAATAATAATGATACGGTTATATATCATGAGGAACTGAAATTTAAAATTATGTATATTGGAAATTTAGGTTACATTGGAAAGTAATAATTGGCTTTGGGGGGGGGGGGGGGGGGGGGGGGGGGGGGTAGTTGAATTATTTAATACTTTTATGATGTGTTTAAATGGGGTTTTATCATGTTATCATGGTTGCAAATTTATTGTTTTAGTATAATAAACTCCATTTAAAATTTGCCAATAAAAAGAATTTTTGTTTATTTTTAGCTATGATTATGATGTCATTTTCTATTTTACTTTTATGGTTGCAAAGAAATTTTTATTTTTAGATATTACTGTTAAATGATGCTGATTAAGGTTTTTGCTATGTTTAGCCATGACTATGATGTCATTTTCTATTTTAATATCTGTTCTGATGTATTTAAATGGGCTTTTATGGTTACAAAGGAATTTTATTTTTAGATATTACTATAAAATGTTGCTGATGCTGATTAAGGATTTTGTTTATTTTTAGCCATGACTATGATGTCATTTTCTATTTTAATACCTTTATGATGTAATTTCCATTTTTAGATATTACTGTTAAATGATGCTGATTAAGGGTTTTTTGCTATGTTTAGCCATGACTATGATGTCATTTTCTATTTTAATATCTTTATGATGTATTTAAATGGGCTTTTATGGTTACAAAGGAATTTTATTTTTAGATATTACTTTAAATGTTGCTGATTAAGGATTTTTGTTTATTTTTAACCATGACTATGATGTCACTTTCTATTTTAATACCTTTATGATGTATTTAAATGGGCTCCCATGTATTTAGATTTTTGATTATTTATACATGTTACCAAATTGGTCCACATTGAACAAAAACGGTCCAAATTTCAACTTTATTACATTACATCAAACATTGAATTCTACATATTCTTTGATATATTGAAATTAACAAACAATTTAGTTTATGGATATTCCACCATAATAGGTAAATTAAATTTTTTCCAGTTCTTACACCACATTCATCCTGTGTCAGAAACCTATGCTGTGTCAAATATTTAATGACAATCCAAAGTCATAGCTGTATCAAGCTTGAATTTTGTGTCCATACTTGCCCCAACTGTTCAGGGTTCGACCTCTGCGGTCGTATCAAGCTGCGCCCCAGCGAAGCATTTTATTCTTATTAAGCAAACTTAAAGTTCTTTGTTTGAAATTATTCAAAAAGGAAACAATGTGTTGTGTATTTTTTTTAGATGTTATTTTCCCTTAAACAAAAGAATAAATAAATATGCCTGTAATGCATTTTTTGTTAAAACAGATAATCCGTAAGACCAAGAAAAAATGTGAATTGATAATCAGCAAACAGTTTCATAAAAAATCTTTAAAGAGAATAAATACTTGAAAGTCATGAACATTTCAGTATAACTTACATCTATTTTTATTGTAAGATATTTTGTGAAAAGAGCCCCTGCCCTCTAAAGACACTATTTATTTATTGCAACATAATTCATATTTAAAGATATGTTTATATTGTTTACACAGATGCCCAAAGTCCTGCCACACAAAAGGTTGCAGTGAAGAGAACAATAACAACTACTGCTGTTACTACAGCTGATGTGTAAGTTCTATTCTTGAATTAAATAAAAATTATTGCAGAAAATGTTTTTGTTTTAAAAACTACAGCATGCATTCTGCTTTAAAAACATTAGGCACCAGGAGTATGTACAGAAGTTTGCATGACGCCCAGGTCAAAGTGTAATCTAAAAAAGAAATGGAATACATTGTGTAATTTGTAACTTTTTTTACCTTGGCATTAATGGTTTCTCACCATAATCAAAATTGTGGTCAAATAGTTATAATTTTAACTGGTTTTCCTACAGAAAGATCTGGTTATGAATGTGGGGAACTATGGCAGGTGGTTCAAAATGTTTTCTATACAATAACTTCAGAACGATTTTACTTTTTCTTTTCATATTCTGATATGTTGTTTCCTATAACAAAATGGAAATTAAGTTCAATATTGACAATTTTCACCTTTGTCATATATGACCTGTGGTACTTGATTGACTTTTGTCATATATGACCTGTGGTACTTGATTGACTTTTGTCATATATGACCTGTGGTACTTGATTGACTGAAAAAAAACAGTTCTTTATGTTGTTTTAGTATGATAACTTTAGAAAGTTCAACCAATTCCAACTGCTTCCATAAAATAATTCTAAATTGGTGTATTAACAGTTAATCATACAATTCCTTTTTATCATTGCAGACGGCAGCAGTTAGCAGGAATAGGACAAGTTAAAAAGATCAAAACAGAGGAAAATCAGTTATAAATTGATCTTTTATTGTTATTAGTTAGTTATATTTTGTTAAATGAATGTAACTGTTAAGTTTGTAATATCAAAAAATTGTGTTAAACTTTACCTAGATATCAACTGGTATGGTTGTAAATTAAATAGAAAAAAACCTATTACATTAGATATGACCAAAGTTAAATGTTATGTTGATATATGATTAATCATATTCACAATTCCTGCTGACACTTATTCATATGCTAATATGTTTTGTTTAACTTGAATTGAAGATGATTAAACTAGATTATTCAAAGGTTTTGTCAGAATGTGAAGGGTTATATTTCACAGTTGACCGAAACTAATAATTGTCCATCATTAAACTTGGTCAAATTTTTTTTTTTTTTTGTCATTACACTTATTCTGTTTTGTTGTAAGTGTTTTGAAAAGCTGGAGATTGCATAAATTGCAAGTATATGTATGCTTCCCAAGCTATTTCTTGGATAATTTACAGTCTTCAGTACTAGTGCTATACTTCTTAATTGTTATTAATGTTGGACACATTTTAATGCTGAAATATTTTTAAGTTCCTTTTACTAATGTAGTCTTTGTTTTAATGTAATTCATTGAAAAAATCATTCAAAGCAGAAGATCTCTTCATAAATTTTATCATTCATTCTTCATGTTACATTATAGTGCCTGTTAAACAATCATAAAATATCAATGGCAAAGGAGGGAATTGTTCTAATTTTTCATTATTTTCAAATTAACATTAGATATTTATATTCTTATTTACTTAATTGTATTAAAGATATTCTGTGCAGCTTTTAAAGAGTTTTGACCTATGAGTTTGAAATCATAATTGCAGAATATATGTATGATTTTACAGATGGCCAAGATTGATTGTTATTTATTTAGATGGTGACATAATGCATTTAAGACATGAGAACAAGTTACATCTGTACTATGTTGCAAATACAGTGATAGGGTTAGCCAAATCATATCTTAAAGAGCAGAAAACAAAATAGTTCAGTGTAAAAAGTATATTTTTGACATGCCTGGTTACATCATGACTTTTAACATTTACCAGGGATGTTTTCGTATTAATTTATTAGTCTGCATATATGTACCTCTTTTTGAACCGCCTCAGGTTCATACTAAATGTCAAGTAATATAAAATGATAAAAATTCTTCATTTCCTTTTTAGCTCACCTGGCCCAAAGGGCCAAGTGAGCTTTTCTCATCACTTGGCGTCCGTCGTCCGTCGTCCGTAAACTTTTACAAAAATCTTCTCCTCTGAAACTACTGGACCAAATTTAACCAAACTTGGCCAATATCATCATTAGGGTATCTAGTTTAAAAAATGTGTCTGGTGACCCAGCCAACTAACCAAGATGGCCGCCATGGCTAAAAATAGAACATAGGGATAAAATGTAGATTTTGGCTTTTATCTCTGAAACCAAAGCATTGAGAGCAAATCTGACAAAGGTTAAAAATGTTTATTAGCTCAAGATCTATCTGCCCTGAAATTGTCAGATGAATCGGACAACCCGTTGTTAGGTTGCTGCCCCTGAATTAGTAATTTTAAGGAAATTTTGCCGTATTTGGTTATTATCTTGAATATTATTATAGATAGAGATAAACTGTAAACAGCAATAATGTTCAGCAAAGTAAGTTCTACAAATAAGTCAACATGACCAAAATGGTCAGTTGACCCCTTAAGGAGTTATTGCTCTTTTATAGTCAATTTTTAACAATTTTTTGTAAATTTTTGTTATCTTTTACAAAAATCTTCTCCTCTGAAACTACTAAGATGAATTTAACTAAAGTTGTAAACAATCATCATTAGGGTATGTAGTTTAAAAATTGTGTTTGATGACCCCGCCCTCAAACCAAGATGGCCGACATGGCTAATAATAGTACATAAGGTAAAATGCAGTTTTTGGCTCATATATCTAAACCCAAAGCATTTCTAGCAAATCTTTCAAACACAAAATTGTTCATTAGGTCAAGATCTATCTGCCCTTAAATTTTCAGACCATTCAGGCAACCCGTTGTTGGGTTGCTGCCCCTGAATTGGTAATTTTTAGAAATTTTTTCAGCTTTTGGTTATTATCTTGAATATTATTATAGATAGAGATAAACTGTAAAGAGCAATAATGTACAGCAAAGTAAGACCTACAAATAAGTCACATGACCAAAATGGTCAATTGACCCCTTAAGGAGTCATTGCCCTTTATAATAAATTTTTAACAATTTTCATAAATTTTGTAAATTTTTACAAAATAATTTCCACTGAAACTACAGGACCAAGTTCATTATAGATAAGAGATAATTGTAAGCATCAAGAATGTTCAGTAAAGTAAGATCTACAAACACATCACCATCACCAAAACACAATTTTGTCATGAATCCACCTGTGTCCTTTGTTTAATATGCACATAGACCAAGGTGAGCGACACAGGCTCTTTAGAGCCTCTAGTTATCTTTAAGAAAAGGATAATTTGAAAGAGATATTTTTGATAAAAACAATGCAGTTTCAATAGGATACATTTTTTATTTCTATTCTTACTATTAATGACTATATATGCATTCATGGACTTAACATGGATGTAAACTGTCACTACATGATAGAAACTTGTTCAGTTAGTACAGACCTTGCATTAATCTCACATTAGACTTTACTGTCAATTGTACAGAATATTAGTGGCTTATAGTAATTAGATGTATCTTAGAAATAAAAAAGAATTTTTATTAACCATAAAACTTTAATTTAACCAAAGTTAATGGGTCTGACAAGTGTAAATTTCTGTAAATATTGACATGATAGACAAGTATTGTAGTTAACTTTCATCCATTATATATAATTCTGTATTACAACATTATTGCATGTTTTCTTGTGGTTCCTAATACCAATCATTGTTTGAAATATGAATTCAGAATAAAATAATCAATTTTCATTTCCTAAGAACATCTCATAAATTATTTACAAAACATTTGATTCAACTGGTTATACTAACAGCTATCTATAAAGCAAGAAATAAGATAAATGGAAAAACAAAATTAGTTGGTGACAGATAATTGAATTATTGTTTCTCACATCCAAAAATGAAAATGAAAGTTAGAAATAAGTTATCACGAAGGTACTATTAATTTAGAGTGAGAACCAATAATTGATGATTATAATTTTTAATATTTGATAATATTGTCTGAGCACAACCAGGGTAAGGGTGCAGTTTTGATGTAAGATGGTAAGGGCATTATTTAGATGAAAGAAATGAGATGTAATTGTAATTAAGATACTAATGGAGGATTTTTATATGAACCCATAAAATGAAATAATATGTCAACATCTTTACTTGTATATTTTGTTTACACCATTGTTTGTATATGTAAAAAAGTCATCTGTACATTACCATGAATGTATTGCTTTTAAATATAGCATACAAAATATTTTAGTTGAGTCTTTTTTTTTCTTGACCATGTAAAAATACATCAGTATGGCATAAATAAGATTTTATCTTGTATATCCTGGAAAAATATGTAAATTTATCGGTTGTCCCGCTGTCTGTATCGTTCTGCTCAGCTCTTAATAAAATTGCATATCACAGCTTTGTGAAGTCAAATACATGTACCCAGACATATCACCGACGTCATAATATATGAACCTACGCTGATAAGTTTGACCCGAACTTATCACGCCATCTTCCGGTTTGCCAGTGAAACAATGAAAACACTTGTTTTTATCATGCAAAATTCGCAAATACAACCCGATAAATCGATTATCTGGTTGTTTGCATATTCATATTGTAAAATATCAGCTGCTCGACACAATATGTAGCCTTTTTGATCTCGTTCGCTGCGCTCACTCGACACAAAGCTTCATATTGTGACTCGCAGCTGACTTACGATATCAATATGCAGACAACCTGGTAATCAGTACGTATCCAGTCAGCATACCTTTATTATTTAGAGTATGTTTTCATGGGTAAATATCAGTAAGATAGCAACCAAACAAGTTAACCCTTCTGGACATCTATTGGTTACATGGCAATCTTCTAAATGGGAAAACAACCAACTGAAATTACAAGTCTAGACAAGTTTTGAGATGTTAAGCAAGCAAGTTTACAGTTACCGTAATGAAATAAAATGTATGAAAAAAGTTATGCTTGTAAAAATTAATACAGTATGCAATCAAATCTATAGATTTATAAAAGAGTTGAAACATAAATTTATTGAATGAACAAATTATAAAGAAGATAATTTTTACATTGTTAAATGATTTATCCCTTAATTCAGACAACGACGGAATGTAGGATCTCTATGTCAACAAAAATGGGGAAAACATTATTAAAAATTTCCCTCTTGATACTCTCTTTTGATTGTAAGAAGCTTCTGTCCAAGTTTGGTAAAAATCCAGGATGGTTTATGAATCTAATAAATGTTTTAAAAACTTGAACAGCAGACTGTGTGTAATGTTAACTGGAAGAAAACCTAAGTCCATTTATAAGCAATATACAGAAAAACAGGAAATAAATGTTAACAAAATTTCCTTCTAGATACTAGCTTTTGATCATAAACAAGCTTCTGTCCAAGTTTGGTACAAATCCAGGATAGTTTAAGAAAGTTATTTGGCAGAAGAACTAAGTCCATTTATAAGTAAAATACGGATAAACAGGACTCCACCGCCGACAGAATGTAGGATCGCTATGTCTCAATTTTGCGACAAAAGTCGCAGGGACAAAAAGCACAGGAAAAACTACTCGATTTAATTACATAGATGATAAAGAACTCTAAAAACAGCAAAATAAAAGAATTACTGCATCAAGGAATGCTTGCCTTTGTAAAAGCAAGATGTTCGGCCATCCAAATATGATGGCAAACAATATTACCAAGTATGAGAGCTATCTGTAAAATGGTCTCGAAGTGTGCTCAGTTGTTATTGCCACAATACACATATTAATAGTCAAAGTCCCATAACTCATGTACAAATGATTGGACAAAAATTACTGTATGATATGGTCAACTACACATGATGGCAAACAATCCTACCAAATAAGAGCTTTCTAAAATGGACTTGAATGTGGTTCATAAGTGCTTTTGGTTTCTCGTTTTTTATATATATTAGACCATTGGTTTTCCTGTTTGAATTGTTTTACACTACCGTAGTCATTTTGGGGCCATTTATAGCCTGCTGTTGGGTGTGAGCCAAGGCTCCGTGTTGAATGCCGTACTTTGACCTATTTGTTAACTTTTTACACATTGTGACTTTGATGAAGTATTGTCTCATTGGGACTCATATCACATCTTATTTCTATTGAAGGTGGTGTTGTTATGATACTTAACTAGTGGCTCTCAAGAGCCTGTGTCGCTCACCTGATTCTACTTTGGTTTTGGAAATCATGTAAAAATAGATTAAAATCATAACAGATACCCTAATAATGATTGAGGCCAAATTTGGTTTAATATTGGCCCCATAATTTAAACAAAAGCAGAAGACTTTTGTAAAGTTTACAGAAATTATAGAAAATGACTTTATAAGGACAATAACTCCAACAAGATGTCAATTGACAATTTTGCTCATGTTGACTTATGTGGAGATCTTTTTTTTTTTGATATTTTTGCAGTTTACAGTATATCTCAATCTATAAAGATACATGTATTAAGGTCTTCATCAGCACCTCATAAGGAACATTTATGCCATGTTTGGTTTCATTCCATTCAGTGCTCCTCTAGAAGAAGCATTTGTATGTATTTCCCATAGGGTCTTATGTTAAACTAAGTCCCCTGCTGGTGTCCATCTTGGATGATGGTTCGGCTAGTAAGTAACAACACTTGGTCAACACCTCATTAGGAACATTCATGCCATGTTTGGTTTCATTCTATTCAGTGGTTCTCTAGAAAAAAACATTTGTATGTATTTCCCATAGGGTCCTATGTTAAACTTACTCCCCCTGTTGGCAGCCATCTTGGATGACAAATCAGCTACAAAGTAACAACACTTGGTCAGCACCTCAAAAGAAACATTCATACCATGTTTGGTTTCAATCCATTAAGCAGTTTTCTAGAAGAAGACATTTGTATATATTTCCCATAGGGTCCTTTGTTAAACTAAGTACCCGTTGGCAGCCATTTTGGTTGATGGATTTGCTACAAAGTAATAACACTTGGTCAGCACCTCATAAGAAACATTCATGCCATGTTTGGTTTCATTCCATTCAGTGGTTCTTCAAAAGAAGACTTTTGTATGTATTTCACATAGGGTCCTTTGTTAAACTAAGTTCCCCGCTGGCAGCCATCTTTGATGATTGATTGGCTTCAAAGTAACAACACTTGGTCAGCACCTCATAAGGAACATTCATGTCATGTTTGGTTTCATTCCTATGTATTTCCCATATGGTCCTATGTTAAACTAAGTCCCTCTCTGGCAGCCATCTTTGATGATTGATTGGCTACAAAGTGACAACACTTGGTCATCACCTCATAAGGAACATTCATGCCATGGTTCTCTAAAAGAAGACATTTGTATGTATTGTCCATAGGGTCCTATGTTAAACGAAGTCCCCCGCTGGTGACCATCTTGGATGAATGATCGCCTACAAAGTTTCAACACTTGGTCAGGACCTCATAAGGAACATTCATGCCATGTTTGGTTTCATTCCATTCAGTGGTTCTCTAGAAGTTCAAAATGTAAAAAATTAACGACAGACGACGACGACGGACAACAGACGCCAAGTGGTGAGAAAAGCTCACCTGGCCCTTCTGGCCAGGTGAGCTAAAAATGGTCAAAGTCAGATACCGGGTAACTCATAACAATTAGTCAAATCAAACTGACAATATAGCATGGTCAAGCCACTCAAGGGAATACGACGAACCAAATATAAAAGCTAAGTCGAAAGATTTTGGAGTATTTATGTGTTTCAGACAGAAAGAGACTACTACCTTATCTGTTACAAAATTACTGTGGGGAAAATTGATAACACACACTTTATTAGGTATTGTTTGCCATCATATTTGGATGACCATTTTATATCGTCATTTCGGAATAGGACTTTTACTATATTTGGCAATAAAAACACAATGACACCTTGTGACACACAATTCCTCATTTATACAGCACAGGAAAATATTTTGCTTTTAGCATTTTAGCTTTTATTAAATTTTCTAGTCTTGAGCAAAGGCCAAACTTTATCTTGCTTTCACATCTGCAAGCATTCCTTGGTGCAGTAATTCTTTTATTTTGCTGTATACATGATGGGTGCCACAGGATCTGCTCCGAAGCACCTGGTGGGGTTCATGTTGCTCAGTCTTTAGTTTTCTATGTTGTGTTTTGTGTACTGTTATTTGTCTGTTGGTCTTTTTTCTTTTTTAGCCTAGGCATTGTCAGTTCATTTTCGACTTATGAGTTTGAATGTCCCTTAGATATCTTTCGCCTCCCTTTTAAATATTTACAAATCAGCAATTGAAGGCAAAATTAATCTTTAATGAAACTTGAGGCAAACTTTTCAATTACAGAATATCCTATTTATATACTAGGAGATATGGGAGTGTAAGTCAATAAGACAGCAATTATTTCTTTTGGAGACCACTTTAAAAACTTGTCAAGTTAACAGTGACTACTGTCATACAATGTGCTAGTAATTTCACCTAATGAAAATAGTGATAAATAGTTTTATGAGTTACAAATTCATGTAACTGAATCCACATTCATCTGAGTACAGACAAGTTGCTATACACATCAAAAAGCAATGCTTTCTATGTTTAATTCATAAAATTAAAGTGCTTGTTCCCAAGATAGCAGTCTCCAGAAAGACATGTGACCCTCCCCGGACACATTTTGATCCCTTTGCTAACCTTAACCAATCTTCACTCTTCCTCCTGAATTTTGCATCCTTAGGAATCAACTGGGGATCAAATGAAAAACTTCCAACACCCAAGAGAGGGTTCTTTCTTGCAAGTGTCTTGCCTTTCAGAAAGAAGATCTGAATATTTCAATCAAGTCTTGTGTCTATATTCATATGACTGGAAAAAGAAGGAATAAATAAAAAAAAATCACAATCACATTGAACACATTTTAATTTTCAGCTGCTCTCAGAAATAAACTTTATAAAAACACATATATATACTAAAAACTTAATAGTCCATTAAACTATTGTAAATTTAATAATAAATTATATACATAAAAAAACATACAGCACTATTTACCTTTCACTATTCTAAGCTCTTTACAATTCATAAAAAAACCCATTAAAATCAATAAAAACAATTGAATATTACTACAGTCCTTACTACTACTCTTTCATAAAATATCTAGGAAAATGAAATACTGACCTAAACCATCCTTCCAAAAAACAATATTATAGATGTTTTTAAATTTGTCCTTGATGACTTGATATTTTTTAAATTGAATTGAAATAACTTCAAAATAATGTGATGTTAAAATAAATTGCTTCGCCGAGTGCAGCTGGATTCGACTGCAGAGGTCTTACCCTGAACAGTTGGGGCAAAAATGGACACAATATTTGCGATTGTAGTCAAAGAACTTAGAATTGGTTATATGATTTGAATTTATATTCAATTTTCTGCTTTTGTGCAATACACTATGCTGTTGTGAATTGACCCCCACCCCTTCCTCCAAAAAAAAAAAAAAAAAAAATTTACCCCACCATTTTTTTTGCTTTTGTGCAAACCACTATGCTGTTGCGAATTGACCCCCCCCCCCCCCCCCCCAAAAAAAAAATTGTTTACCCACCTTTTTTTGGCAAAAAAAAAAATATTTGAAGAAATTTTCTTTTTAATTTCTGAAATCTGAAATGAGAAAAAATTGCCCCCTCCCTCACAATTTCTTTTTTACCCCCCCCCCCCCCCTCAATTTTTTTTCACCTCCTCCCCCTTTTTCCAATAAAAAAATTCTTTCCCTCAAGATATGGTCATAATCTCAATTCAAATTTCCAATGGAGTTTGCAACCATAATTACCCATTTAAATACATCATAAAAGTCTTAAAATAGAAAATGACATACATAATCATGGCTAAAATTAATATTCCTTAATCAGCATTTTTAAATAGTAACTTCTAAAAATAAATTGACAACTAATCACCTCAAGAGAATACAACATTTCTTTATACATAATTTAAAAGCAGTGTAAGGGAGGTAATCCAAACATAACATTGTACTTTTTTTTTAATTGTCCATTAACCAGGAAGCCCTTGTTATCCCCCCTTTTTTGCCCCTAATTCCTAAACGGTTTGAGCCATAACCCCCCAAACCAATCCTAACCATCCCTTTGGGGAATGAAAACTTGTGGTATAATTTCAGAGAGATCCATACACCGTTCAACAAGTTATTGTCTGGAAACTAGAAAAATGCTTATTTGGGCCCCTTTTTGGCCCCTAATTCCTAAACTGTTAGGACTATAACCCCCAAAATCAATCCCAACCTTCCTTTTGTGGTTATAAACCTTGTGTTCAAATTTCATAGATTTCTATTTCCATTTACTAAAGTTATTGTCCGGAAACCAAATGTCTTTGGACGATGCTGCCACCGACGACGAGGACTACGTGATACCAATATACGACTGCAAAATTTTTTGCGGTCTTATAAAAATGTAATATAAATAAAAACAGAAACCAATACACAAACTAAAATTTGTCATCATCAAAACAAATTCATAATGTTCGAAACACAAAATAAACTAGTGAAAAAAGGTATTTACATGTACAAATAATAATGGCTTTGTTTGAAATATTGAAATGATTTAATTAAAAGAGTGTTTTATTTCTTAATGTCATACCAATTTACCTTGTATTTACTTTTTTAGGAAACATTTTATAAGAAATGCATGTGAGCAAAGTTTACAGCTTATTTTTTTCCTAAAAATAATTTAAACTTGATGACTTGAATTTTGAAATTAGAATGAAATAACTTCAAAATAATGTGATTTTAAACTAGAGGCTCTAAAGAGCCTGTGTCGTTCACATAGGTCTATGTGCATCTTCAACAATGGATACTCTCCATCTTTGTGGACTATAATAGAATTCATGACAAAAATCTCTTCTTTGTTGATCTAGTCTTGCTGATCATGTCTGCTTATTTAAGTTTCTATCGATCTAATATACTTTTTCAGATAGAAGGCAACAACTCTAAAAAATGATAAAAATCGTTATTTAAGAGAACAACTCCAATAAGGGGTTATCAGACGATTTAAACCATGTTGACTTATTTGAAGATCTTGTCTTGCTGATCATTTATGCCTATTTAAGTTTCAATCAATCTATTATACTTTTTCAGATATTAGACAAAAATGCAAAAAATTAGTAAAAATCGTCATTAAAGTGCAATAACTCCAATAAGGGATCATCAGACGATTTCAACTATGTAGACTTATTTGTAGAACTTATCTTGCTGATCATTTTTGCTATTTAAAGTTTCGCTCTATCATAATTTCAAGATAAAAGGCAAAAATTTAAAAAGTTGGGCCAAGTGAGCTAAAAATGTAACCATATGCAAAAAAAAAAACAGAAATCAATCCACAAACTAAAATTGGTCATAATCCAAACAAATGCATGTTATTTTAAAATCAAAAAGGTATTTACATGTACAAATAAAAGAGGGTTTGTTTTCTGATATCAACTTCATTTACATATTACCCAACTGTACCTTGTTCAACTGTTTTACAACTTTTCATGTAAGTTTTAAAATTTCTTCACAAATTTATATTAAAACATGATACATTATTACTTTAAAAAAAAATATAAAACAGTTGGGTAACTTTTTATGTTACCATAGCTTTATGATGTACAATACACTCCTATCTGAAAATGATCCTGAATTGTTTGCATATGTATCTTTTTTTCAGAAAAGTTATTACTTTGCCTATCCACTCTTAATGGTTCTGTATTTAGCTGGACAGAAAAATGTTGAGACAACATTTTGGCAATTTACGAGAAATAAAATTGTTCCACCACAACATGAAAATTGTAGAAATGAGACAAATTTGAGTGGTTACTTTCTTTCTCCATATTAGCTAACATATCTTATTAATATAGATTCACTTAAAAAAGTAAGAAGATGAGGTATGACTGCAAATGAGACAACTCTGTACAAGAGAACAAATAAAGTAGATTTAAGCAATTAGAGGGTCACGGTATGGCCTTCAAAAATTAGCAAAACGCATACTGAATAGTAAGCTATAAAAGGCCCAACATGAAATGTAAAAAAATTCAAACTAGTAAAATAACTGCCTAATTTATGTACAAAACAAAAAACCAAAATGATAGATAACAACCAACACTATCTGTGTTAATTGTATAATTCCAAGATTCAAAGCATTCAAGTTCAGGGATGCAATATTCATATATTTACAATTTGAGATGAGATCAATATTCTACATTAAAATCTAATCTGAAATTTCAAATATCTGATGTTCCCTTTCTGTCTCTTTCTTCAAATTTCAAAATGAAGTCTAATGCAGAATGTAAAATTAACTGTAGAGTTATCTCCCATTGATCATAAAATTGTGTAAAACCTTTTCACTTTTGTCATTTACTATTAAAGGGCTCTGTGGTGCATTGGTTAGCATGCCATCCAAGGGTTCCGCATTCTAATAATATTAATGATGATATTTTCAAGGATAAAATTCATAGCATTTAATTTACACCATTTGAAAGGATGGTCATGAAAAAAATGCTAGTCAGTGAGATGGGGACAAAAAATAGTGCCACATTCAGACATGGGGTCAATTACTTTTGAAAGTAATTAATAACATTCAATTACAATTACAAAATCTTCAATTAAATTACACATTACATTTGAATTTTTACCAATGTAATTAATTACTTTCCAATTACTTGGCAAATGTAATTAATTACTTCAATTACTTTTGAAAGGAAAATTTAAAATATTGAAAGCATGCATTCATTCTATGATATGTACATAAGTATCATACATTGCTTTATAGTAATAACAAATGACATCTTCAGCGACTATTTTAAAATTCAGCCAGTATCAAAGAAGAGTAAAAATTTGATAGCTGGTGTGTTACGGAAATAAAGAAAAAACATACATAAATCTGAAGTGCACATAATTCTTTGTCTATCAGGAATCGTAAGGACTAGAGGTCTGGTTTAATTTAATGCTCAAAATGATAAAAAGCCTTATTCAATATTTTGAAAATGTCAAATTTTGTTGTAAATACCTATTGAAATTTATAATTTAATGTATTTCATTGAAAATGATACAAAAAGAGAGCCATAATTTTAATATTTTGAAATGATTTTTTATTTTGATCACAACTTATTAAAATTATTTTTCCTAAAATGATTTAAAAAGCCTGACTTTTTTAAAAATATACTTTAGTTTTAATCACAACTAATTGATTTAAATTATCTCTCTAATTGTCTTAACACCTGTTTAACATGCAAACATAACTGTTGTAAAACAGTCATTATATAGTTTATAATAAAACAAATAGCCAGAGGTTATATTTGCTGATTGACTATGTCCTTTAAAATTGATTATGTTTAATCAATGTCTAACATTATGTATCTGAATATACATGTAGGTAACAAGCTAATTAGGTACAAGACAGAGACTTACTAATGGTTTCTTTTAAACACAAATTGTGGCATGTTTCTATAATCTTTATATTTGTTCTTTTTTCTTTTTTGTTTATTCAATACAAAATAAAGAATATCCCATGGTTGTGTAATTACAGAAAGTATACTGTGTAGGCTTTGCTTTGTCAGCTTACTACATTTACTAAGGTCATAGCGTTTCATCATTTTTTGAGAAAACACATGATTCAATCTTTCTGATCCAAAATTTAAATGTAATTGAGTTGTAATTGACAAGTAATTGTCAATTACAGACAATTTTGGCTATGTAATTCATTACTTTCAATTACTTGTAATTGAAAAAATGCTCAATTACACATTACATTCAATTACTTGAGAAATTGTAATTAATTACGGTCAATTACAATTACATATTTCAATATACCATGTCTGGCCACATTTTACGGTGAGTTAATGCAAAAATGTTTTACAATGCTAAAATCTCCTTTGAATGTAAAGCTAATAGAATATGCAAAAATGGTGTTACATGGCTATTTTCCCAACATATAGACAGGAGAGGAGTAAGCTTATTATATTGTTTTATGTTGTGTTTCCTAATCCTTTAAAAAAATACCTAAAAAATGTAAGCCTATATATTCAAACAGAATTCACTGGCCTAATTGTGACAAATAATCATACTACGTATTGTATATATCTACCATTTTTGTTTGGGTCCACATTTTATAACAACAGTAAGTTTTCCTTGACAGCAATGTAATTGATTTTAAATAAAATCTGATAAATGAGAAACAACCTCAATGTGAACAATTAAAATGATGAACAATAATTCATGTGTACTGGCTAATTTCATTCCAAATTATCTGTCTATTTTAAATAATATTTGTTCAGTGCTGCACAATCAATTAAAAAAAATACACTTAGATGTAAATATTATCTGAAAAAAAGTAAATTATTTTAGATATAAAATAGATTCATACTGGTCTGTTTATCAATAACTATCATATTGTAAAAATCATGTCTCTAATGTCAAATAAAACAATTTGCAAACTGGAAAAACTCAAAAGAAACACCCCATAATATTCTAGACTATTAGGGTATAAGCACACAATACTATACTTATTATGTGTAACATATCTTAACCTTTTCTGTAAACATGATTAATATGTAAAAGTACATATTAATGAGACAATAACTCGACAATATAAAAAACCTTAAAAAAAAACATGTGGAGATTAATTAAGTATCTACTGCACTTTAGGGTCTGTTCAGTTTATTCATAATTAGGCTGGTGCAAATGTTTCACAATTCAAAGCATTACTTTAAATGAGCAGTTAAAAAAGAAATACAGGTAAATAATAATCAGCAGTTTCATAATCTTAATAGTTATAGGTAATTTCATTGTTTGTTATTCATTCAAATTGAAAATAATTGTATACCATTGGTTGATTTTCAATTGTGAACCTTTTTTTACAACTCAAAGGTTTTTGTGTATGCTATGAATATTTTACCCATAATGCTCTTAGATTCTTAAGATGTCAATTCTCAGAAAACAATGCATTATCATTTATATGTTTTGATTTTAACTACAATGTTGTATAATCTTAATCAAATACCAAAACGATTTAAACAGTGTAATCCCTAATATTAATATCTAATAAGATCATGAAGATTATAGATCGGATTTTTTCACATTTGATTTTATACCAGGGCTATGGAAATATATAGACTATTGGCAATTCCTTTTTTTTTTAAATAAAAAAAAAGTTACATTGTCAAATTGCAGATGCTAATCACACTAAGCACCAATTATGAAATATGGAAGACATGTTAAATCTTCTTAATAAAGCCACAATACAATTGCAAGTTGTATTGCAAAATCAATAAAAACTTATTTTTTGTCAAACAAAAACATTACCTTTGCAAAAGTTACTACCTACTAATTTTAAACATGTCCTAAATATATCAAAAAAGTTATACACAGAGGTATACTACCAAAATGTTTGGGTGAAATACTATAAATAATGCCTAAATAAATTCCCATTTTAACCAGGGATAACCCTTTCACCCCCTTTTTCTTTTAAAACAAGAATGTGTCCAGAGTACACAGATGCCCCACTCGCACTATCATTTTCTATGTTCAGTGGACCATGAAATTGGGATCAAAACTCTTAATTTGACATTAAAATTAGAAAGATCATATCATAGGGAACATGTGTACTAAGTTTCAAGTTGATTGGACTTCAACTTCATCAAAAACTGCCTTGACCAAATACTTTAACCTGAAGCGGGAACAGAGGGACGAACGGACAGACGGACTAACAGACGCACAGACCGAAAAACATAATGCCCCTCTACTATCGTAAAATATACCCCTCTACTATCGTAAAACCCCCTGCAGGTAATGCCCCTCTACTATCGTAAAACATAATGCCCCTCTACTATTATAAAATATACAAAATATATACCTAAATCAAAAAACATAATGCCCCTCTACTATCGTAAAATATACCAGGAAGTAAATTTGACACAAGAGAATGACGGACAATATTCCAATGCATTACAATATCACAATGTAAATATCAAATTAACATTACTGCTCTAACATACAATCATTTATCAGACAATGGGGATCTTTTCTCTTCTTTGGTGTTATGTCTAGTAAGAAAACTGTTTTTTCTTGTGATCTTTTCCAAGGCTTTTACCGTTTTGGCAAAGCTTCCAGGTGATTCAAAATATACTGTTTTATTGTATGGTAATGTTTTGGGACTTCTCTGTCTAAGGAAATATTTCTGGCTATAACTGTTTTTACTAGTACTCTGTAAAATAAATGCAACAGCTTAAATCAAAGATATACAAAATATATACCTAAATCAAAATTGATCATAACCTCTGTGTTTACTGTAACTTTACATAGAAAGGGTCTGTGCTTGGTTTAAATATTGCACCAATATTTCAATCTTTACTTTTTCTTTATTGTTCATAATTGTTCATATTTCAAAATAAAACTAGGTTGATAACTCAACTGGTGTCTATATTTATCATTATTCAGCAAGAACAAGATAGATAAATTGAATTGTAAGCTATGGCTCAGAAATGATACCCCTACTCCAAATTTCAGAAAGCCCTGGTTTGTAGTTCCTAAGAAAAATGCAAGGAAAATCGCATACATAGCCTTTTGGTGTAAGAATATATCAGAAACAGATAGTAACTAAGCAATGTGTCTGAAACGCATCACACAGTAAAGCTCACATGTAGCTTGATACAAAGTTTTGAGAAGTTCAGAGATGTGTAGTTCCTGAGTGTCACAAAAAAAAAATTCTTGGGACAGACAGACAGATGAATGTGGACAGACAGACAGACAGACATACATACTAAACAAGTATCCTCTATCTTTTGAGAGGCAGGATATAATAAGCTACAATAACATAACTGTATGTTTATTTTTACTTTAAATCTTTAGATTTAATAAAAAAATTCGTAAGGGTTCTGCGGAACCCAGTGTCTCGCCTACTTTTTCTGTTAATCGCCGGCTCACAAAAATGAGGAAGTAAATCAATAAGAATATTCCTCTTGATACTATCTTTTGATTGTAAGAAGCTTCTGTCCAAGTTAGGTAAAAATCCAGGATAGTTTATGAATCTAATAAATGTTTACAAACTTTAACTGCAGACTGAATGTAATGTTAAATGGAAGAAAACAATATTTCCTTCTAGATACTAGCATTTGATCATAAACAAGCTTCTGTCCAAGTTTAGTACAAATCCAAAATAGTATAAGAAAGTTATTAAAATTTTAAAAACTTTAACCACAGAGTGAATATGTTGTTTCCTGGCAGAAAATCTAAGTCCATTTAAAAGTAAAATACGGAAAAAATGGATTAATTTTTTTACAAAATTTCCTTCTAGATACTAGCATTTGATCATAAACAAGCTTCTGTCCAAGTTTGGTACAAATCCAAAATAGTATAAGAAAGTTATTAAAATTTTAAAAACTTTAACCACAGAGTGAATGTGTTGTTTCCTGGCAGAAAATCTAAGTCCATTTAAAAGTAAAATAAGGAAAAAATGGATTTATTTTTTTACAAAATTTACTTCTAGATACTATCTTATGATCATAAACAAGCTTCTGTCCAAGTTTGGTACAAACCCAGGATAGTTTAAGAAAGTTATTAAAATTTTAAAAACTTTAACCACAGAGTGAATATTTGTGGACGCGGCCGACGACGACGACGCCGACGGAATGTAGGATCACTATGTCTCGCTTTTTCGACTAAAGTCGAAGGCTTGACAATAAACATCATCAACTTTAGTTTTAACAGTTCTAAAATAAAATTAACCACTTGCTAATAAACTTGGTTAACTTACAGTTTTGGTTGTAAAGCTGTTGTAAGTAAAATGAGTGCTCAAGTTCAAGGAATTTACAAAAAGAATAAAACTTTCTTGAAAATTCAGGCATTTTACAACTTACTGGTTGTGGTGTTATAGATCTGGTGACTTTACTTCCATCGCAGTCTGCTAATCTTGACTCCATACTATGGACTACAATTATTACAAAACAATGCTTAAAATCTGTGCATGCTTGTAAATACAGTAACAAAGGCAATTCTTATAAATATAACAAAATAAAAAAAACAACATGTCTAGTTAACCAGATTCTCTTTACATTTTCTACTTTGTTTTCATATGATATTCTGTTTTCACCTGCTTACATCATGTACATTTTGTTAGTGAAAGTTGAAAAAGAGCTAGTATATAGTTTTTGTTAATCCAAGAATATTCTTTGTTTGCATATGTTAGCCGATGATTCATTAAAAGTACCTTGATGAATAATAAAATATTAAATAAGTCCACATACTGTAATCTTTGACTTTTTATAATAATGTATGCAATGTATATGTTTGCATTTTGTTTATGATTTTTTATGATGAGGGCCTCAGGGAAGATTAGTTATATAGCTAACTGTGTAACCCTCTTAAAATAAAGTATTGTTGTTGTTGTTAAACCAACTTATTTTGCAGATACAGTGAAACCTGTTTTTAAGAGACCACTTAAGGGAGAGCCAAAAAGTGGTCTCATAAGACAGGTGGTTTTTAATACAGGTTCAACCTGTATGAAATGCACTTCAGTGTGACCTAAAATTAATGGTCTTATAAAACAGGTTTTTGCTTAATACAGGTGGTCACTTTAGCAGGTTTGACTGTACTATATTTCACGTTTAGCCCTTTCTGTCTCACTTCGCAGTGATTTAATTTAGTGATTTTTAAATTTACTTGTAGTTAAAAAAGGACAGATCCAAGTTTTATATTTGCAACAATTTTTTTATTTGCGTTATTTTTCTTTCCACAAAAGTCATGAAAAAATAGATTTGCTCGTGAATATTAGTTGGTTAACAGTATTAACTTGTACTGGTAAACATTTAAAACTTGATAGTGAAGCAAACTGAAAAGATAATAAAATTATTTATCAAAGTAACAATTCCTTTTGACAAGATAATTCTACTGAGTGTAAACCAAAAGTCATACTTGGTGAAGGTTGTCTGTATTTTCCAGTTTTTGCCCAAGCATCAATTTGTTCTGCCAACTCCTTCAGAGGTGTCGCACCACGTATATCCCTTAGCTCATCAGTAAGTGTAGTCTGACTGGATTCCCAGGAATAACATGTAGAATAACTCTCCACGGTAGATAATGATGAGGGTATGTATGTGTTATCTGTATCACCAGACAAACTCTCTGTAGATATACTACTTTCACTACAACCACTGTCACTATCATAACCTGTAGCTATAAATAATATAACAATGGTTAATATTTTACAAATCTTAATCCACTTAGATTAATTAATACATCTCCATGATATAACAATCTGAGCTTTAGACAGTACATTTATGAGTAATTAGTTTTCAGGTTACTATCTAAAATCAAATATAAAAAATTTGCCACATTTATAGCACTTGATACGTTATTTTCATATATATCATAGGAAGGCTGTAATCAATTGAACAGGGATCTCTTTATGATAGTTTAGGGCATAACTTAATAAAAAAATGTTGGTGAACAAAAAGCATAATCATTTTCCATGTTATTTGTAGACATAATGGAGAACTTAGATATAAGAAGATGTGGTATGAGTGCCAATGAGACAACTCTCCATCCAAGTCACAATATGTAAAAGTAAACCATTATAGGTCAAAGTATGGCCTTCAATACAGAGCCTTGGCTCACACTGAACAGCAAGCTATAAAGGGCCCCAAAAATGACTAGTGTAAAACCATTCAAACAAGAAAACCAACGGTCTAATCTATATAAAAAACTAGAAACGAGAAACACTTATGAACCACATCAACAAACCACAACCATTGAACATCAGGTTTAACTACTTGCTGACATTCTTATTATGTAGAACATCATGGCCTGTAGTTCGTAAAAATTAGCTGTTGAAACACATGTCAAAGCATATCTTTCTTAAGGTCAACAAGAAATAATTCACTACCTACTGGTGATCAAATACTATTTGGTCATCTATTCTTCAATACACAATTTTGTCATGTTTGTAATAAAAAATCTTGAGGAAAACAAATTCAGTGAAATATATCAAAATGCTACCTTTAGATTTGCTGCTAGATAACTGCTTCATGGAACACATACAAAATGTGATTTTGTATAAGTTCTCAGAAATATTAACATTCACAAAATATTTATAGATCGATATCCTAAACTTACTATCCGCAGCAGCTGTTAATGTATTGGATCTATCTGTATTGCTGTTATATTCTTGTATTATAGTATCACTACTGCTATCTGGACTCAAAGCACTTACAATTTCTTGGTTCTCATTGCCTATTTTAAAAATAATTCTGAGAATAAAGTATTTTGGAAAACAACTGCATTCACAAAAAGATTATCTTATGAACATGATAAAATGTGGCTATCTTTGGTGATCTTGTATTTTGTCTTTCGCAAACTTTTTTTATCCCATGTTTTCTTTATTAACTTACTTGTTCTGACAAGACTAAAGTTAATACTAAAAAGGACTTAAAGATTTTTTTCTGAAAAGCAGTCAGGCAGTCTTCATGATAAACCTAAAAGTCCTACAGTCCAGGCCAGAAAAAATGTCTTCAGGCAAGTAATATCTTTATGAAAAGAGGCCTCACAAGCCATATGAATTCAACAAATTTTATAAAAGACTGATAATTTTCTGGCTTACATGTCAAAATGTTTTTCATGAATCCTACTATCGTATACATAGTCTAAACTAAAGTATATTTATTTTTATGCCTGCAATAATTTGTTACAAATTTTCATGTATGTATATATAGATTTTTATTTGTATATTTTTTTGTGCAGACCTATTTTTGTGATTTCAAAATAAGTTTTTATACATGTGGTGCCAACTTTCAAAACAATAATCAATATGCATTTAGTTCAGTACATAAAAGCAGTGTATATTTCTATCAGCTAAACCTTTCAAAATTCTAACTGTATCCCACAAAAGTTAATAATTTAATGAATTTAATAATACATGTACTGTACCTGTATACAGGAGTAATATCACCATTGTTTTTCTCCTATTAGTCTTTGTTAAATTTGCACTTTTAAAAAAATTGTGCAGAATATATCTTTATTTCAAATAAAGAAATACTTGGCATGAGTAAAGTTTTATCCTGTCCAGTACTACAGACAAAATTTCACATAACATTTCATTGCATATAAGATAATAACCATCACTGGAAGTTAACCAATAAAATTTAAACCCCTTTTTTCCTGTTTTCAAGCTTAAAAGTAACCATGTAACTTTAAGTTTCCAAAATATTTTATAGAAACACCAAATAAAAAAAGAATGGTGCTTTGAAACACCCAAGATATATGTTTATGACTCAGAAATTTTTTACTGCAATGAAATGTAGGATTAATTTCCTACAACTGTCAAATTCAAGAGAATATTTTTTTTCGACCCTTTTTCGTAAGCAAGCGAATGTGACGTACTATGATTTGGTGGTATTACACCTACAAACAGAACCTAAACCAAGGGCTTTAAGAAGAGTTGTGTACCAATTTTGTTTAATTAGTACATGCATTGTCATGTCCTTAGTCACTTTTAATTCCAAAGGTTAAGTTAAGTTCTTGTAAACCAAGATTGATAAACATTTTATTTTATGAATTCTGATACAGTTTGGTATGCATTTAATCAAGTTAAACTGCTTCTGAATAGTGAAAATAATATACAGGAATTACTTATATTTCCAGAGATACTATCATTTAAACATTTGTGAAATAAATCTTTAAACGTATAGAATGCACATAAAAAATGCTTTTAAAAACACATTTTTCATTTTAAATAGTGATTTGGTAGTGTTATCAAAATGCTTTCTCAATGAGGTAACTCTACATCTCAATTTACTCTAAATAAATAAATTCATCACAACACCACCATTCTTTGCACTTATCAATAAAATATACATGAATTACCTAGCACAGAGTTTTTGATTTCCAGGTTTTCAATTCTTTTCTTGATATCCCATAAGAGCTGATTATTGATGACATTCAAATCTTGATAGCAGTAAGCTGAAACACCCAATACAAGTAAAGCCACAGCACCTGATATCTTCCTGCAAAGCTTCTGGTACATGTAAACTGCCTCCTGTAATAATAAAAAAAAAATATGTTTAAGGTATAGAACTGGCAATAGAGCTTTTTGCAATAAATTTTTATCAAACCCCCAAGATTTCAAGTAACATTCTCAACTTCCTAAAACTGGACTAAATCCTGCCTTAAGGGCATATTAATATGATACAGTAGCAAAGGCAGATAATAATGCATCCACATTTAACAGGTTGTTTTTGTAACGTTCTTAACAAAAAGCATCCAAAATTTGTAAAAAAATCACTATTGTCATCAAATTGTTTATGTGAATTTAAACGTGTTTGCAAAGTAAAATGAACATGTTGTATATTTAAGCAATCAAAATCTACAGAGGGGAGGGGGCAATAAAAATGGGTGGACGCAAAATCGCAAATGAAGACTGGTTACCTTTCTTTCATCAATAAAGGCAATACATGTAATGTCCAAATATTAGTGCAAATTGAAAAGTTACCATAAATATTCTTATAATTTCTTAAATTTGTCTTAACTACACTTAGGTACAAGGTGTTCAGAAAATAGAAACAAATTTCACATATAAGGAGTGCCCATGGCCATATTGGCCACAAACCATGACAAAATTAGTATATTTTGCAAAACTTCTCGATTTTAGTTGTTTTATGGCAATTTTTAAGTGTACATGTAGTAGATTGGAAAATTATCTGTGCACCCAAGAAACAACTTTATATTTGGAAAGAATATGCCAAAGTTGTACATATACATGTAATAAAGCTTCCATGAAATTATTTTCTAGTTTCTTGTCTGTGCACAATGTTTCCACAAAGGAAATAATGATGGTAAACTAAATAATCTCTGCAATTTTCTTTGGTTTTTCTTAATGAAAATGGTGCAGATAATGACGTAATACAGGGCTCACACTACTTCAGAATCATAGGGAGAAGTGACTTCTCTTTTTGAAACTGAGAGGGAGAAGTGGTGAGATTTGAGAGAGAAGTGCTCGTTCGCTCGCGGCGCTACAATGTTTGGTTTTACTATAATACAAAGGGCCATATGTATCTTATTTTTCTATATTGCTCAATTTGTACCTGGGAGTACAATAAAAGTAACAGTTCAAATTCAAAGTTGTTTAATTTTACCATATCTAGTTGCACAATCATATTAGTCCTCTTGTCAGAAAAAAAAACGTTTAATATCTAGCAATAATAAAAAAAGATTTTTTTTGTATCAAAAAGGAAAAGAAAGTTGTAATTTCAATTTAAAATATACTCTGTTATGTTTGTGAAATTCAGAGGTTAAAATTCTCATTTAAAAGATATATAAATTTAACACAGTTAAGCTTGGACATACTATAGTAGTCCCAGGGTTGAGCAATTTCAATTAATAAATTGAAACAATTTTAATTTCATATACATGGAAATATTTACATTAATCAAGTAGATCTAACCAAAAGTATGTTAATGCGAGTGGAATTCGTAATTTTTCCTTTTGGGATCAATATTCCTCTGTCAGCTTGTCATTCATTCTTCAGTAGTCATTATCGTAAGAATGCGGATTTCGGCCATAGCTGGTCCGGTTCCGATCAGTAGTTTAGTACAAATATTTCAATGACGGACGAAGAAGAAAAATTTACAAAAATAAACGATGTTTGACACACTATTTGGAAAGGAATATGACGTTTTTAATGCAATACATGGATAACAAATTTACTTCAGGCAAATTTCATCACGTTCTAATGAAGTAACAAACTTATTTTGACGAAAATTAGAATGATTTGATGTACGCTCTCTAACAAGTACCGGAAGTGATAAAAAATTGTTTTTTATGAAATAAAATGCAACCAACTTTAAAATCAATGCTTTAACCTCTTTTCTGAAGAAAATAAATCGTTTATGTCTTTGAATTTCTTTACTTTTTACTGAAAAATTGCTGTTTCATCGACTTGGTAAAAATTGCCGATGACGAATGCGACTGAAAGCGAGTATCGTAAACCACAGGGCGACTTGTTTTCGCTTTCGAGGGTCGGGCAAAGCGAAGTGACGGACGGGAAAGCGACATCTTCGCCCTAGTCGCCTGGTAGCATGAGCCCTGGTAATACTGTGATGTCATAACATTAAATATCTTGTGTAACTCCTTTATAGTTCTTGATTTAATGCATTTCCAGACATTATGAGCCAATTTAAAATAGTTCTCAAAATCTTTATTTTCTTGGGCCAAAACTGGGCCTTAATGCCCCTACTCCTTTGAATGACAGTTATTCGTATATTGTTTTGATGAATGGTTGTAAAACCTGCATGACGATGTTGCAAAAATCTTAAATATCTTGAAAAATCAGTCATGATGGAATATTTGTTTTTGCATAATTCTATAGAACACCTCAAAATTGACTTTATCCTTATTTAAACCTACATCAATATCACTACCACTTCCCGCTAGTTGATTTTCTTCTGATATCAGCCAAGATATGGCAAATCTCTCCGACAAGATGTTGACTGTTGCTATCCCAAATAACCAAAACCTGGCTGCTGCAGTACGAGGTGCTGATGTCAAGAAATAAGACATCAGCACCATAACAGCATAGTATAGAATTGAATATAAACCAGTGAATTCTCCCAACATCATTGACTGAAGGTGTGAAAATTTATCGAATAAATCACCAATAAGGTGACGCTGTTCAATTGTTACATTTTTATATTCATCAAATATTTTATGCATATTATCAGAAGATATCGATATAATGTTACTCAAATTGACAGACTTTTCAAGAATTTCTTTCTGGTTAGTCATTGATTCCTTTTGCTGATGAAGCATTTCATTTTGAAGTTCACTTGTTTCCTCAAGTTGTGTAGCAACATCTTCTGAGCTTGTTGCAAGTCTTCTAATGGTTCGTTCTGTCTCATCATGCCAAACCTGTGCTTCTAAAAAATAGCAAATGTTCTGTGTATGTGTAAAGAAGGTTGCCATTGAACTGCGATCTGAATCCTTCATATTCTCCGTACATTCTGATAATTTTTGAGTTACATCACATTCATATATTGGTAGATCTTGCATTTGTAAAAAGCAGTTCAAGTACGCAAGAGCGAGTTTTCCTTGGACTTCAGCTGTCAACTGCTTGCAATCTTTAGTGAGTGAAATTATTGTTTCTTTCCAACAATATCCATAGTTTGGAAATTCACTTTTACTTTGCATTAATTCAAATTCAGTCTTTCCAGCATGAAATTTTGATTTATCCAAGTTTGTGAACTTAACCTCTACTGGGATAATGAAAAATAGAATAACAGTGAGGGAGGAAAAAAAGAAAACTCCCCTGAGGATCATCTCTTCATATTTTTCAAACCGTAAACAATGACAAGTTATATTTATCTTCTCTTGATCGTGATTTATATCCAAATTGTGTATTGGATTTCGATCACTGGCTGTGTTTGGATATACGCCTAAGGCAGCCTATGGTTACCCATAGGTATCATTGGGTACCAATGGTTTGATATTTTGATATATAGAATATCAAACCAAAGGTACCTATGGATAACCATAGGCCACCTCTGGCGTATATCCAAACACAGCCACTGTTAAAAACAAATACATTACAATGAGACAGCGGCTGTGTTTAGATATACGCCAGAGGTGGCCTATGGTTATCCATGGGTACCTTTGGTTTGATATTCTATATATCAAAATATCAAACCATTGGTACCCAAAGATACCTATGGGTAACCATAGGCTGCCTTAGGCGTATATCCAAACACAGCCAGCATGTAAAACTAAAAACATTACATAGTTGGGCCACATATGTTTAGTTGGACCAATAGATAAATTTCTAGTCCCAATAAATATAAATCTAAAATTATTCATCTTTTAATATTAATAAAAAAAAATGTTTTTTTTGTTCTATTTAAAAAAAAATTAATGTTGTTTATTTCAGTAGAACCTGGGAATAATAATATATTATGTCGCATATAGAAACAAGACAGAGACGTGAAATCAGAATAATCTCATCGGGACCATAATCCTTGTTTTTAAATTTTGTACACCAATCACGTGACAATAAAAATGGTAGACCTCTTCGTAGAATTTTAGAGTCTCTTATTTCCTTTTATTGATAATATCATGTCGAGTCAACAAAAGAAACTTCAGTTTGCCCCATTCAGTAGCTTTCTTGATGCTGGTTTCTGGCACAAATTATCCGAAAATAAACTAAATGTATATGGCTTAGATGAAACCCCTAAGTTAATCAATGGATTTTATTATAATGGTAAGTAAAAACATATGGAAATTCACAGGTGTCTGAGAAGAATATCTTTGTACACAATATATCTCCTCTAATATGTGCTTTTCACTTTTTGACATTACCAGTTAACTACAAGATATTATTCCGCCATAATTGTGTAAATATTGATAGCAAAATCAACATTTGATTGGTTCTTCTTCTTCTTCCAGGTAAGGAACTGGATTCAAAACTGTAGTGATTAGTTCTGGGCGAAAACTTTGCACAGTGTCGGGCAACACAAAAAGTCTCTTGGCTATTTTCATTTAAAAACTTCGCAATATTATACAATTAAAATTATGTACAACTTAGTCAGAGCTCCAGATTAGCTGCGTATTTGCGTGATCACGCAATAAAAAAAATTGAAAACCCAATTCAATTGACGATTGCAGCGTTCAAAAACCCAATTCATGCAAAGGAAAACCCAATTATCAGTCAGGGGACTTATTGAAATAAGTGATTTTTAAATCACTTATTTAAGTAGCAAATTCGAAGTTTTGTCACAAATTGTGATTATGCAGTTTTACCAAAATTTTAAACACATAGGTTTAGATAATATCTTTTCATTAGTAATATTGAAAAAAATGAACTTTTTGCTTCTTTTAAGCAGCAAGGTTTATGCCTTTGATGCAATCATTTAGCTGCAAATTCTATTTCAGTTTAAAAAAATGCTATTAATATGGCTTTACATAATGAACTGATACTTTCTTAACAGATTTTTCCCAATAGTGGGAGTATTTTTCCTGTAAAATTCAAGGTTTCATCTTATAGATTATGTAATAAAATTCTACTGTTCGCGATCAAAATTTCACTGTAGGGGGTGTTTAAATTAGTGGGGGTTATTAAAATAATGATACTTAAAGAAGTGATTTTTTGGAAGGAAATTGAGGTATGATACTTAAACAAGTGATTTTTATGTCATTATCCTAGATTTAGTACAAGGTCATCACCTGACATGACCAGGTCATCCTATCAACACACATGTTGGTTCTGATAATTTTAGCAAAATAATTAGTCCCTGGATCATTAGTATTCTATATTTAAAGCTACAATAAAATTAAATCACTTAGTCTAGTGATTAATTTGTACTACTTAAATAGGTGATTATTAAAGAAAGACAACTCTTACTTCCAACCTTTATTGACATAATGTTACTTGAATCAGTGATTTAGAAAATCACTCATTTAAGTAAGTCCCCTGACTGATTATATGTCAAAACCATGTGTTCTTAACCCTTCTAGTCGCTATCGTGTGCGTTATTTACCCTTATCTATTACATTGTCGTCGCGTAAATCTATTTTTGTAATATTTATGATTGGAAATGTCCTTTCGTTCTAAAAATAGAGCGTTGCATCAAATACACATATTTCCATCTTTTCTCTGCATTTATCCAATTAGCATAAGTCATGTGATCATAATTATTTTCGTATTGATTGGGATTTATCGTTACACATAGCAATGAATTAAAACGAAAGTAAATTTTCGGTAAATATATTGAATAGGAGCATGTTTTCAGCTTCTTTTTGATAGCTGAGGGAAAATTATGATGATAACAAAACTCAGCTAGTGTTATCAGGAAGCATCTCTCGGACGCACAGGTTCGTGCAATGTCACGTCCAGGGCTAGTATGCCTGCCTGAACGAGAACATTAATTGTTACTGTTAGTACAACACGGGTTTGGTCTCCATATGACTAATCAATGGTGCAAGAACTAAATCAGTCGGAACAGTGAAAGGCCAAATCAATTATATAGTTGAAAATCAATGGAAACTAAAAGTTCTAATAAGGGACAACTAAAGACCAGATTTATGTAAATAAAATTAAACAAAAACATTCAAGTATTATTTTAGTTTAAAAGAGTAATTTTTTTTCTTCTTCATTTTAGTTGATGAGTAAACACACATATTCGTTTTGAAGTAAATGTAGCTTGCCACTTTCATTGTGTTTGGTCTAATTGTACTTATGCTATAGATAGTTGTCTTATTGGCAAGTGCAGTACAACATTGTCATTTATTAATTTGATGTTGCAGGATTATTTAAATTGAATGTAGTCTCAGTCATTAACCCCAGTCATTAATTTGTTCACAAATACTACATAAAAGTCTAAAAACTTAGCCACACCTACTCCAAATAAACTGACAGGTGATAGTATGTGCTCTAGAAAAGTAATTAGTTACTGTCCCACTAGTGACACCAGTTTATGTAAGTTGAGAGAAAATACAAAACGGTTTAAACTAGACACAAATTAAACGAATAATTGCTCGTACGGGTATAAATTAAATAAAACAGCTATCACATATATAATGAAAGAAACATATTTAAGATGGATGAACATCTCGGTTTGATGTAATTTCATTATAACATACCTAAATTTTGTTGATGAAAAAACCCAATACATTAAGGAGCTTGGTGGTGAAAAACTCAATTTGATATTTGCCTGAGGGGTGAATTAGAATTAATAATGCAATTGAAAAAACTATTTCACTCAATTACATAAAAAATGGTGGGTAAAACCCCCAATTTGTGAATTCTTATCTGGAGCTCTGTTAGTGTTGCCTACTGTAGTTCCTTTCAGACCATGTCTTTAGGGCAGCCCTGAATCCCTCAACTGTGTTGGCCAATGATACTGATGCTGGTAAATTGTTACAATCCCTGATGGTCCTTTGAAAAGAAAGATTGGCAGTAGGTGTCTGTACATGTTCTTTCTTGGTAGTAGCGATTTTTACCTCTGGTCCGTTTATCATTTGGAGTAAAATATTGTTGACGGTCTGTGTCAATTAGATCATGCTGGATCTTGAATAGCATGCATAATTTGTCTGTTTTCCTCGATTGTTCAAGGATTTCCCATATTTTATGATCTAACCATATTTGTGACACAGCCAGGTGTTGGATCTGTGTAGTTGTTGTTCACAAATCTTTCTGCTGTTTTCTGTACCTGCTCTATTGCCTTGATCTTATTTTGGTTTGTTGGATCCCATACTGTGCATGCATATTCCACTGCAGGTCTTACCATGGATACATATGCAGCTGCCTTTACAGATTTTGTGCAGCCTTTGAGATTTCTGCATATTAATCTAATGTTCTATTTCCTATGCCAACCCTATTATCAATGTGTTTATCTTAGGTTAGGTTGTTACTGATTGTTACTCCTAGGTATTTGCTATCTTCAACAGTGTCTAGAGTATGACCGTGTAGTTTGTATGTTGTTGTATCACTGGTCGGTTTTTCAGTGATATTCTTATGACAATGCATTTTTTGGCATTGAAACTCATTTGCCATTTGTTTTCTCAGTCCTCCAATGATGTTAAGTTTTTCTGAAGAAGGTCACTGTCTGCTTGGTTGGTCATGGTATGAAAGAGTAGGCTGCCATCAGCGAATAGTTTGGTCTCTGATGTAGTTGCTGTTTCTGGCACGTCATAAATGTAGGCCAGGAACAGTAATTGTCAAACAACTGTGCCTTGGGGTACACCAGAGAGTAAAGGTACATGAGTGGAGACAGCTCCCTCTAGTACATGTATTACGCTCTGTTTCCTGTTATGTAGGAAGGAGCGAATCCATCTGTTGGTTTTTTGGGTTGACACTGTAATATTCCAGCTTGTGTAGTAGGTGGTGATGTGGTACCTTGTCAAATGCTTTTGAAAAATCTAGAAGGATGATGTCTTCGTGACAGTTTCTTTTTAATTTTGATGCGATGTCGTTGATGGTTATGATGAGTTGGGATTCACAAGATTGTCTTTTGTGGAATCTGTGTTGTGCATCAGTTACTGTAAATTCAGAAATTATTGTGTGCATTTATCATGTTTATTATCATGATTATTGCGATTTTTATTGTGTTTTTTAATGACCAATGTTGAAGGTTTATGCTTTGGCACCATTGAAAAGTATAGTGTTGCATTCAGGTTTTAATTCTAGCAGTGGAAGTTTGACAGTAAACATGGTAAACTACAATTTCTATAGTTTGTCAAGACTCTTGAGCTGATAATAGGGGTGAATCTCCTTATTTTTATATTGATTGCAGGGTTTGTTGCTCATGCAGTATGGATGCTATAAAATGTGTCCCCGTGCTTGTAGTGATAGTTGTCTCTGACATTGGCAATCATACAACATCTCCTTATTTTTATATTGATATGGAAAATGCCATCTAAAAATCTATAAATATTTTTGTCAATGATCAGTTATTCTGACATAAGGAAAGATCTTACATGTAATTTATTGTTTGCTACACAATAAAAAAAAGTATAAGAATAATGCATTTGATACAAAAAAGAAAGGCAGGCGTATCAGCAGTGTATGACATAATAAAAAAAGAAGACTATACGAAACTTAATTCTAGAAGAAGAAAAAAAACCAACAAAATGTGGAATTTTGTCATTCCTTTTATAGTTTACTATACATGGTATGGGTTTTGCTCAATGTTAAAAGACTGTATTGTGACATGCAATTGTTCACATGTTTGTCCTTTGGTCTTTTTTTAATAAACTAAGAAAGAGTCACTGCTATCGAAATATTTTCATAGAGAGGAAATATGTATAAATTTCAGATATATTTCCATTATTTTAAGATAGACTGTTTCTAATTGACACTCAAGTATACACATGTTACCTTCTTTCCTTGTTAACACAGGTTTATAGAAAAAATATTGTGTTTTGAAGTCAGTGATTTGTGTGAAGAAATGAAACAACAATGACTCACTAATAGTGGTCTGTTAATTTTTTTTACAAAACATTAAAGATGGGGATGGTTGCCTCCCCAAAATGACTATTATTGTTTGATATGCACATATAGTTGTATGTATGATTGTAAAATCTATTTTGAATTGGAAAAGATTTGTATAGGCAATGCCTTATGTCCAATCCCATGAATAAAACTATGAAAAAGAATATATGGTTTTAAACAATGAAATACTTACAATTGAATTAAATAAACATTTTTAGAATAAAGTCCTTATTCTCATATTGTTTCAAAATGTGACAAAATATTTGTTGTTTTTGTTTTTATGTTTAATCATGCATCCTACATTTGATACAACTGTTCATTATTTTGGTATATGTTTAAAGGATGTTCTGCATAAGGACAAATTAATATACATATATATATATATATGTGACTAAAATGAGAAAAGTTTCTGTCTCAAGGTGGATGTACAATATTCACTATATCAAAGTAGTTCTTCTATGAACTCAACATATTAACAGCAATAACACTGAGGAGTTTTCAACATTTAAAGAATGTGCCTAAAAAAATTGTCCCAGTCACCTCAAAATCACCAGAAGTGTTTGTATATGATATAGATTGGAATGAAAAAAGTTCCTATCAAATCTTACCTTCTTTTTCGAAATTTTTCATATAAATTTGTAGACACAATAATGTGCACTACCAATATGTTTAAATGATGTTTAGTTTGTGAAAGAATTACCCGGTATGATTTCATGTTATTTACAATTTCATGTATGTCATGATCTAAGTAGTTCATCTACAGTGATCACTGGCCTGTCAACATTGAGGTAGTGAGTTCGAACCCTTCTCTTGGTGAGGCATGTTCAACTCTTATCTTAACTGAAAAGGATTGCCAGTTGTCCTGCAGAAGGTTGGTAATTCTCTCAATGTACTCCGGCTTTCTCCACTACAATAAACTGGCCGGCATAACATAGCAGATATTGCTGAAAGTAGTACTTAACACCATCAAACAAACAAACATGTATGTAAATGCAGAAACAATGAAAATAAACTTTATTTTAAAGATGTTAAATTATTTAAAATTGTAAAGCTTTGTTTACTTTTTTCAGGTGATCCAGTCGGTTTGCCATGCAGATTGAATGTAGAGTATTCAGCATTTGATAAGTAAGCTATCTATTGTCATATACAACTTAACATTTTTTACTGTCATCACTTATCATATGTCTTTTATAGTTCATATAATTTTACTGTTAAAATCTAAAGAACCATCTGAATCAAAATGGTTGGCGCTTTTATGATGAATTATAATTGTTGGAATTCTATGCTGTTAGGTAATTAGAAAAAAATATGCTGCAATCCCATAATTTTTGTTTAATCTGCAATGAGATTTATGTCATTGGTGGTGTCAACCATTGTTTAAGTTTGTGATTATGTCAGTTTAAGAGGAACAACAAATGGTGAGTCAATGATATTTGGTATGCAGTTGTATTGGCACATCTGATATGAATAGAGATTATTTTGCCCCACCCTCAGTCATGGACCATCAAGATCAGATGTGGTTTATCTTTTAAAAAAATGTTTCATTTCTCATACATCTTAGCCTCTCTTTACAGATAATCATACACATATATATGAATATAGTTTGCATTAAACTGTTAAACTTACAATAGATATAGAGAAGCAATTATTAGCAAAATTATTCAAATTGTTAGTCCACTTCTTATAGAAGTTATTGCTCTTGAATGACGATTTTTACCTTTTTTTTTTGCATTTTGGGTGAAAACTTTAGTAGATAGAAAGAACCTGAAAACAGAAAAAATGATCAGCAATACAAGATCAACAAAAAAGAAAACTTATTCATGAATTTTTTTCTAGTCTTCAATGTTGAAAATGGACATAAATTCAGGTGACTCTTCAAAGCCTCAAGTTTCTCAAATGTTTATATTTTTTCATATTTTTTAAAGGGTACCACAGGTTCCATCAAGATGTTTCAGATCACATGGTGTCTTGCATAATATGAACACAATAGACAAATTTAAAGAATGTGATCACAAAGAATTACTAGAGAATGTTGGAAAGAAGGTTTGTTATGTTTTATTTTCTCATGATTTTAGGTCAGATATCATAGTAGCCCTTTTTCAAAGATTCCATTATATGTAATTATGAGACAATCTAGTACTTGACAATTTTAATACATATGATTCCACATCTTTCTGAATGTTTTGCTTATCTTATATATTTTGATAGATTACAAATGTTTCAAAAATGACATTTATGCCATTTTTTATGGCATGCACTTGTCATTTTTACATCACGATGACGGTGAGGGCATTCCGATGTATTGTTGCAGACGAGATTTCTACTTACGTAACTTTCGTGTTTGACTGGTAACCGATCTATATAGGCGGACATTATCGAGTGCAAAATAACATTCCTTATCACTTGTTATAAATTCATTTCTTCAATGAATACTCATAAAAATATTTTTGTTTAGAACATAAATTAATAATATGAAAATGTTTTGTCCTTAGAAATATATATATAAGTAAAAATTCATTGATGATATGTATGTACACGTACAGAAAAATTGTGTTAAAGCATGCTGAAGAATATCTGTTCTGTTCTGTTCTGTTCTGTTCAGGTATGTACCTCTGTTTACATTCGGAGCACTCCACTTATCGGATGAGCAATTTTAAAATATTTGCTTAACCGAAAAAGCGAATATCTTTATATTTACAATAATATGATAGAATATAATTCAAAAATAAAATTAGTTAGGGTGAATTAAATAAGGGTTTATAATGTCTTTATTGCATTAAAATATTAAAATATTAAAAGATATTAATAAAAAATAGTATGTACACAGCACAAATTAAGGTAATATGAATCAACTTTTTGCGGGAAAATATGAATACCTGCTCAAATCCAATCTATTAGAAAATTCGAATTATTACAGAAGAGTGTCCACCATGCACTTGCACTGCACTATTATTAGAATAGCAGAATAGAATGATATACAAATGGATGACAATTATATATACATGTAACTGTTATATGCAAACATTAATATAATATATACATGACAACAAACAAGAGTATACCGATTTGTATCACTACAATATAATAGTTATTACGGTGACGTTGAATTCCCTGTCATTTATTCATCATCCACACACGAACTTGTCTCAGAAAAAAATATATCTGTACATTAACCTCACTTTCAGGTATACAGATGTGATTTTTTTTCTGAGACAAATGCTTGTGACCATCCACAAGAACTTGCGGTCATCCGATGGTCAGTACTTCAGTACTTTGATTATCATTGCACTGAATTGCATACTTTTAACTCAAATTGCCTAAATCATAATGGTATACTACACCAATAAATAGCAACAAGTTCCTTAGACTAAAAACTGATGGTTGTCTTTTAAAAAAAGAAACAGCATATATATGATCAACTGACCTATAGGCTATATTAAAACAGTAAGAGGAACATTTTTTTATTACTTAACCAACAAGTCAGAATTGCATCTCATACAGTGGCAGATTCAGAAATTTTCATAAGGGGGGGGGGGGGGCATTGACTGCCCTAAGAGGGGGCCTGCTCCAGTCATGCTTCAGTGGTTCCCTATATAATCAACCAAATTTTTCCCACACAGCCCTGGATCTGCCTATGTTATATTATAAAATATATGAATAGTTTTTTAAAATGCTACAAAAATATATGGTATGTTGATTGCTGACCTTGTGCAGAAGAGGTTGTAGGTTAAGTTCAAAGTTCAAACCAATGACTTTAATATTGTTATCTATTGCTTCTCCACCAAGTGCAAGCTTGAAACATTGACATGATTAATAAGGAGTAAGAGTAAAGAGTTATCAGCTTGGAGTTGAATGTGTTTGACCTAGTACAAAGCTGGCTATCTTCATATCACATTAATGTGTTATAGTCCTAGATATGCATGTTATTAGTGCTGCTGGATGTTAAGCAGGCACCAATCAATCAATTACTGTAAATTCAGAAATTATTGCTCACATTTCTTATTGCAATTTTTGAAGAATAGACAAAAATGTGAGATTAATTATTGCGATTTCAGGAAAATCTCCATACAGATGTATGTTTCAGATATCAAAATGCAAGTTCTTATTATTGCGATACTCACACAGTCGCATTTTTCGCATTAATAAAAACCTCGTAATAATTTCTGAATTTACAGTAATCAATCGATCTTAAATAAAAATTCAAGCATAGCAGTATGTTGCAGTTAAGTTAAAATTTACTTGTAGGTCTGGGAAGATATTGTGAGCAAGAAAATAGAAGAAAATCCATCCCTTTTATCCAGATTTCTGTTATTAACATTTGCAGTAAGTTTATTTAAGATTCATCAAGTCTAGAGATAAAAATAATTCAGCAAATATGCTGAAAAGAATAAATTATCTAGAAACATGAGAAAAAAGAAACTGCAAAACCAATAAAGACAAACTGATTTATCTTCTTATTTATAAGCTCTGTTCTTATTTTCTAATACTTTTTTTGTTAATGCTATAAATACAAAAAATACTAATATTTGTTACATCTATCATTTGTTTTGTAACTTTCTTTTATTTCATTGATATTTTGATAAGAAGGTTAGACTTAGAGTGATTATGACTTTTTATACAAGAGTCATTATAACTTTTTGTATAAAATTGCATATAATTTGAAAGTTGTTGAAGTTCGTACTGTGACCTGTAATTGTTAACGTTCTTGCCCTCTGGTGTCTTGTGAATAGTTGTTTCATCTGTAATCATACAACATCTCCTTATTTGAATATTAATATTAATGGTGAGAGAGAAGATCTTGCTAAGTAGCTATTCTCACTATAGTAAATCAATTAAGACTTTGCTGTTTTTGTAGTTTTATTTATTTTTTAGGATCTGAAGAAGTATATTTATTATTATTGGTTTGCATTTCCATGTTTATGTATGCCAGAAGATGTTACTATGGTTACAGATCCTGTGAATTTACCTGAAAGATTAAACAGCCAGCAGGTAACTTTACGACAACTTTTTTTTCAATTGTATAAAAAATACAGTATAAACCATTTACCTGGTGTATTGATTTGCCCTCAATAAAATTTACTTTCCCTTTATGAAAGCATATATATATGATATTAATTGTAACATCAGTTAAGCTTGCCTTATATAAAATCTGCTTGCCACTGACAATCTGGAGACTTCTAATTTCGACCCTGTGGATTGGAACCCAACGTTGATATATGGTTACATATCCAGACAAACCAGTATATCAGGGTCACCCATGGGACCAGAGAAAACTGACTTTATAAGAGAGGTGACCTTTAAATTGAGGTTCAAAATGCAATGGTATTAATTCAACAGGACAAACATATGGTGACCTGACAATACTATTTTTTGCTTATTAGTGGTGACCCTTATAACAGGTGTGACTGAAAGGGGAGGGAGATCCCTACTGATTTTTTCTGATTTTAGCTCATTCAGGACATTATAATTGATTTCCATTCATCTGTCAACACATTATTCAATGAATAGAGAGTGCTTTGATTAAATTACATGTGAAGGAGATTATTTGGACTTCACAATTCAAGTAAAGATATGCTCCTGCAATATTTTCTTCAGTGCTGTTTAAAAAACTTCTGAATTAATGCCCTCTACAATATTCCATTTTATTAGGGATGTCAACGGATTCTCAACTACTTGAGTATCACTCGGTAGTAGCAAATATCAAATACCAATATGATACTCAATTAATTGGTTTCCTGTATGGACATGATGTCCCCTTCAAGTACTCGTGTTTTGTTCGTTAAACCAACAAGTATTTGAATATTTGATTAGTAATTCTTCACCAAGTTGACATTCTTACATTTTATCTTTGCAACAATTTCATTATGCTTATAATGGACTCCTGGCTTAACTGTTTTTTAACTAGCTTCTGCTAAAATTTAAACATGTTTATTCTGTAAGCATTTCATTTTGAGTGAGTACTAATACTTATTACAAAGGGGATATCATATCTTAATTTTTACTGTGATGTTGTTTATAGAGCCCTTAAATTTAGATACAATTGATGTAAACTTATTGATCGTTTAAACTAACTTTTTCTTAAGATTATCAATTTAACACTGTATGAAAGTCTTTTATTATTGTCTTTATGGGTTATAACATTGATTTTGTTACAAATAAATTAATACATAACTAAATATGTATTGCTATACAGTTATCAAAACTTATGCTCCTATATTCTGTCTATTTTTTGGCATTGCACAATGTAATGCATTCCTGAGACTGTTTATGACATCTTTAAATTAAATCTGTTGGATTTGTATGGATTGATATTTTAGTATGGGCAAACATGAATTATTTATTTAAAATGAGAGGCCAAATATACTAAAGGGATAAACTCATAAGTAGAAAACAAACTGACAATGCCATGGCAAAAAACAAAAAATGACCAAAGACAAACAACAGTACACAAAACACAATACAGAAAAACTAAAGACTGATGAACACAAACCCAACCCAAAACAGAGGGTTATCTTAGGTGTTCTGGAAGGTTAAGCAGATCCTGTTTCACATGTGGCAACCGTCTTATTGCTCATGTAAGTACAAAACTGGTGATAAGTCTAATTTGGTAAGTCACTTTAATGAAAAGAGGACAGAATTGTGGTTAAGGGCATATGATACAGTTTTGATCCCACGAATATTTGCATACAAGCTATTTTTCACCTAATCAACTCAAACCTGTAATACAAAATAAACCTCATGTGCTACTTTAAGAGATAAAAGGGGGCGAAATTTTAGACATTTACAGATTTTTGCACATTTTTATCCTTTGGATAGACATACCTAACTTTTTTATGCCCCTGCCGTAGTGGTGAGGGCATTAAGTTTTACCCTTGTCCGTCGGTACGTACGTACTTACAAACTTGCTTTCTGTTCTCTAACTTGAGTTTGCCTCAACCAAATGTTATGAAACTTATACACAATGCTTATTACCACAAGACACAGATCAAGTTTGAATTTTGGTGGTGTCACTTTAACCGTTCTAAAGTTATGCCCCTTTATAAATGGAAAAATTGCAAAATTTTTATTTTCTTCCAAATATTAAGTAATTTTTAAAATTGGAGTTATCTTCCTTTGTCCATGATTTTAGTTGAATCAACTACAATCAATGCTTTATACAATGCAATGTTTAATTTTGACTTCCATTGATAAAACACAGATCAAGTTGAATTTGGGTAGTGTCACTTTAAACATTATTGAGTTATGCCCCTTTTTAAATCGAAAGATTGCAAAATTTTTAGTTTCTGTTCTCTACTTAAGTTAGCCTCAACCAAATGGTGTGAGACTTACACACAATGCTTATTACCATAAAACTCAGATCAAGTTCAAATTTGGGTAGCGTCACTTTTACCGTTCTTCAGATATGTCCCTTTATAACTATATGATATGCAAGCAGGGGCATCATCTGTGTCCACATGTGGACACTATCCACATTTATTGTTTCAAAAGATAAACACAAGCGGATTTTTGTGAAAACATTTGGAAATTTTCTTTATATAAGAATGCCCTAAATTTGAATAACAATCCTTTGGAAATAATTAATTTTTATCAAAGTTTCATGATTCTAGAAAAAAATGGCATTTTTTGCTGTATATTTATCTGATTTTAAAAGTTTCATCAGTGACTTTTTCATAAAAATTGGTACAAATAATCTTCATATGTAATCAAACCTAATGTCATTTTAAAAAAGAAGGGTTCATGAACTTGTTTTCAAGTTAAATCAGTCTGAATGATAAAAATCAGTCGAAAAGTGCATCTTTTTCTGATATGTCACAGTTTGACGTCACGAAAAATAACATTTTACGTTAGCAACGTCATTACCTCCCCTGTAACTGTAGCGTATGCCCTTAAGATAATTTGAACATATCCATTGAAACTGACCTTGCTTAACAGAATACTGTAAATTCAAAAATTTTTGCAATGTTTTTATTATTTAAACAAGATAGTTGTTGCAAAACTTGCATTTTAAATTTTGATACCACTATTTGTATGCAGCATTCCCTGAAATCGCAATAATTAAACCCCAACTTGTGTTGATTGTCCAACTATCATAACAATAAATGCACACAATCATTACTGAATTTACAGTACTTCAAATACTGAAGATATTTATTTTTGATTGATTGAAATTTTTTTCCTGAATTTTAAGCAAAAAACCAAATCATTTAGAAGTACAAAAAAGAGAGAAGTAAAGTTGACTCACTGAATCTCATTTGTACATTGTTTTTTTTTAGTATTTCTTATAAAAGTTTTAAATATTTCTCATTTTAGATATCAGAATTGATAGCAGAATATGATAAATTTCAAAGTGCATCATCAGAATTTGTTGGATATTTTATTATAGTACAGTCTAAGGATAGAATTGTTGTGGATCATCTTAGGAATGTAGAATCTTATTCAAAAGATACATGTAAGGTTAGTAGAAAAACTGTGGACATTTTAGAACAAGAGATACATGTATTTGAGTATGTACTAGTGATAAGTTTCATTCATTACTGTGCATAAGAACTGATTTTATCTCTGTATCTCTTCTCACAGGTTGCTCAAATGTCTAAAAGCCCATTACTAAGAGCAAGACAAGTCTAGAATAACTTTGAGCAGTTATTTTTTTTATACTTTGATATCCACTATACAAGACTTTCATAAAATGTATCTAATCATGTATCATTGTAAGTGCCATGACCTTGAGTGAACATGCACTTCTCTTTTAAGCATTACACTTCTCATCAGTTCAAAAAGAGAAGTCACTTTTCCATTTGATTCTGAAATAGTATGAGCTATCTTCTTGTAAGCTAGAGGCCAAAGTGTAACAGCCAATTATTCAAATCTTTTCCAGGACCTTGTTGTTTCTTGTTTTTATATCTTATAACATATTTTTTTATAGATATATTTTGGTTTTGCTGACCCATGTACATTAGATAGTAATCCAGGATGGCCTCTTAGAAATTATCTGTTGTATATAAGTTACCACTGGTAAGTTGATAAAGGTAAAACATATAACAATATCAAATTATAAAATACTATTATATTAATTCTGAACAATATTGAAATGAAAAAGTATTATATAAAAATTTTCTGGATAATGAATGAATTCTTTCACCTGGCAGTAATGTGGTCTCAATAAGAAATTTCTCTATACTTTAGAATATCTACATACCTTAGAACATACTGTGGATTAATTATTTTCGTGGATTGAGGAAAAATAGCATTTTTTTTTGTGAATATTTAATTTTGTGGTTATGCTAAAGTCTGCATACAAGTATATTGAAAATGTGTACTTCGTGGAACATTTAGATTTGTGGTTTACCTGTACCCATGAAATCCACGAAAATTGGTATTCCACAAATAATTATTTATCCACATTATGTAAGGTTTATATTCCCCAACCCTATAGCATTTGATTTGGCCTCACTAATTTGTGGAATATAATAAACTGATACATGTTTGTTGCTTTCTCTTAACCATTATTTAATTATGCATTTTCTGATTTCCTTTAACTTATTCTTTTGTTGATAATTGAACAGTTGTAATCGCATCAAGCTTAATAATAGGGTCTTCAGAATACAGCTAATAGATCAGTAGTCAAAACTCAAGATTCCATCCCCTTGCATTCATTGCCTTTGTATATATATGACTGTAAAGTTTTCTGTTTAGGTCCAGATCTAAAAATTAAGCAATTACTTGTCAAAGAAGTATAATGTTTTATCAGTGAACTAGCTGTCGGTAACTGCGAGTACTCTCAAATCTGTACTTAGTGTCTTTTTTGTTGTTAGCGATGAGGGATAGGTATATACTCTGCCACATCCTGTCTGACTCATACTCAGAGTTCGAATTTGGGCAGTTAGTCATTTCATATTCTAGAGTTATGCTCCTTTATAACTTTGAAAATTTCAAAGTTTGAGAGGGGGCATTCGTATACCCAGACACATTCTTCTTTTATTTTGTTACATGATGTATATACTATGTATAACCTTTTGATTTCAATGTGTCCTGATTTTTCAGCACTACTTAATTAAATCTGGTGTTTTTCAGGGGAGATAAGTTTAAAAATGCTGAGATTTTATGTTTCCGTGATAGAAGTAAAGATGGAGTCAGAGACGTATCACACAGTATTATTTTAACTCTTACTATATCCTCAACAAAGACTCTTACAGGTATGTATCAAAGTATTACAGACAAATCTCATGTTTGATAAAAAAAAATCAACAAAAGGAGCTTTAGAGAGGCTACAGGACTTTATGGTCAGAATATGATATTTACCTGGTAGTAAAAACAATTTCTCTTCCCATTTTGTTTATGCTAAAGTTCAAAAAGGCTTTTTAAAGTGAACTCATTGTCAAAATGAATATATTGCACAATTGGTGATAAAGTAGCTTGTTCTAGCACTAATATAAAACAAATTTACATTAATCTTTCATAACTTTCTATTGTTGGGCTGCTGCCTTTTTGACATTTATCCTATATATAGGTTTCGATTGACACAATTTGAGCAAGAGTTACTTCCCTTTCGTTGCCATGTTGGAGCTCTACGTGCCCAAATTCCTTAATAAATCCACCAAATTAACTTGTTAAACTGACAACTAGACTTTAGAAAAAGTTGTTTTCCGAACAATTTTAAATTTTTTTAGCCTTGCTAGATTCATCACCAAGATCTAGTGAGGATATTTTATAAGGCTTATTTGTACCACATGTTTTAATTTGGTTAGTCAAATACGAAAATCAACCATATAGATTGAAATAAACAATTAATTTCCCCATAGGCGACAATGATAGCCTTTTTTGAGATACAGACTTTAGAAAGTTGATTTTTTTAACGAAACCTTGCTAGAATTACAGAAACGTTATTCGGACAGTATTTTTTGGTCCAAAAAATATAGGTTCGCGTTGCTTTTCATAACGTATTTTGTACTTATCTCCCATGCCTATCAATTTTGCACTTAAAAATACATGTCTCGTCCTAGCATTAAAAAGACATCTCATTTCCGTTAGGGCTAAGGAAAATAATTTGTTTGGCCTTTGATATAATGCAGAATGCACGAAGTCTCTTATAATAAAAAATAAGGGGCGCACATATCAACCAATCAGGATTAGCCATACTCTTAATTCTGAATACCATGTTATGCTCATAAAATTGCTGCGCCCATACAATCTAATGGTGTATTGTAACCTATACGGTATTTAATACTTACTAGAATCATGCAATTCACAGTGCGTTAGATGCACAAATATATATGCCACACATAAATCAGCTTCAAACCGTTCTGGCATTACTCTCTGAATTTTCACAATTTTTTTTCAGAGGTGACCCCAGTCGAAAAATGTGAGAAAAAAAATTCTGATTTTTGATTCAGCCATGCTGGATCTATGCGATCACTCTGGTTTTGGAGATGGTGCAGAATACTTAGTTGAAGACATATCATGAAACTAATTATGTGTTTTTATGACTTGCAGAAACTTTCTACACCATTTTAATCATCAACTGCAACCTTTAACATGTTATTTGCCCTTAAATTAAGAAAAGATTGGTCGAATAGTGACTTTTTTTTAGATATACACTTGCATATAGTTCCTTTCTAAATCAAAATTTATGATGATTTACTATTTATGAATTAATTTGAAAAAGTATTTGTACATCAATTGAATCAGTTGATAAGAATTTTGAAAGTATCATATTAGTATCTTGTGCTTGTTTAAAGTATTGTTCAATGAAATGTAGGTCAACATGTGTATTAATATATCTAAGTTGATTCTCACACTTTTTTGAAATGGTATTACTCCAATTCTTTCCATAGGCAAGTAAGAGTCAGAATGTTTTCAACTGTCATGATTTTCAAATAAGTATTAATTAGAAATAACCCCAGGCTTAATTCAAAACAGTTAATATCTCATGACCTGTTACATAATTAAATAGACACAATTTATTACACACCTAACTGAATACACACATTCTTGACCTCAATAGTAAACCTACAAATGTATTATTTATTTTGATCTACACTACATTAAAATATTCTGTTATTTTGCTAGCTAGCTGAATGATTAATTTGATGTGGTTTTTTTTTTCAAAGAAAATACTTAAAATGAAAAAAATATGTATTAAAAAAATGCAAGCAAATTTTATTTTACTTGTAAAATCAGTGGCATTATCATCTGACATAAGTCAATAATCAAGTTCTAATTAATTAGTTATAATTATTGGACATTTGGTTGAAATATTAAACAAAATTGCATAACTCTTATCTGAGCATTTTCTGCAATAAAATTTATTTGTTTGTTTTACATTTATATCCCATTATATTGCTATTTAACAGTAATTGGAAATGTCTCAGCATTAGGTATTTGTACATTCAGATTTGAATACAGGAAATGTATTTTTTCTTAATGAAGAATGAACACCAATTTAGATAAAAAATAGTTATTATTTTTTTTAATTTTTGTTGTTGAGAAAGTGCATTTATAAGGCCTCTTTCTGGAAATTATTAAACCTGTCATTATTAATGGCATATAAAGAATATATTACTTGTTTGAAGATTTCCCTTTCCATTCTTGACAAAAATAAGTCTGACAGAGTCTAAAATTGAAAGCACAGTATATATATCTATATTTTCATCAATATTGTGAAATTCTCTACCTTTAAAATTGGACAATAAAATAGAAATTTTACAGTAAGAATGGAAATGAAAAGAGAAAAAAATTTAGAAAAAAGTATGGTCAGAAAGAATATGAGACTAGCTATGAATATGGCTGGATCACAACATCAACGATGCTTTGATTTTAGTAAATGCGGTACTGCTAAAAAGGGCCTGAAGATAATGTCCACTTTCTCCAATGATTCTTTATATGTCATCAAGTACTGATTATATTGATACCAAAACCAATCCAATATGTAACTACTACGGTAAATTTTGAACAGCAGTTTTAAATGAAACCATTTTCGTATAGAAGTACATTTTTGAAACAGACTATAGCATTTCAAAATATGAAAAATGTGTAAATATTGGTGTTTAAACATCGAAAACTATTCGTTAACTACAAAATGTCATGTCTATTCTAATTTTTATAGTTTGTCATTCGATTGAACATTTCAATGTTCGAAGGGGACCATTTCTGTACATTTTCACTAAATTTGGTAATTTAGATAACAGCACTTGGGTCGATATTGTCATGTTTAAAAATCGATTTTTATATCTCAACTCTAGACGTGTACATGCTTTTTTCAAACAAATCAGCAGAAGTTCAGAAAATGACATATTCTCTACACAGTAAGTCAAAAGTCAAGCCCACCCTTGTTTCCAAGGTAAAACGCAATACAAATATGAAACAGACTATAGCTTAAAAACTAGTTAATCAATAATTCATTTATCACCAAAAAATACGGTTTCACATCAAATTTCAAGTAAAACAAATGTTTTTGACACGTTTTGAGCACTATGATTAAGCAATGTCGACTCTGTATAGATTGAAATAAACAATTAATTTCCCCATAGGCGACAATGATAGCCTTTTTTGAGATACAGACTTTAGAAAGTTGATTTTTTTAACGAAACCTTGCTAGAATTACAGAAACGTTATTCGGACAGTATTTTTTGGTCCAAAAAATACAGGTTCGCGTTGCTTTTCTTAACGTATTTTGTACTTATCTCCCATGCCTATCAATTTTGCACTTAAAAATACATGTCTCGTCCTAGCGTTAAAAAGACATCTCATTTCCGTTAGGGCTAAGGAAAATAATTTGTTTGGCCTTTGATATAATGCAGAATGCACGAAGTCTCTTATAATAAAAAATAACGGGCGCACATATCAACCAATCAGGATTAGCCATACTCTTAATTCTGAATACCATGTTATGCTCATAAAATGGCTGCGCCCATACAATCTAATCTATAGCCTTCTAAAATGGTGGCCAAGGGAAATAACTCAAACTCAAATTTAATCATAACAAACCTATTTCTATCTCCCTCTGTTCAAACTGAGACAGTGTGCAATACTGTGGATTCCTTATTATTTGTTGTGGAATAATTTTTGTGGATTTCATGGGTAAAGGTTAACCAGGAGTTTCATTGTTCAACAAATCACATATCTATAGACTTGTATTGAGAATTTGTCAACAAATCACATATCTATAGACTTGTATTGAGAATTTGTCAACAAATCACATAGCTATAGACTTGTATTGAGAATTTGTCAACAAATCACATAGCTATAGACTTGCATTGAGAATTTGTCAACAAATCACATATCTATAGACTTGTATTGAGAATTTGTCAACAAATCACATAGCTGTAGACTTGTATTGAGAATTTGTTAACAAATCACATATCTATAGACTTGTATTGAGAATTTGTCAACAAATCACATAGCTATAGACTTGTATTGAGAATTTGTCAACAAATCACATATCTATAGACTTGTATTGAGAATTTGTCAACAAATCACATAGCTATAGACTTGTATTGAGAATTTGTCAACAAATCACATAGCTATAGACTTGTATTGAGAATTTGTCAACAAATCACATAGCTATAGACTTGTATTGAGAATTTGTCAACAAATCACATATCTATAGACTTGTATTGAGAATTTGTCAACAAATCACATAGCTATAGACTTGTATTGAGAATTTGTCAACAAATCACATAGCTATAGACTTGTATTGAGAATTTGTCGTCAACAAATCACATAGCTATAGACTTGCATTGAGAATTTGTCAACAAATCACATAGCTGTAGACTTGCATTGAGAATTTGTCAACAAATCACATAGCTATAGACTTGCATTGAGAATTTGTCAACAAATCACATAGCTATAGACTTGCATTGAGAATTTGTCAACAAATCACATAGCTATAGACTTGTATTGAGAATTTGTCAACAAATCACATATCTATAGACTTGTATTGAGAATTTGTCAACAAATCACATAGCTATAGACTTGTATTGAGAATTTGTCAACAAATCACATAGCTATAGACTTGTATTGAGAATTTGTCAACAAATCACATAGCTATAGACTTGTATTGAGAATTTGTCAAAAATTTGATTCAAGTATCCATGAAAATACAATGTTCTCTCAATCCACAGTACATATAAAAATCATTGACTTGTACATGCTAATTGTATTATTTTGTTTTTCTTTTATTGTTTACATGTTTCTTAGCATTGCATGAAAAACTGAGTTGAAAAAAAATGTAAAAAAATTTGATAGAAATACAGAATCTGTGATGTATAAAAATGACTTCTATTTGTTCATAGAGTGTCCAAAAAGTGTTGGTTGGGAGAAAAATGAAAGACAAAAACTTGGTCCAAGAGTTGTCAATCTAAGTTCAAGTATGGATCCTGTCAGGTTTGTTTTTGATAACTGCATAATGGAATGTAACATGGTGAAGTGTATAGGATATATCTGATGAGTTTACTTACGGAAAACATGCTGTATTAAAGTTAATCTCAGCAAGCTTAGTTCCTTTATCAATTATTGGGCTCAAATCTTCAGCTTGAAGAATGTTTGACATAGAATGATGAACATAAAAATAGCATTACATGTATTGCCAATTTAATGTAATTTTTCCGACTTTCTTTGTAAGGCCTGCAGGTTTGGAGCTGATTTTTTTGTACATAGTGTATAATGAGCACTTACTTATTGGGTAAGCATTTCATCCCAGTAGACTGACTTTTCACAAAATCAAGTTTTGATTTCATTTCTGGTGATCAGCATCTGTTGTTCTGGTTGGTCTATTCCCGTTTACCAAAAAATTATGAACTTTTCAGTTTTACCATATTAGCCACACTATAAACCCATAAAAACAGTTTTATCAGTGTATGTGCCTGGTACACTTCATCTTTCATAAAAAATTCCCATGAATATACTTTGAACAATCAGGCTGGAGGCTGGGACAATAATGTTGTAACATCTAGGTCAATCTAATGTTTAAATTCTTTGTATTGGTAAATGAAATTGAAAAATTTCATCACACTTTCCTCAGAAACTACAGAACAGAATAACGTCAGTCATATGTGGTCAGCAGCGCAACAGTGATGAGTTGTAAAGTGTTTCACTTTTCAGATCTGTCAGACACCTCCTTTCTGTTTTCCGACAATTACAAGTGGGTTTATGTTTAGCACAACAACACATTCTCTTTGCAATATCTTACTTATTTGAAAGTGCACTTTTGTTAAACAAATTGTTTTCTGATAGATCTGGAGCTTAACCTCCTCTGTCAGCCAACCAACTATCATTGTTAGTAAAGCTTTATTCAGGGTATTTAGAATTAGGACTTGTCTTTACACAAAAAACTCTTCATTTCACCATTCTGAATGGAAAAGATGCCAGTGTTAGGCAAAACATGCTCAGTCAAAAAGATCATTCAAACAAATGTTTGTTCTTATAAATCCTATGAAATATACAATACATAGTAAAATTCTGGTTGACAAACAAAGATGAACAACTTGTAAATGTTTTTGAAACCCTGATGCATATATTTGGAACTCTAGTTTGACAAGCATATTTTTTATTTAGATTATCAGAATCTGCGGTTGATTTAAATTTAAAGTTAATGAGATGGAGATTATTACCTGAACTTGACCTTGAGAAAGTTGCTGGAACCAAATGTTTATTACTAGGGGCTGGAACTTTAGGATGTAATGTAGCTAGGTGTTTAATGGTAGGAATAGCTTAGTTTGAAATTATTTTTACTGAGAGATTATGCAAATTGAATTAAAAACTGTAAGCTTTAAAAAGGGAGTAAATCAAATTTCCACCACATGGAAAGACACAAAAAAACACAAACAAATAAATGAGGAACTAAAAACATAAACCAAAATATAATGTTTAGTTTTAGCTCAGTTTAAATATGCATTCACATACACGTAATAGTTTATTAAAGTAAATTGTTTTAAATACCAGTATGTATTTTTATTGAGAAAACTTGTTTATCAGTATATAACCCTCATATATGTTTGTATACAGTTACAGTACCCAAATTGCACAGTGTACCCAATTTGCACCCATTACCAATCTTACAGGGTTTTTTACAGACTAAACAATTTGTATTTTTACAATGTGCCATAATGCAGGTCTTTCAACATAGCTTAATATATTTAAATAGACCACAAAAAGTAAACTTTCAAAAATGATCAATTAAAAATTTGTCGGAGGCATTCATTTCTTTCAAAATGCATAATAAGTATGGATTTTAAAAATGTGGAGAAATAAAATAAAACATCAGTTATTCGATTTTTACGGATGTGAAGTTAAGCATGTAGCTATTCAATTTTTTGTACTCCTCATTACAGAATCTGGGGTCGTTAAGAGGTCATTTCAAACCGATTTTTCTAAGATTCAGTATGGATTAAAACTTAAATTTGTGGAACTATATAGTAAATAAGGATACATCTGCAAAATAAACACAAAAAAGAAACTTTTGTCTTTTTCTTCAATAAATGAAGGTTTAAAAACTGTCAAAATAGTTGCAATTTGGGTATCCTTACCTTACCTTTATGTATAGTATATAATATCATATCATTATACATCAAAACATAAAATTCATGGCAAAAATATCTTTTACTCTTACTCATATCAAAGAGAGTAACCTCTGTCCAAAATAAACATAATGGGTGTCCTTAACAGATGAAAAGAAACGAAACCTACATGAGTGTTGCAATGAATATATACAAATTTTAGTGGCATTAATGTTCTAAATTAGTAAGCTAAGTACACTCATTGTAAACATTAGAGATATATATATATATTTTATTTTTTTCAGGGATGGGGTGTAAGACATATTACCCTGATTGATAATGGAAGAATATCCTACTCTAATCCAGTCAGACAATCATTATTCCAGTTTGAGGATTGCTTGAATGGGGGCAAACCTAAAGCTGAAGCTGCTGCAGAGGCACTGAAAAAGATCTTTCCTGGTGTTGTATGTATATTGTTCAAATAAGTGATTGCTTGTTTTTTTTTCAAATTAGCTGCAAAAAATAAAGTGTGTTTTACTGTAATATTAAAAAAAAAAAGATATATACCAGGTACCAGTGATAAAGCAAAATGTTCCATTTTTAGAAATTAATAAAATGAAATGTAAGTGGAAATGTAAATAACACAGCAACCCAACAATAAAAGCAAAACAAAATGACATCTAGCATACATACCACCAGTGTTTTGATTATTGATATGTAAAAATAAAAAAAAAAAGAATTATTCATAAATATCTATTCATTTCAGATAGCTACAGGAATTTCATTGTCTATTCCAATGCCTGGTCACTCTGTTTCGGGTGAGTTATATAAATCAATATGTCAGTAATGTAAATGCCTTTTGGTGTTTTAATGTTTCCACACTCTTGTTCAGTTTGAAATAATATAAAAGTTTCTTATTCTTCAATAAAATGCACAAGAAATATGATTCTAACATACAGCACTTTAAACAACTGTATCAGTTGCAATAACTGACACCACGTTCACAAAGGGAAATAATTCATAAAGTTCACCTACAGAAGTAGAAAGGGAATCATAATGAAATAGTCACTATTTTAGAATATACATGTTTTCTAAAAATGCATGTAATGGACAGTTGAAATTCAACTCAATTTCAAGTTTTTATTTTGTCTTTATTTTTCAGTTTAAATGATTGTAAATAAAAAAAAAAAATTCTCATCTTTTCTATGCTTCTTTTCAGATGGATCATTAGAAATGATCAAAAATGAAGTCCAACAATTAGATGAACTTGTACAATCCCATGATGCATTGTTCCTTTTACTAGATACCAGAGAAAGTAGATGGCTTCCAACTGTCATGGCTGCAGCTTATCAGAAGGTAATCAAAAACATTTACCACCATGTCATAATAAATCTGATAAATAAGGCTATTCTTACATTTTTTAGGTCCAGCCCAAAATTTTGAAGAACATTAGCAGTTCTTATGTTCTTGTAACAAATAGTTTCTTGATAATAATTTCTGTGCTTAAATCAATATCCTTCCTCTTGAACATAAATACTACTTGTCAGAAAATACACTCTTTTTGTTTTATCGTGGAATCATCTGGTACTGTTCAGAAGTAAAGCCCTTTAGATTAGAAAAAAAGCAAAATTGATGGTATGCCAATGAAAGCATTAGTTTGTTTGAAATTCAAATACAATCTTTGACATTATATTAATTACTTATTAGTATGAATTACAGGTCAAGTAAAGACAAATTAAAAGACATATGAAATAGGTTGCTAGAAATAAAATTCACACACAAAAATTCAATAGAAATTTAAAATTTGTATATCCCAACAAATGAAAAAAAATCAGATGTTATTGAACAGTTATTAAGGTTCTTGCTTTTTCATTTTTGTAATAATTTGATATTTAGTTTGGTTTCATTGTGCACTTTGAAAGTAAAACTCTGAAAATTGATTAAAAAAAAAAAGATTTATATTCATGAAAAAGTCTTTCATCTTTTTTTTCCAGATAGTGATATGTGCTGCATTGGGTTTTGACACATTCCTTGTAATGAGACATGGTTTCCACACAGGAGAAGATAACCCTGAGAAAATTGCCTTCTCCAGTACCATGTCAATACCTGGTGACCAGTTAGGATGCTATTTCTGTAATGATGTAGTGGCACCAGGCAATGTAGGTATATTTGTATTCAAAGTGATAATATCAAAATCCTGAAAATTAGATGATTTTTGTGATCTTTTCAAGTGGAAATTAAAGATTAAGGACTAGTTGAGGAGATATTATCTCAAGAAAAATAACATATAAGATCATCTTATTTTTCAGCTTATTTGTTTGTTAAATAAGTTTTGCCCTGAAATATTCAAATTGGCATAATTTGAATCTTAACTACCACATAGGCTGACATAGGAGAACTTTAAAATACAAGGTATGGATCCAGACAAAAGTATGTCAACTTGACCAGCTTTCCATGCTTTACAAAGTTTCAGAGTTGGTATTATTATAGTAGCATGATTATTCATCTGTCCATATATATAAATAAGGAGATGTGGTATGATTGCCACTGAGACAACTATCCACCAAAGTTTAAATGGCACGGATATACACAATTATTGGTCACAGTATTGCCTTCAACAATGAGAAAAACCAATAATATACAGTCGGCTAAAAAAAACCACTTTATTTAAAAAGTCAGTATTTTTGTCCAGTTGGTCTGAAAGAATGCTAGTCTTGAAACATGTAATAATTGTGTTGTCCGATGTAAATAGTGCATGTAATTGGATCATGATAATAATTGTGTTGTCCGATGTTAATAGTGCATGTAATTGGATCATGATAATAATTGTGTTGTCCGATGTAAATAGTGTATGTAATTGGATCATGAAAATTTGAGGGATTTGGAATATTCATAGATTGTTAAGCTTAAAAAATTCATTGAATGCTTGATGTGCTTTTTGAGTATTTCACTATACATTTTCCCATTTTTGTGGTTTACAGCATAATAAGGTATGTTGATAGCATTTGTCACATTATCCACAATTTCTTGTCCATTATGCAACAAGAGTGTTTAAATGTTTTTATCCATGATCTTTATGGCACAAATTCAGTTATTGATTTTAGGTTGTACGGTGGGTGGGCATTTTGTTGGGTGTTCATGCAATTGGAAGGGAGGGCAGGCGGCTCCAGTAGTTTCTGTACAATAAGTCATGAACCATTTAAACAATGCTTTCCATATTTTAATATGTTGTTACTGATGACAAAATTAATGTTAAGATCAAATCAATATTGACAATTTTCACTTTTGCCGTTTAAGAGGTATTGTCTTTAATTGATGGGAAAATGGTCCTTTATGCTGTTTACATGCATTAACTTGAGAACTGCTCCAACAAATACTTTTCAAATTTAAATAATTCTGTATGCTATTACTGATATCGTGAATTTTCACTTTTGCTGTTCAGGAGTTATGGTCCGTGATTTGTCAGAAAATTGCACTTTGAGTTGTTCCGTGCAATAAGTTGAGAACTGTTCTACCAATTCTTTTCAAATTTTAATATGTTCTAACTAAAGACAAAATTTAGGTTAAGTTTGACATTGATGATTTCCACTTTTGCCATTCAATAGTTATGGCCATTCATTGCTTCAGCAATGCCATATAAATGTTATAAAAGAGTTTGCTGTCATTTTATATTATAAAATTGTTTTCAATAAAATTTAATTTGTTATTTGTTTTGGATGATAATCAATAGTATTCTGAGAATAAAACAAAAATCAATAATATAACAAAAGGAGTAAGTGCATGATTGTTTTCTTATATTTTATGTTATTGGTTTACATGGATTACAAATTTATTACCTTTGACTGAGGTAACCGATGATAATTAACAGTGCGTCTGACACTTGACCTTTCAAATTAAGACATTTAATGGTCAAATTATTTTTGGCTTCCTTTTAAATTTGCTGACAAACTGGAAATAAATTGCCACTCAACAATCGTCATGGATAGGGTTCACTTTAGGCCAAATGTGGCCTTGAATTTCAACTTTATCATAAAATGTCAAAATAGCAATAATTTGGTTCTTAAATGGGTCTATTTCAAAAGCCTTACTACTAGGTAAACAAAATCTGTTCAAAAAAAGTACATTTTAGGCTTCAAAGTCATCACTGGATATTATGTCAAAATACAATGATTTTGTGCAGTTTTCAGACCTAAAAGCTTGAGACAACCCTTGGCTGCAACCTATGATCCAAAATTTTTTGTAACAAAAAGTTGTCAATGATGATATTGAATCCCTAGACACAAACATTTTCTGGATCAAGGGTGGTGGCCAAAGTTGATTTTGCTGAAATCTGTTTAGGATTAATGAAAATTTTTAACAAAACTGATGTTTCAACACAAATAGTGCATAATTAAGGGGTCATTACTTCTCATTAATAATGTGATGTGCCAAAAAGAAGTTATTTTGTATAAATAGTAATATCACAACTTTTTCTATGTGAAAATTATAGTATTTTGGCCTGACTAAAAAGAACATCAAAATATTAGGGCTAATCCTAACCCTTTATGAACTTACTCCTGTGGTTGTTGTCCATGCTGCAAAGTGGAGAGGAATTTTGGAATGTGGATAGCTGTCCTTCTAAAGTTGTAAGCTCTCTTATATTTGTTCCTGTGAAAGAAACACAAATGTTGCATAGTGAACATGCTTAACTTATTCAGCAAATTTTGTTTTTTTAATAAAAAGATAATTTAAATTAATAAAAGGAAAATAAAATGATAATAATAATGATACTGAATTAGTTTACAATTTTTTTTTATTGATATATATATATTTGGACTTTTACAAATAAGAAAATTGATTGAACAAAATTAACTTTTCATCATTTTTTTACCATAACATGCTTTTTTGTTTAAAAAGCCCCATGTCCTTTATTATCTACAAATCTTTGGCAATTACAGCTTACTTTTATGGTATCTGGTTATGCTTTTTGTTGATGGCCATTAGAATTTTGTTGCATCATTCAACATTTATTTGCTGCTTCATCTATACATTTTCCATTTATCCCCAGCTATTGCCATCAGTTAGCATCCATAATTTTTGCCGTCCATCTTCAACACTGTTAACTATTTTTAACCGGATTTTTGAAGGAAAAATCGGTTATTGATTTTGGGATGTACGGCGGGCGGGTGGGCAGGAGGGCGGGCGGGCGGTCGGGCGGTCGGCCAAACAGTGTCCGTTCATTAACATGAAAACACTTTGATGAAATTTTTTCAAATTTAGATATGTTGTTTCCTGTGACTAAATGAAGGTCAAGTTCAATTTTCACGATTTTAGCTTTTCTCGTTGTTGTGTAATATCCCTTTCCAATAGTCAAAAGTGGTACTTATTATGTGATTGAGTTATTTCCCTTTGAACAGAAATGGTTTATTATATATATAAAGTTTGATTACACTTACAGATAAGTTTTATAGATTTTTAAAAGACTTTGTATTACTGATAAATGACATTTCGGATTTTTTTTTTCTTTTCTTTGGTAAATTGTTTGAAGAATTTTGCGGTTGGTTTGTTTGTTATTCTGTATAAACTTATTTTCTGAATGCTATATATATATATTTATTCTGATGAAGTGAACTCCTTTAAAAACTAAGCATATATTGTCTATTAATAAACATATATTTAGATTTCTGATTATTTTAATTTCATCAAAAATTGAATTCTTGGGGTTCTTTGATATGCTGATTCTAACAATGTTTTATAAATAGATATATATAACATCACATCTAATTTTAGAGAACTATTTTTTAGTGGTTAAATCATATCTAATTTTAGAGAACTATTTGTTTATCATTTATTTAGTTTGAGTTATTTCCCTTTGAACAGAAATTTATTAAGTATAGACGGGTTTATCTGTAATTGACCTAGAAAACATGGGTGCATCCATTAACCTCTCACGTGACCGATCCGCCATTACAACCGTGAAAAATAACGCACGTGTATTGATCAAAACATCGATTTTCTGTTTACATTTGTATTTCTCCATTTTCTGATTTATTTTACTATGGATGCTGCCGAAAGTTATAAAATACATGGAAGCGTTTCTTGTGCAGTTAATAGTTGTACAAATACTGGTAAAAAACTTCAGGTGTGGAAAAAGTCAATATGCGAATTACACAACGAGTTGCACAATGACTGCCCTCGTTTGATTCCATATACGTCTTATGTGATGCCTTCAGACGAGCCAACAAACCTGAGTGGATCAAAGCCGTATAAGCATAAAAAAAAACTTTGCATAAACAGGTTTTTGTATGGTCCGGACATTTTTTTTGGATGATGCGCCACTGCACACAATCCGTTTTTTTTTTTAAATAAAACTTGTTATGAAAGTAAAATAACACTGGCCGACGAATGTTCACACGTTGTAAAACGACTGTTAAAAACTTAAATTAATCTATAAAATTTAATCCGATGACTACAGTGCATGCATCTGCCTCTTTTTGTATAAAAGATCCACCGCGACATCAGATGCGGATCCAGGATTTTGAAAAAAAGGGGGGAGGGCGCGTGCCCCAAACTTTTGTAGTGGAAGCGGTAAAATGTCTGGATTAACCATAAATGAAGCTAATAACAATGAAATCTACCCAAGGCTACATGTAGTTATAATTGCAAGCAAATCAACCCAGTGTGAAGAGACGAACTTTTTTCATTCATGACGACTTCTATATAGTATCTTTATGCTGCAAAATGGACAGACATTCCGAGAATATTAACTCAGACAAAAATATTGTTAACAGATGAGTAAGGAGTTCAAAATTAAATAAAAGGGGGGGAACCTCGTCAGCAGTTTAAGAAATATTATGAATGAAAGTGACGCCTTGTTGTAACTTATGTAACTACGTTTTCTTTACTTTAGTGGAATTACTACACAATTTAATTTTCAACTACGATATTGCAGATCAGCTGTTGCTCGATCGTACTGATGAGGTTAACACTTAGTAAGTTTGATATTTGGTTATTTGGGAAGGCGCTTTAATATTTCGAAAAGTAAGGCTTGTAAAATATTTTATTCCTGGGTGCAGTTCTTGCTGAAAAACTTAAAGGTTTATATATATATGTAGGTCTGTATGCTTATAGTATATATTCACTTTATTTTCTTTATAAGACGTATATACAGTTACTTCTGTTGATTTGAACTTTCCTCAGTAGATTATTCTGTGCATGAATTCTAAAATTTCATACATTAGAAAGGATTTTTCAAAGGTCTAACTCTTGGTAATCAAATAGTTTACTAGAACCTACGAAAGCGTAGCTATAATCAGAGTACCCGAAATCCTGATAGTCCGACCGTCCAATATACACCCCTAATGTTATATTGTAATACTGTATTTCACTGTATTATATACATCGGGGACTTATATAAGAGTCTAATACGGATTAAGGATGAAAATCTACGAGACCTCTGTTTTGGAGTGGTTGGGAGGGGAGTTGGCAAAACACTAAATGACGCTTCTAAAACATAACTAATCATCGCTTTGAATTTACATGTTGGAGTCTTTGGTGGTTTAATGGCATTCAGTTATATTAAGCACGGGCTGGATCATGATGTTATATACTCAACATACTATAGTGGTTGTATGTCGAGTAATTTTCTGCAAAAGAAATTGGAATCAAACACATAATAACTATAGGAATACATGGGCCGTGAAAGTTCAAAACTTCTTAAGCCCATATTCTAATCGCAAAGTTATATCTACATATGGCCCGACGCATCGATAGCATATAGCTCAATTTATGCGGACACCAAAGTAATACGAAAATGTCACTCAATTTTGAGCATTATACGTGAGTCAAGCAAAAAGCACAAAACTCTCGTCTCTGTAGGACCGTCTGATTAGTGGATTGTTAAATGTTTAGGACTGTCTCATTATAGGTCTGACCACAGAAATTTCTATGATTTGATAAAATTGCACCCTAGCTGGTTTTTCTGATACATAGGCGGATCCAGGGGGGAAAAATTTGGTTGATTATATAGGGAATCACTGAAGCATGACTGGAGCGGGCCACCCTTAGGTCAGTCAGCGCCCCCCCCCCCCCCCCCCCCCCTTTATGAAAAGTTCTGGATCAGCCACTGTGATATATCACATTCGACCGGTCAAGACTATTTATTTTTTTATTTATGTATGCGTTATAATTATTAATATTATGATTACCAAATGATTATAATGGACATGTAACCTGGGATTAGTATTCCGTATAAAATGTATTATGTCCCGTGTGTAACATATCAAATACACTTATATTTTAAGGACACGACACCTGGCCTGCAATACACTTAGAATCCTTATCTAATTACTTTATTATTTATAGCACATATAATTTTGCCGAGGTCAAGTATGACTTCAAATTAATTATATGCGGTCAGGGCATATAGATCTATATCTTGTTTATATTTTTTCACGGTTGTAATGGTAATCGTACTACGACGATGCCTAGGAGTAGCGTCACAAACTAAGGCAGATAATCGGAAAAACCTGTCTATATGGATAAAATTTAACTGTGTTTCATTTCAACATAAATTAAATATATAATGGGTTCTTTCAAATGCTGAATCTAAACCTGTATTTAAATATTGGATTTTTGGGCCCAGTTTTCAAGTTGGTCCAAATCAGGGTCCAAAATTAACTTTGTTTGATTTCAACAAAAATTAAATTTTTTAAATCTTTTCTGAAACCGTCTGACAAATTTCAACAAAAATTAAGTTTAAATTGACGATCCCATCTTCCAACAAAAATGGCCACCGCTGTTGTAAAAGCTAAAAAAATTTACTACAAATTCTAGATAATATATAACTAAATATAGAGCTTATTCATTCATGTGAACTCTTGAAAATAAGTCCTGAGAAGGATTATAACTTGAAGTTAAAAAAACTGAGTACACCAAAGGTTTCTATTGTTTTTATGAATGATAAATTTATGTTTGATATAACATTTAATATAAAAAATATTTTAGTGCTTGCCTTCCTCTATATTGTAAAATGACAAAAGGAACACAGCTAAAAATACTCTCAAGATTGTTTACATGAGATAGAGCTAATAATGACAGTTGGTATGAACTAAAGTTAACAAGGAAAAGAGACATGAGTTATAGCTGATAAGGACACTTTACATGAGTTACATCAAGTAATGACAGTTGACATGAGATTTATGAAACTAGGTACAACTGACAAAGACATTTGACATAAGATATATCTACCAAAGACATATATAGTTAACAAGGACAGTTGACATGAGATGTAGCCAATAAGGGCAATTGACATGAGATATAGCCAACAAGTACAGTTGACATGAGATATAGCTAGCAATGAGAGTTGACATGAGATATAGTTTACGAGATATAGCTTACAAGGACAGTTGACATGAGATATAGCCAACAAGTACAGTTGACATGAGATATAGCTAGCAATGAGAGTTGACATGAGATATAGTTTACGAGATATAGCTAGCAATGAGAGTTGACATGAGATATAGCCAACAAGTACAGTTGACATGAGATATAGCTAGCAATGAGAGTTGACATGTGATATAGCCAACAAGATATAGCTTACAAGGACAGTTAACATGAGATATAGCCAACAAGGACAATAGACATGAGATATAGCCAACAAGGACAATTGACACGAGGTAAGGCTAAGAAGGACAGTTGACATGCGATATAGCCAACAAGCACAGTTGATATGACATATAGCAAACAAGAACAGTTGACTTGAAATATAGCTAACATTGACAGTTGACATGAGATATAGCCAACAAGGACAATCAACATGACATATGATAGTCAACAAGGACAGTTGACATGAGATATAGCCAATAAGGACAGTTGACATGAGATATAGTCAACAAGGACATTTGACATGACATATAGCAAACAAAGGACAGTTGATATGAGATATAGCAAATAAGGACAGTTGACATGAGAAATAGCAAACAACAACAGTTGACATGAAATACAGTTAACAAGTACAGTTGACATGAGATTTAGCAAATAAGTACAGTTGACATGAGATTTAGTGGACAAGAACACTTGAAATAATATATAGCTAGCAATGACATGAGATATAGCCATTAAGGACAGTTGACACAGTTCCCATGTCATGTAGCTAGCAAGGACAGTGAGTATGATAGAAATGAGAAATGCTTACAAAGACAGTTGATATGAAATAAAGTTAACAAGGACAATTGATCATGTGAGCAATAATGGTTAATATAAGTATCAGAAAAAAATTATATTATATTAGAAAATGAAAATAATTTATTTAAATTACTGTTTTAGTCTACAAGGGACAGAACTTTGGATCAGCAGTGCACTGTATCCCGCCCAGGCATGTCATATTTGGCTAGTGCTCTTGCTGGAGAATTGCTTGTATCTGTGATACAACATCCACTGGGGTAGGTTATTGGTAGTAGATAAAATATATGGCATGTATTAGTTTAAGGTATGATTTTCTTAACCGAAAAAATACTTTAAATTAATTTTTCACTATTTTTTGTTCAACAATATAATCCTTGTATTTTTAAATGAAAAATTGATCCAATTCTCAATTCTTTCATGGTTCATAGACCTGATTTATTTTATATTGTATGATAAACCATCAGAGCTTCCTAGTCTTAATAATTCATACAATGCACCAACCTAATTATATGAAGCTAACACTGTATCAAAGTTTGTTCAATACAGTTAAGTTTGACTTTGGTAGATTTTACATTAATCATTCAAGAGGTATTTCCCTTTATTATTTAAAAAACTAAAAAAATGTTTTTTGTTTCAATATGACGATATAAGAACAACAAAATTGTACCACTTTTCAAGAATGTTTCACTTTGTTAACTGGGAATTGTCACAATTTTATGTTTAACAGTGAAAACTAAAATATGGCTAGAACAAATCCTGAATTAAATTCAAATTTGTTCAGTTTTAATGGATTTGACATGTATCATTGAAGTCTTCTGACCAATAGAAATGTTTGTATTGCAGCAATATATATTTTAATGCTGTTAAATAAGTTCATTTGCCATTACTGGTTTAACCAAATTCTAGTTTACAGGAATAAATGGAAATGTGGCAGCAATCCAATGACAAAAATAACTAAAAGATAGCTAGGTGACACCATACAGTATTCCACAATAGACAGCTGTCTATGCAATATGTCAAGCTCTAAATTGTCCTGATTCGGTAAAAGTTTTGAATTATTTAAACAGAAACCATAAAAAAAATCTGTCAACACACATTTCTCCAAAATAACAAAAGGCTTAAGATATGTCATATGACAACTACTGGCATGCTTCCTGACTTGGGACAGCCCATGCACATGAGGCAAGATTAAACCATTTTTTTCAGATCTTAGTCAGACCTCCCCCTTTTTATATGTTGTATTTTAATAGAGCTAGAATAATGATTTAAAAACATACTGATATTTCTGAACAATGAATACATATCTTTTTTAATTACGTCATTACAGCAGTAATGGATGGAGGGTTGTATTTTGAAAATATTATGTAACCTTTTAATATTAAGAAAATAATTTATTTCAGACCAAAAGCGCCAGCAGATACCAGTGCTAAGGATGAAAATTTATCACAAGAGTTGTCATGTAACCTTGGGATTGTTCCTCATCAGGTTGGTGTACAGTTAATGTCTTTTTCTAATGATCTGAACAATATTCTTTTCCTTTTACTGGTACTTGATGTCACTTGGCATGTGTGCCTTTTTCTATGTTATTACAACTGGGAATATAGAGCATCAAAGTGTTATGGGTTTATTACAGGTAAAATCAGCAAAGAAGAGGAGAAAGTTCATCATCTAAGTCAAGTTTTTTTAACGTTAGATTTAAATTGCTTTGATAAAAAAAATTGATGGACATTGTAATATTGATTCCAGATAAACGATTGAAAAGTACAGTTGCAGGGCAACAATTTTGAGACTGTTTGAATAGCAGAAATCTGTTGACAGAGTTTTTACATGTGAATGACTATTGTTATCAAGCTAGTGGTAGATACTTAAATGGTGTTTCTTTCTATAAGAAAAAGGGAGCCAAAAGCTTTTGAGTTAAAGTTTTTCCTTCACCTTTGAGTCAGGCAATGACTATAATCTATCATATACATTTACTTGTTTATTCTATTTTTACATACTCTGTATTGATTTATTTATTGGTTTAATTGTTTTGGGATATTTATGCAACAGCAGAAAATATATAATATGTGTACATTTTCTGTTGTAATAGTTAATGTAAATTCTTTGTGTTTCAGATTAGATGTTTCCTGTCTAGATTTCATCAACTATTACCTGCTAGTATGGCTTTTGATAAATGTACAGCATGTTCAAAAATTGTAAGTTCATTGATTGATAACTATTATATAGTAGAGAATTGCATAAGACTGTATATACAATTCATTGTTTTTGTTATTACACAATAATTTTCTTTAGCAGTTTCCATGATATTTTTAGAAAGAGATCATTGATTTGTGCCCCTTTCTATAAACATCGAAATTTTCATCAAAACTTTATAAGGTGACTTCTTCTCATTACCATAATCCTATCCTGTTTTTCAGGATTCTGACATCTCAAAATGTGGGAAATTGTCTTTATGAAAAATAAACTGGAATGTGCACATAGTAAAAATTACTCTTTTAAACTTAGCGTGCTTTAGCATTAGAGATGATGTGTCTTGTGTAGGGTCTGTTACCATATGATTCAGAGCGTTTAAAATCTGACTCAGCCTGTGAGTCTTATACGTATATTTGAACATGTATCTCATTTAAACGTCACCATACTCAATATGCATGTAATATTTGCAATTGGCTATTAATGATCAATCTCTTAATCCCTCTTTTTACAGTTGAAATAACTTATCAGAAATATGACATTACCAAACTCTGAAGGTTCAATAAAAACAATGTCCTGTGGATTCATTAATATTCATTAGATATTAATTTTCGTGGATTTTGTGGGTACAGATGAACCACAAATTTAGATGTTCCTAGAAGTACAAATTATCTAAAATTGTGTATGCAATCTTTGGCCAAACTACGAAATCAAATACCCGGTATATACAAAAATAGAATTTTCCCTCAATTTGGTAAAATTGAATATATTGCTTGAATTTTTTTTTCAAATATAATAAGGATAACAAGACCACTATTGGATAAATGTTCTAAGTTGGAAATATTAAAACAAATGTTCCATAGCATATACAACTTGTATTGACAGGTCATAGATGCCTACAAGAAGGAAGGTTTTGACTTTCTACTGAAAGCTTTTAATGATCCAACATATTTAGAAAATCTGACAGGTCTTACACAGATGCATCAAGAAACATTAGATGCAGAGGTACGTATGAAATAAGATTATGGTATGGACAAAACACAGAAGTGTAATAGTATAAATTGTACCTAAATAGGAATTTTTTATTCCGATTCTTTTACCCTTTGTACACTGGATACTTTACTTTTATAATTTAAAAGTTAAAATATTCAAAAGAAAGCTTCTGTGTTGATGTTTTCGAATTATTTTCCATATCAGTGCAATACTTAATTATTTTTAATGCAATCGACTAATCAAAATTACATTTGAAGAAAAATTAGTAAAAATTAGCTCCATTATACTACATTAATTTTTTGTGATGTACATATGATCAGATAGTTGTAGAAATTTCTCATACCAATATAACAATCTTATCTGAAGCATATATACTTCATACCCTTCTTCTAACCCGAATAATTCAGTCCCTCCCCGTAATCGATCTCTCCTACTTGCGAGGGCCTGAATTCCTTACACGATAAAAACTCTTCACGAATCCTGAATTTTGATTGGTGCCCTGTAGAAGAGGTGACCAATCAGCAATTAGCTCAATTTTATCGAGATAGGTAAGTCCCGAGCTAATTCCGAATGATTGATTGAAGATTTTTCATTGTCAATGCATTCAGGCGTTAATGGAGTAATCGTAGATCAGCGGAATATAACGACTGAATTATTCGGGTTAACCCTTCTTCTTACTAGATAACACATAATGACTGATGGTAAGTGAATGAGATTTGGTATGCAGTTGTAAATCTAAATTTTCAGGGAGATTATTTGGCTTTGCATCTCAGTCATGTTCCATAGATGTAAATTTTGCATAGTTTACATGTAAAAGTTTGTGATTAGATATAAGAAGATGTGGTATGAGTGTCAATGGGACAACTCTCCATCCAAGTCACAATTTGTAAAAGTAAACTTTTATGTCAGTTTAAGTGGAGCCACTAATGATATGTCAATGATATTTGGTGTGTAGCTGTATTAGCATTTGCAAATCTCAATTCCATGAGATTATGGCCCTGCCCCTTCAGGCATAGTGAATTGATTTGAAAGTTTTGATAGTCTACATGTAAAAGTGTTACCTTTTTGTTGAGTCTGCGACATTTATGGACATTACGACATCAATTACTTTATCAAACCTTCATAGAATTTTATGAAACTTTGGCAGAAGCTTTTTTATGAATAAGAGATAATGTCTGAAGCAAACTTTTGAAAATATTTTTTTTTCACTTTCAGTATTTTTCTGATAAATGGACTTAAGATTTTTACAGTTAACATTTACAGACAATCTGGGATTAAACTTTTTTTACATGATAGATTTGTAAACCTTCATGGATTGTTACGAAACTTGGACAGAAGCTAATCTTCAAGATCATGAAATAGCATCTAGAGAAAAAGTTTGATTTTTTTTTTAAATTCTGTATTTTACTGATAAATGGACTCACTTTTTAGCTCACCTGGCCCAAAGGGCCAAGTGAGCTTTTCTCATCACTTGGCGTCCGTCGTCCTGCGTCCGTCGTCCGTAAACTTTTACAAAAATCTTCTCCTCTGAAACTACTGGGCCAAATTTAACCAAACTTGGCCAATATCATCATTAGGGTATCTAGTTTAAAAAAATGTGTCCGGTGACCCGGCCAACTAACCAAGATGGCCGCCATGGCTAAAAATAGAACATAGGGATAAAATGTAGATTTTGGCTTATATCTCTGAAACCAAAGCATTGAGAGCAAATCTGACAAGGGTAAAAATGTTTATTAGCTCAAGATCTATCTGCCCTGAAATTTTCAGATGAATCGGACAACCTGTTGTTAGGTTGCTGCCCCTGAATTAATAATTTTAAGGAAATTTTGCCTTATTTGGTTATTATCTTGAATATTATTATAGATAGAGATAAACTGTATACAGCAATAATGTTCAGCAAAGTAAGTTCTACAATTAAGTCAACATGACCAAAATGGTCAGTTGACCCCTTAAGGACTTATTGCTCTTTTATAGTCAATTTTAAACAATTTTTCGTAAATTTTTGTTATCTTTTACAATCTTCTCCTCTGAAACTACTAAGATGAATTTAACTAAAGTTGTAAACAATCATCATTAGGGTATGTAGTTTAAAAGTTGTGTTTGATGACCCCGCCCTCAAACCAAGATGGCCGACATGGCTAATAATAGTACATAGGGTAAAATGCAGTTTTTGGCTCATATATCTAAACCCAAAGCATTTCTAGCAAATCTTTCAGAAACAAAATTGTTCATTAGGTCAAGATCTATCTGCCCTTAAATTTTCTGACCATTCAGGCAACCCGTTGTTGGGTTGCTGCCCCTGAATTGGTAATTTTTAGAAATTTTTTCAGCTTTTGGTTATTATCTTGAATATTATTATAGATAGAGATAAACTGTAAAGAGCAATAATGTACAGCAAAGTAAGACCTACAAATAAGTCACATGACCAAAATGGTCAATTGACCCCTTAAGGAGTTATTGCCCTTTATAATAAATTTTTAACAATTTTCATAAATTTTGTAAATTTTTACAAAATAATTTCCACTGAAACTACAGTTCATTATAGATAGAGATAATTGTAAGCATCAAGAATGTTCAGTAAAGTAAGATCTACAAACACATCACCATCACCAAAACACAATTTTGTCATGAATCCACCTGTGTCCTTTGTTTAATATGCACATAGACCAAGGTGAGCGACACAGGCTCTTTAGAGCCTCTAGTTAAGTCAACATTACACTTTTACACTGACAGCAGAAACTGCAGGCGAGACACAGGGTTCCGTGGAACCCCTTACAAATTTTTAATATTAACATTTGCATTACACAATCCAAATTTCATACAGACAAAATAATAACTCTGTGTTATCAGTTTGATTTTCCTATAGAAATAATTATATATTCGTGGTGTCAAATAAATTTGGAAAACCATAATACCAGAAAACAAAACCAGCAATATTGTTCTTCTTATTACCTCCCCCTGAAACTGATAAATGTGCCCTGGAAATCACGTTCTATATAAAGCACCTTGTAGGGTAATAGCACAGATATCATAAAGATTTCCATAAACTTGGTGATTGGTCAGACTCAGGTTTTTTATGTTGATTTGTAGAGTGTTGTTTTTTTGCCATTTTTGTTGTTTTTTGCCATGGCATTGTCTGAGCTTTATAAAAATAAGGAGATGTGGTATGATTGCCAATGAGACAACTATCCACCAAAGTTCAGATGAAATTGATGTAACTTATGAGTTTGACTATCCCTTTGGTATCTTTTGCCTTTCTTTTAATTGATGTATTTGCAAGCTCCAAGTAAGTTTAGTTGTATTAATGTTTGAACTTCCTCTATTTTCAGGTATGGGATTATAGTGATGATGAGGAGTGCAGTAGTATGGAAATAACGTGATAACACTTAACATTGTAGACAATTTTAAAACTTGATAAACTGATATTGATCATTCAACAATCATTTGTTTAGGGACATGATTTATAATAGGAATAATATTTGTTGCTTTATAACTAAAGTGTATAAACTATTGCAAAAATTTCAAAGAAACAATTTTTTTTAACAATCTTGCTCATTGCCACTTTTTGCTTATAAGTTTGCCTCTCTGTATTTGCTTCAGATTTTTTTTAATAGGATCCTTTAATCCTGTAACTTATTGTCAGTTTTCTTCCAAAGCCCACTTTTCAAAATTTTCTATTGATTCCTTTTACCGGTTGCCCATTGCAACACCTTTTTAAGTCCTTCTTTCCTTTTTTTAGGGCCAAGTGAGCTTTTCTCATCACTTTGCGTCCGTCGTCGTCGTCGTCGTCGTCGTCATCCTGCATCCTGTTAACTTTTACAAAAATCTTCTCCTCTGAAACCACTGGGCCAAATTTAACCAAACTTGGCCACAATCATCATTAGGGTATCTAGTTTAAAAAAATGTGTCCAATGACCCTGCCAACCAACCAAGGTGGCCGCCATGGCTAAAAATAGAACATAGGGGTAAAATGTAGATTTTGGCTTATATCTCTGAAACCAAAGCATTTAGAGTAAATCTGACAAGGATAAAACTGATTATCAGGTCAAGATCTATCTGCCCTGAAATTTTCAGACAAATCTGACAACCTGTTGTTGGGTTGCTGCCCCTGAATTGGTAATTTTAAGAAAAATTTTGCAGTTTTGGGTAATTATCTTGAATATTATTATAGATAGAGATAAACTGTAAACAGCAATAATGTTCAGCAAAGTAAGATCTACAAATAAGTTGTCATGACCAAAATTGTCAGTCGACCCCTTTAGGAGTTATTGCCCTTTATAGTCAATTTTTTTTTTAACAATTTTTGTAAATTTTTGTAATCTTTTACAAAAATCTTCTTCTCTGAAACTACTGAGACAAATTTAACCGTACTTGGCCATAATCATTATTAGGGTATCTAGTTTTAAAAATTTGTCCGATGACCCTGCCTTCCAACCATCATGGCCGACTTGGTTAAAAATAGAACATAGGGGTAAAATGCAGTTTTTGGTTTATATCTCTGAAACTAAAGCATTTAGAGCAAATCTGACAGGTGGCAAAAATGTTCATCAGATTTAGATTTATCTGCCATGAAATTTTCAGACGATTCCGACAACCCGTTGTTGGATTGCTACCCCTGAGTTAGTTATTTTACGAAAATTTTGCAGTTTTTTGTTATTATCTTAGATATCATTATATAATATCTAATATCTAATACTATTAATTATGATTTTAACCTTATTTAACATGATTTTCAAAGCATCAGTAAATACAGATGAGCGACACAGGATCTTGAGAGCATCTTGTTTTTATTATAAACTTTCTTGGCCTGTATTTTTTTGCCGCATTTGCCTGAAACACCTCAATCTCATTAACCAAACATATTTATGGCTTTATAATGTGTTAATTTTACCAAACAAGTGGTAGTGGTATAAAAATGGGGTTTTTATGTATTGGTAACTATTTTTTGTTAAGGATTTATTTATTATTAATTATGAAGTTGAAAATAAACTAACAGATTCTGACTTGTATTATTTTATTTAGAAACAATGGATTCATTATTGTTATTGGGATACCAATTTGTACGGACTTCGTAGGTATATACGTGAACCATAAACTTAAATGTTCAAGGAAGTATAAATTTTCAATAGGTTTATATGCAGACCTTGGTAAAAACACAAAATCAAATATCCACAAAACTACAATTTCTTCCATCCACAAAATTATTACCCACCAAAATAAAAGAATCTGCAGTATCACATTTGACAAACTTTTTGTACATGGATTGTACCCCTATTTGGATAACTCTATTGATTTTGTCTGATGAATTCTTTGGGAAGGTAACCTAAGGATGACAGTGATTCCTCATATATATACAAATATAAAGTCAAGATAAAGAAATATTTCCAAAAAAAAACACCGTTCAAAAACAATTATTTCAAAAAACAAATAGACAATATTGCTTGACATCAACAATGTATTTGTTTGTGATTAGGTCACTTTAAGGGGAACCGCCAGTGGTAGGTCAATGGTATTTGATATGCAGTTGTATAACTATTGGCATATCTTGTTTCCTTGGTGATTATTTGGCCCTCCCTCCTCAGTCATGAGCGTTATGCATCATGCTATTATGTTTTTGACTTTGAGCAGTTCTGGTGCAGGTGGGTCCTGAGTTGCTATTCAGATGCAAGAGGTTTTTACGGTGATGTTTCCATTTTGTTTCCCCTTGTATTTATATTTTAATTAATTTGTACTTTATCGAGAAAGTGTATTATAAATAAAGTATGTACTATCAATTACAAAACCTTTTTATAGGTGTCTTTGTCAATTTGCTATGAACTCCAAAAACGTTTTTGTTGGCGTCTTACTCAGATTTACTTGTATGTTTGTTCAAATTTTTTGATAGTTCTGATGCTCAGCAAATTTTGTCAATATAACGGAACTATAAACAATTGTCATACAAGTGAGAGGTTTAGCTAGCTATAAAACCAGGTTTAACCCACCATTTTCTTCAGAAAATACCTGTACCAAGTCAGGATTATGAGAGTTGATTTCTACTCGTTTCGTTGGTTGATAAAGTTTGATTTTGTCAGTTTTTATGGTGAATTTACCTTGGAGTTCAGTATTTTTTCTATTGACTTTGAAACTTTGCTTAGTTTACATGAATTAGATTGTGATTAGGTCAGTTAAAGGGGATCCACAAGTCATAGTTCACTTATATTTGGTATGCAGTTGTATTAACATAGGATCATCTCATTTCCATGAATAATATTTGGTCTTACCCACTCAGTCATGGTCTATTGACTTTGAATCTTTTGCTTAGTTTACATGAATTAGATTGTGATTAGGTCAGTTTAAGGGGAACCACTAGTTGTAGTTCAATGATATTTGGTATACAGTTGAATAAGCATTGACACTTCTCATTTCCTTGGAGATTACTTGGGGCAGGTCTAAGTCATCTCCAAAGAAATGAGAAGTGTCAATGCTTATACAGCTGTATACTAAATATCATTGAGCTACAACTTAAGTCATAAAAAGTTAATTTCTTTTAAGACACAAACTATTGTGCTTACATGAGAAACACAACAGGTGCCACATGTGGAGCAGGATCTGCTTACCCTTCCAGAGTACTTGAGATGAACCCCGTTTTTGGTAGGGTTCTTGCTGCTCAGTCATTAGCATGGCATTGTCTGTTTGTTTTTGACTTGTGAGTTTGAATGTCACCTTGGTATCTTTCGCCTCTTTTTTGTATCTCATAGCAAAATGCCATTCCTCAAGAATAGTAATTGATGAGCAAGTCACTCTTTGGAATAATGTATGTAAAGGTGCCATGTGAAAAGACATAAAATGAAACTAATATAATCTATTTTGACCTTTTATTTCATTAGATAAAATACAAATAATATTAGGTGGTTGTTAGTCTTTGGGTTCCTGGATTTCATATAGAAAGTAAACAATATACATATTAACAAAACAATTACCATTAAAAAATGTTTGTACATTATAAGCAACAATTATTATGCTAAATTACAATAAAATGCTTCGCTGGGGCGCAGCTTGATACGACCGCAGAGGTCGAACCCTGAACAGTTGGGGCAAGTATGGACACAACATTCAAGCTTGATACAGCTCTGAATTTGGATTGTTATTAAATATTTGACACAGCATAGGTTTCTGACACAGAAAGAATGTGGTCTAAGAACTTGATTTTTTTTAATTTACCTATTATGGTCCAATGTCCAAAATCAAAATACATGGTTAGATTCAGCGTATCAAAGAACCCCATATATTCAATTTTTGTTAAAATCAAACAAAGTTTAATTTTGGACCCCAACTTGGACAAACTTGAAAACTGGGCCCATAATCAAAAATCTAAACACATGTTTAGATTCAGCATATCAAAGAACCCCAAGAATTCAATTTTTGCTAAAATCAAACTAAGTTTAATTTTGGACCCTTTGGACCTTAATGTAGACCAATTTAAAAAACGGGACTTAAAATTAAAAATCTAAATACACGGTTAGATTTGGAATATCAAAGAACCCCAATAATTCAATTTTTGATGAAATCAAACAAAGTTTAATTTTGGACCCTTTTGACCTCAATATGAACAAATTTGATAGGGGGGCCCACAAATAAAAATTCTTAATGCATGGTTAGATTCAGCATATCAAAGAACCCCATATATTCAATTTTTGTTGAAATCAAAAAAAGTTTAATTTTGGACCCCAACTTGGACCAACTTGAAAACTGGGCCCATAATCAAAAATCTAAACACATGTTTAGATTCAGCATATCAAAGAACCCCAAGAATTCAATTTTTGTTAAAATCAAACTAAGTTTAATTTTGGACCCTTTGGACCTCAATGAAGACCAATTTAAAAAACGGGACCCAAATTAAAAATCTAAAAACACGGTTAGATTTGGCATATCAAAGAACCCCAATAATTCAATTTTTGATGAAATCAAACAAAGTTTAATTTTGGACCCTTTTGACCTCAATATGAACCAATTTGATAGCGGGGCCTACAAATAAAAAATCTAAATACATGGTTAGATTCAGCATATCAAAGAACCTCATATATTCAATTTTTGTTGAAATTAAACAAAGTTTAATTTTGGACCCCAATTTGGACCAACTTGAAAACTGGGCCCATAATCAAAAATCTAAATACATGTTTAGATTCAGCATATCAAAGAACCCCATATATTCAATTTTTGTTGAAATCAAACAAAGTTTAAATACTGGACCCTATCTTGGACCAACTTGAAAACTGGGCCCATAATCAAAAATCTAAACACATGTTTAGATTCAGCAAATCAAAGAACCCCAAGAATTCAATTTTTGTTAAAATCAAACTAAGTTTAATTTTGGACCCTTTGGACCTCAATGTAGACCAATTTAAAAAACAGGACCCAAAATTAAAAACCTAAATACACAGTTAGATTTGGAATATCAAAGAACCCCAATAATTCAATTTTAGATGAAATCAAACAAAGTTTAATTTTGGACCCTTTTGACCTCAATATGAACCAATTAGATAACGGGGTCCACAAATAAAAAATCTAAATACATGGTTAGATTCAGCATATCAAAGAACCCCATATATTCAATTTTTGTTGAAATCAAACAAAGTTTAATTTTGGACCCCAATTTGGACCAACTTGAAAACTGGGCCAAAAATCAAAAATCTAAATACATGTTTAGATTCAGCATATCAAAGAACCTCATATATTCAATTTTTGCTAAAATCAAACAAAGTTTAATTTTGGACCCTTTGGACATTAATGTAGACCAATTTGAAAACTGGACCCAAAATTAAAAATCTAAATACACTGTTAGATTCGGCATAACAAATAAATAAATGTGATCAAAGATTTTACAAATCTAATGCGCCATACTGTGCAATTGAAGATTACTTCTTGAAATTTTTCAATATTTGAAATTTGAAAAAAAAATAATATTTGAAGAATAATTCTTTTTAATTTCTGAAATCTGAAATGAGAAAAAATTGGCCCCCCACAATTTCTTTTTATTCCCCCCCCCCCCCCCTTTTTCCCCAAAAAAAATTTTTTCCCTCAAGATATGGTCATAATCTCAATTCAAATTTCCAATGGAGTTGGCAACCATAATTACCCATTTAAATTTACCATAGTGCTAACTTAATCTATTTTATAATAGAATTAATAAAAATATAGTGTCAAATCTTTCATATGGATTTTTTTGTAAAAAAAAAAGATGAAAACATTTGCAGATATTTTTACTGGTCTTCCTTTATAAATATGCATTTCTTTAAACATAATTTAAAAGCAGTGTAAGGGAAGTAACCAAAACGTATTTGGATTACCTCCCTTACACTGTTTTAGATTATCTTTATTGTTCATTAACCATTACTTTATACATAATTTAAAAGCAGTGTAAGGGAGATAATTTCAATGATGTATTTGATTTATCTCCCTTACACTGCTTTAAATTATGTTTTGTACTAAAGTATTTGTCCATTAACCAGGACAACCTTGTTTTTCCCCCTTTTTTGCCCCTAATTCCTAAACGGTTTGAGCCATAACCCCCCAAAGCAAATCCTAACCATCCCTTTGTGGTATGGAAACTTGTAGTATAATTTCAGAGAGATCCATACACCGTTCCACAGTTATTGTCTGGAAACTAGAAAATGCTCATTTTTGGCCCCTTTTTGGCCCCTAATTCCTTAACTGTTGGTACCATAACCCCCAAAATCAATCCCAACCTTCCTTTTGTGGTATTTAACCTTATGGTCAAATTTCAAAAAGATCCATTCACTTAAACTAAAGTTAGAGTGCGAAAACCAATATGTATTCGGACGACGACGACGACGACGACGACGCCAACGTCATACCAATATACGACCACAAAATTTTTTTGCGGTCGTATAAAAATACAAGTAAAGCTATAACAAAATTTTCATACATTTTTTCACTTCCTTGTGTAGCATATATCTATTAAAAAAAATGACATTTTGGTATATTGTCTGTAAACACATATCCAATTACAGACAATAATCATTCTAGATTCAAATGCAATGCTGTTTGTGATATAGATTCTGATTGGATAAAGTAGTTCTTTTGAAGGAAGGAAATGCAAGAATGTCGTTTGCAATTGCGATTTTTTTGTTTTGTTTATAAATAAAAATCATTAAAGACTGCAAAAATTTGAATTCAGGTTGGACACAATTTTGACAGTCACAAATATTTAGTTCCAACTTTGTAAATAAATAGTTGGATAACTTTTTTTGAGGGTAAAAATCAAAAACTTGTATCAAATTTTCAAATTTAATATATTATGTCTAAATGTTGGGCCAGGCGAATCAGATCCAAAAAGGTATAAATTTTCCTATGATTTAAATTTTGACATGCAAAATTTTTCTTCACTTGTTGGCAGTTCAAGCTTCAAATTCTCAAACAAGTCTCATTTTAAAAGTCGAACCAGTTTTGGTACATATTACTTGAATTCACTTATACTACATGATTTAAGTCAATGTCATGTAAATACAGATTTATTTTTATTAGTTGTCTATTATTCCATACAAATTAATATAATTAAATGAATGTTTGGTAGACATCATTAACATAGTAACCCAACAACACATAAGGCAAGCAGAGATCATTGTAATGAGCTCATAAAACAAAATGTTCATGGCAATAACTAATAGATGTACTAAGAGAGAAATTAACTTTTGTATTTCTTAATTTAATCAAATATAAAGAGTCCTGAAGTTATGAACCCTATGAAGGAGAAAGTATGATAGGCCTTTTTTTGGCCACTTGAATTCAAGAAATCAAAAAGTATTGTTAGTATATCAAAGAACATCCTTCAAATGTTCAAAAGACACTTGTCAGTTAGACATCATTTTTTCTTTTTTTGAACTTTGTCTTAAATATTTATATTAGGTCTTCACACTTCTTGTATTCAATGCAGAAATTGCCAAACTATTCCTTTGGTATCAACTGGCCCTCTCATGACATTTATATTTATGTATGAGCCAAAGCCTTACCCATACAAATATTTAGCTACTAGATGTCTTAAACAAAGACTTCAATATGTGTTAAATATATTTTTGTGTGAGGCCTAAGCTCATATCTAATTTGGCCCAAAACTGATCACTTTACGTCAAAAAATTTGACAGGTTTATGACATCATAGTGATATCACATGCGACTTTTCTGCATTTATTTATCAGTAAACCTATAAATTATGAAAATGCAAGAAGAACTTTACTAAATTTGCAATTTCAGGGCCCAGAAAATACCTTCTTCTTTAAAAGGAAGAGAAATTCTATGAACCACATAGTAGTTCCTTGATTTAAACACTGAAAAGCAAAGAAAATAAAATGGTTAAAAAATGAATTGATTTAGTTTTCCTTACTACAAGTTTTAAGATCTATAAATTCAAACATTAAAATTGGTTTTAATAAAAAGCTGCCTTCTGTTGAATAAGTGCGAAAAAAGAAGTGATAAGTTGTAGTCTGGTTTTGTTTACTTGTTTTAGCTATTTTGGTTACCATTACCTAAATTTGTTTGTCATATCTCTAAGAATCGTCAAAGATTTCTCGGATATGGTTTTAGCCAAGTCTAATTGGGAAACACAAATGTGGTATATATAATATCCAATAAACAAGTAATATTGTAAAAATACGTTTTCCAGATGCATCAATATAGTCAATATAAGCTTACTTATGATTAGAAGTCCTGCGTCACAAAGTATAAAAAGTACATATGAAAACCTTGTCCTGAAAGTAACAATTGCATAAATGATTCATTTAAAACATTCATACACCAACAAACACACATCTGACAGGCATAATTGGATAAATAATGGTGTGTGTGTATATATATATATATCAGTATACAATAATAATAAACAACAATAATTCATATAAATGGAACCTGTATAAATAGGAAGATAACAAAATTTTGCAGAACTATGACAATAGTTTGACACAATATAGTTTCTACCTTTGTTTTGGACTTCATCATAATCTCCTCCAAATATTGACACAATTTTTACTCTTAATGTCCAAATTTTCACCAAAGCATACAGATTAAACATTTTCAAGAATACTTGCAACTCAACATGCATTCTTCACTTTCACTTTTGTAAATAAAGTCAAGTAATATACTGAACACTAATGTATGGCAAATGGTATGACATAACTGTAAGATCTACTGAATATTAACAATCTAAAGAACAGCTTATCAATTTCAGTTCTTTATGTTAAATGTCTTAGGCCTTGACCATGCCATGATCTGCTTTTGATTATGGTATTCAGACTAAGGAAAAATAAATACTGTGGATTCATTTATTTTCGTGGAATGAGGCAAAATTTTATTTTCATGGATATTTGATTTCTTGGTTTTCCGAAGTTTGTAATTCGTTGAACATTAAAATTCATGGTTAACATATACCCACGAAATCCATGAAAAATAATGAATCCACAGTAATGAAAGTTATTAGCTGAATAAGAGACCGTACACTTATGTTGTTCACACATAATGAACCAACTGACCAAATGCTGTAAGTTTGATGTGCAGTTACCCAGAAGTAAAAGGTACAAACATTAATTTTATGTATAAATTAAGGATAATCAAAATAAGATAAGATTGACGAATATTTACAATATAAATGTGTACTAAATGTTAACAATATACCTATCATCTGTACAATATATTTCGAACTTTCCTGGAATAACAACTACAATGCATAAATAATCAACCACTATATATCTCGTTTTATACACGTCATAATTAACATGAACATTCACTCATTCATACACTGTGATTTAAATGTACGAAACATCCATCACATTCCTTTGTTAACAGTCCTTTTCAGTGTAAGATGACACTTGGGAACACAAACACTGATCTCACATGGATTAATTGTTAAAACACTGGTCTCACATGGATCAATGCTAAATCACTGATCTCACGTTGATCAATTGTTAAATCACTGATCTCATAAAGATTAATTGTTAAATCACTGATCTCACATGGATCAATTGTTAAATCACTGATCTCACATGGATCAATTGTTAAATTGCTGATCTCACACTGATTACTTGTTAAATCACTGATCTCATATAGATTAATTCATCACTGATCTCTCATGGATCAATTTTTAAATCACTGATCTCACATGGATCAATTGCTAAATCACTGATCTTACATTGATTAATTGTTTAATCATTGATTAATTCTTAAATCACTGATCTCACATAGATCAATTGCCAAATCACTTATCTCACATGGATTAGATAAATCTAACTGTAGTTAGAATTATTGTCAAAATAAACATCATGATACATATAGTGGCAAATTTTCTACAACAGCTCTAAGATGTATGTAAATGGAATATTTGGTTTTACTGTGGAAATAAGTATTGCAAATAGGATATGCTTTAATTTCAGACATAAACTCATTAAAGGGGGATTAGCTACGAGATATAAAAAAAATTAAAATATGATTTTTTTTTTGTTCAATCATTAATAAAAGGGAAATAGTGAAATAATAATTCGCTTTAAGCAGGCAATTTGGTTCAATTGTGTCAAAATAAGCTAAGAAATATCGCTGATGAATCATTCACTTGCAAGTGAATAATTCAACCTCATTGAATCTGCTGTATTCATGGGACCTTCAATTTAACCCCTTTACTGGTGATGGGTTACGCATGTATTCAGCTATTTTAGGAAAAGAATGTCAACATTGAAAGTGAAACAAGGATGAACCATTTGGTTGACTGATTCAATCCACAAAAAATCATTCTTATACAGGTAAAAATGATGATAAACTAACTTTTTAACCGACAATATGAAATCAAACAGACCTAGAGAAATCCAATTGCATGTGGACGCTATCTATTTATGTTTATGATCGGGTTATATGACTGTCTGCAGTCTTCGTAGGTCATCTCGATGGTTAATTAGATGACGTTTAGATAAAAATACACACGAAATGTTGATACATATTATCGAGTCCATGCATTGTTAATTGTTTATTTTAGACTTTTTGTAATTTGGATATACGTTTTAGTATGTAATAAATCAAATATTAGAATTTGAGTCAATTGGGTGAACATGAATTTGACAGCTAATGCCTCTTTAAAGAACTTATTTTATCTGTTTCCTTACAGATTTTAAAACTAGTACCATCATATTCATATCATACTTCAGATATTTAATTTGATTAACCTATGAAAAATGCATGGTAAATAGGGAACTTTAAAACAGGAGAACACCAACAGGATTAATGCAGACATGTTCCAACGGGGAATGGTTCTTTTTTCTTACACATATGTGTTTACTCATACATTATGCTATAACAAGTCCCTTTAAAAAAAAAGTATGGCATAAGTTGTTTACTAAGGTATGTTTATTTCATGAAAAGAAATAACCAAATAAATGCAACATTTTTTATGATTGAGAAAATAATGGTATATGTTTATTTTATGTGCAGTTGACAAAGATGTTGTTACCCTTAAAAAAATCAGTCTTCATCTACTTTGTAGAATCATAGCATGACAAAATAAAATTTGTAAATGAAATGAAATTAAATATACAAATGGAAAATAAAGTCAATTTACATATTACTATTGCAAAGTGTAATGAAAGTAAAACATCATTTAGAGAAATAATTTAAAGATTTATTTTCCTATCAAATATAGTACAGGTTTACATTCAACATTGCAGCCGCTATGTAGGTTTACTTAAATAATTCGGACTACTGAACTTAACACTTATTAGATCTAAATAAAAAAATTCATGCTATTTAGAGAAACCAAAATGGCCTCGGACTGATAGTATTATCAACACCAACTTTGTTAGCCTAGCTACATAGCATATTGTTCAGCATAGATTAATATCTAGGACATATCGGCTATACTTCGCTGCTACAATACTAAACACAACCCTGTATTCTCATTATATTGTATATCAATGATTCAGGTGTTTAGTGCCAACCAGTCAACTCATAATGTATACAATATATGGCAAGAATATCTACCACCAAGAATTTAATATACAAACTCAGCAAAAACTTCAAAAAGAGAGAGAAAATATCTCCAATATTAGTTGCCATGCAAAGTTGGTCCTTTCAAAATTAAAAAAAAATGTGATGATGAAATGTTGCAAGACTTAGTACATAATTTAAACCAAAAACTCAACATATTATTGAAACATATAAATAAATGCACACTGCAAATTAGAGCAAACAGGCAAGATGAATTCCCAAGGATGGTTCGTTAAAATTATGCTGAGTTCACCAACTAATGATTTATGATAAAATTGATAAATCTTGGGCGTGAATCTTGGGTTTATCTTAACTTGGTGAGAATGACCATGGGTAAGTTATTTTTCAAAACATTTTCATTATGGATTTGGGATCATCCAATTTGAGTTTGGGTATTGAACAATATTATTAAAATGGTTAATTTAAAAGGCATTGACTCAAATAATGAACATGATAACGAGTTATCCCAATCAATTTTATACCTCAGTTCTCTCGTTTTCCTAATAATTGGGTGCTTCTGTAAGAGTGATCAATGACTATATATGTGTGTATACCACCTTAGGTATTGAATAAGAACCTTAACATCTTTTGACATGATTCCAACTTCATGCAAACATATTAACAGGAAGATATTAGAAAGGAGGAGTATCTACTACACTCTGCATCATGTATTCCGTCATTCTAAATAGACGTACACTGAAAGAACAGAAGGCCACTAAAATGATTGCATCAGTAATAATGCAAGTTTTAGTGCATAAGTACGCTCTGTTGTACAAATAAGCCATAGGTTCCCCTGACTAAGATGTTATCAATTTTTTTTACAAGTTTCATGGGTTATTTCAAATTCAACTATCAAGAAAACAACATGTTTCATTTCTATATCTCATTCAGTAGGAGCTTAGTGCCCATTTCCAACTTGCCCATAAACATAAATATTAAACCTCTAACTGCTATTAACCGAAACAATTCTAAATGACAGTGTATCATGCAATAATTTTCTACAATTATCGTATCACAGATTGCATTTGATTGTACAATGTTATATGAGCATTTGTAATGAGTCATTTAAATGGTCGTTCATTCATCAGCCATAGCACTGGTAAAGCTAAATCCCATAAAGACTTTCTGGTTCATTGTTTTGATATAATCCTTGTCTGGTGGTGTTATGTTTGGTTTTTCCATTGTAAAGTCAGTGTCAAAGTTAGATATATCATGAGCAGATTTCTGAAATGAAAAAAAGAACAGAAATTATGAAATTAAATTACAAGAAATTGTGTTTTTAAAAACCTGATTTTTATATTCCCTTCTTCAACAGGAGATATTATTAGTTATCTACAGATATGAACGTAGATAATAAATTAATCCCCACTCAGTCCAAATTGGGCGATTTTAAAGGGGCCTTGGCTACGAGATATCTAAAATAAAAAGTAACTTATGATTTTTTTTTGTTCAATCATTAATGAAAAATAATTCGCTTTTAGCAGCCACTTTAGTTCAATTTTGTCAAAATAAACTAAAAAACATCGCTGATGAATTATTCACTTGCAAGTGAATAATTCAACCTCATTGAATACAAATTCATGTGACCTTCAATTTAACCTATTAGTTAGAGATTGGTTATGCATGCATTAGTCATGTTCAGCCATTAAAAGAAAAAGAATGTCAACATTGAAAGTGAAACAAATGTGAACCATTTCGTTGACTTGATTCGATCCACAAATGTCATTCTTATACAGGTAAAAACGATGATTAACTTATTTTTTTTAAACTATAACATGAAATCAAACAGACCTAGAAAAGACCAATTGCACGAGGTCACTATCTATTTATTTTTATGTTTATATTTATATCGGGTTATGTGACCGTCGGCAGTCTTCGGAGGTCATTTCAATGGTTAATTAGATGGCATCTAGACTAAAATACACATGAAATGTTAATATATATTATCGTGTCCATGCATTATTAATTGTTTATTTCAGATTTATTGTAATTTGGATATATGTTTTAGTATGTTATAAATAAATAAATGTGGATAATGTCCACATGTGGACACAGATGATGCCCCCGCTTGCATATCATATAGTTATAAAGGGACATAACTGAAGAACAGTAAAAGTGACGCTACCCAAATTTGAACTTGATCTGAGTTTTGTGGTAATAAGCATTGTGTGTAAGTCTCATAACATTTTGTTGAGGCTAACTTAAGTAGAGAACAGAAACTAAAAATTCAGCAATTATTCTATTTGTAAACACGCATAACTCTAGAATGGTTGTGTATAAGTTTTATAACATTTGGTTGAGACAAACTTAAAGTTAGAGAACGGAAACAAAAAATTCAGCAATTTCTATGTTTATAAAGGGACATAACTCAAGAATGGTAAAAGTGTTGCCACCAAATTTCGTACTTAATCTGTATTATGTAGTAATAAGCATTGTGTATAAGTTTCATAACATTTGGTTGAGGCAAACTAAAGTTGGAAAACGGAAACAAAAAATTTGCACTTGATCTTAGTTTTGTGGTAATGAATATTGTGTATAGGTTTCATAATGTTTGGTTGGGGCAAACTTAAGTTACAGAATGGAAACTAAAAATTTTGCACTCTTTCAATTTATAAAGGGGCATAACTCAATAATGATTAAAGTGACACTACCCAAATTCAACTTGATCTGTGTTTTATCAGTGGAAGTCAAAATTAAACATTGCATCGTATAAAGCATTGATTGTAGTTGATTCAACTATAATCATGGACAAAGGAAGATAACTCCAATTTTAAAAATTACTTGATATTTAGAAGAAAATAAAAATTTTGCAATTTTTCAATTTCTAAAGGGGCATAACTCTAGAATGGTTAAAGAGACGCCACCAAAATTACAGAATGGAAACTAAAAATTTTGCACTCTTTCAATTTATAAAGGGGCATACCTCAATAATGATTAAAGTGACACTACCCAAATTCAACTTGATCTGTGTTTTATCAGTGGAAGTCAAATTAAACATTGCATTGTATAAAGCATTGATTGTAGATGATTCAACTATAATCATGGACAAAGGAAGATAACTCCAATTTTAAAAATTACTTGATATGTAGAAGAAAATAAAAATTTTGCAATTTTTCCATTTCTAAAGGGGCATAACTCTAGAATGGTTAAAGAGAAGCCACCATGGCGGGGGCATTAATATGAGATTTTGAGTCAAATCGGTGAACATGAATTTGATAGCTAATGCCCCTTTAAGAGATATTCAAAGACACAGTGTGGCACAGTTTTTTTTACAAGAAAATGTTTGATTGAAAAAGAAAATAAAACATGACAAATTTTAATTGGGACATTGTCAGGGAAGAAAATAGTGTGCATTTCCCTGTGATAATGGCTGACAATGTCAAGAGTATATGGATTAGCAACGCCAGGGGATATGAGTTTTTTTAAACACATGTCATTAACCAATCGAAATCCAAGAAATTTCCTAAGCAGTAGATAATATGGTATCCAGGTTTTTCTCTGCATGTTCACTCCAAATGCAATACTTCAATTTTCATGATATTTTTCTCATTACTTTTACCATAATTTTTTCTTTTTTGGGAGAAATCAGTAAGTTAACTTTTTCATATTGACAAATACCCATTGCTTTATATCTGAATTGTAATCAGTTTAAAATTTCTTTATAATACAGGTTGTGTCAAATATATATACAAAACAGTTTTGATTAACTCCCTTTACCAAATAAAAATGACATTTTGACAATTTGAACTTTTACTCTTTTTTTTTGTGTGACGAAGATTAAGTTTTCAACAAAATATTATTTGATAAGGAACATTTATATGTTTATGCATTTTCTCACGCCACCTAAAATCCCATGAAGTTGTCTATCTAGAAGTATACTTGTTGCCTATTTCCTGATTCAGTATTTTCAGTTTCAATTTCCATTTGAAATAATTTTTTTCTTTTAATATAATTATTTTTACCACTTAAAATCATAATTTTTAAGAAAACAATTCTATGAAATATTTCCTGGTATTACTAGGTTCATCTGCACTTTGAACGATAATTTGAACTTGGTCGGACTGATTTTTAATTATCAATTTAAAAATTATCAATCTCTACATGCATTATTACTTACAATTGTAGGTTTAAATGGTGGGTCAACCATTCGTCTTTCCATTTTCTCCCAATCAATGTTCCTGAAAAATGCCTGCATTCTAATTGGTCCTGCTACACAATCAGGCATACCCATACGAACTTTTGGAGTTCTTTCAAATAGCTGAAATTAAAAAGAAATAAGCTCATAATTTCTGCCATTAAGTATTAGCAATAATTTTCATTTTATGCAAATATGGTGATATCATTAATCTCAATATTTTTTTAATTATCTTTTGAGTAATGTTTCCCTGAAGTAGGTAAAGTAAACGTATAATATTATTGCTTCTATGGCCAATTGCTATCTACTGATAACATCAAGGATTTTTATAGTAGAAGGAATGATTGGAATCTCACAGTGTTTTGCTATATCTTGTGTATAATCGTATGTTTATGCAATTTGGCCTAGCCCATTTGACAAATTTTTATGTAACTTATCAATATTTCAGTATTTAGAAATGACAGAACATCCAATTTTTGTTAAGTACACCACCTTAACTATTATTTTGATAATCAAAGTGCTTGTGAGCAGTGGAGGGTAAAATTGCTTTCATTTTGCAATGTGAATTCATTGAATTGTATCTTAAATGGAACACATTTAGGCAAATTATATATTTTGAATGGGAGTTATCTTCGTTTGTTCACCAGACTTTAAATTTCTAGTTCACAAGTTAAGCAGTCATTCTACCATGCATATTTTAGTAGTCTTTGTTTGGACCCACTCATGGATCAAACTTACAACCTCCAATGCATGAGGGGAACAGGCAAACAAGGCCACCTATGTGGTATGTCAAATATTTAACATGCAGTGTTGAAAATGTTGTATCTCATGATGCAGTGGTAAAATGGACATGTACATAAACATACCAAACTAAGTAATGAAGAAGCCTCTTTGGCAAGCCATCTTGGATAATGTGGTGTATCGTTCATGATGGAATGGAACAAGTCTTCCTCATCATCACCATGGAAAGGTGACTGTCCTATCAACATCTCATATAATAATACACCAAAAGACCACCAATCCACTGAAGAGTTATACTTCTGGCCTTTTAATATCTGCAAAATAAAGAATATTAATATCAAAAACTTAATTAATTTCAGCCTTTATTTTTGATATGAAGATAGTATTTCAATAAAATATATATCTCCTGAAACTAATCATTTACTTTTATTATTCCATGAATCTGAGACTTTTCTGTAAGAAAACAAAAATTGTAGACTAATATGTATCAAGTTTTAATTTCACATTCTATTTATACATTATAGGCCAAGGGCATTATAGCCTCAATCCTTTAACATCATACAATTCTTTTGTAAATTTGAGTTAACAATTTATTCCTGACCAACTTAATTTTGTTAATGTTGAAACTCATATAGTTATCATCATACAGGTTACTACATTAACAGGTAACACAACCAAATATTAACATCTAATTCCTTTTTGATTTTATGTTTGTTTAGTTTTATAATGCTTCTTAATGTATAGTCTTACAATTTCATGACTCAATTTTTTCTATAAATCACTAATATAAGATTGAATGATTGTTGTTACCTTAGTTTTCAGTGGCAAATATTTCATGCATATCAGGACGAGTACACCACAAATATGAGTGGTAATTGAATTGACAACTACCGGTATAACATGCAGATGACCTATGCAAAGCAGGTATTTTAAATATCTTGTACTTCATTTGAAAATTCAAGACATATGGTCAACTGTAACGATTATCATTATATAAGCAACAATAGTTTCAAGACCAGTATTAAAACTTACTTCATACGCTATATAATCAGGTGTCCCACAAAAAGTTGTTGCTTTATTTTCACCAAATACTCTCTCTTTACACATGCCGAAATCTGCAATCTTGATATGTCCTTCTTTATCTAATAACACATTGTCTAATTTTAAATCTCTGAAAATATAAAAAAAAAAAACATTCAACAACAAAACAAAAAAATAGGAGAAAGCAAATATAAATGAAATTATTTCAAAATCAAAAGAATTAATTATAAAATATAAGAATCCTCCTGGTCTCATTTTTTATCTTTTTTTAACAAGACCATCAAAAAGTAAAACAAGAATGGTGGAACAAACAAACATATGAAAAGACTAACAAATCATTGAAGTTCTCATATTTTTCTAGGTTCTTGGGACATGACTCCAAATCATGCACTACTACAAAACAGTAACTTGGATCTGTACCTTCTAATAATTTAATTTTGGATGTAACACGTCTTCTGATTGGCTGACGTTGTTTTGTTTATCAGCTCATAGACATAATTTTGTCATGTGACTGTGACGTCATCAACGTTTTTTCATGGTTTAGTCCGGTTTAAAATGGAATTTAGAATTAAATCATAAGAAATGACTGTAATATTTTTTCTGTCTATTTGAAATAACATAAAAAATGTGGTGCACACTTTAAAGTAACCCGCTACGCGGGTTATTCAGTGTGCACCACATTTTTGATGTTATTTCTTCATAGACAGAAAAAATATTACAGTCATTCCTTAAATAATATAACAATAAAAAAAAAATAGGTTTATTTTGTGATATATTTGGAAAAATTATGCAAAAACCTTGGAATCCACTTTCATTGGACATAACACATGTCAATTTCATCACTTACCTATAAATTATACCATTGGAATGCAAAAATTCTAATCCTAAACATATTTCAGCTGCATAAAATCTGAAAATATAGGAAATATTTGTTTTTCATTTTTGTGTGTCTCCATTTTGTAAAATTCAGTCTTAAAACCTGAATCATCACCTTGAATCTATAGACATTACTGTCTGTCATATTTGTTATTCATTAATATTTTTTTCTCATAAATCAAGCTGATTTTCTCATTTGAATTGTTTTTCCGTAATGGATTTGCTCTTAGTTGCAGGCCGTATGGTGACCTATAGTTGCTTACGTCCACTTCATTTGGACTCATTTGGTAGATATTTGTCTCATTGCCAATCATACCACATCTCCTTTATTTTTATATTCCATTTATAGAATGTTCTATAACAGTTAACCAAGGATTAACCAGGCTATGTTTAAGCCAATTTGTCCCTGTGGTGTCAAATTAGTAGATTTGTCATAATATCTATCTGTAGTCCATTAGTTCTGACAAACATTTATTATGAGCAAAAAGACATAATTTTTCCATAATCAATTCAATCAGTCAGTATTTTTTTAAAGTATTAATTTAGAATATCTCAAACCAGGGTAAAATAACACCTATAACATTTTTTTTCTTTGTTAGAAAGGAATTCAAAGGATAATAAAAAGCAGGGAAATACATTAGTTTCTCATTGATATGATTCCAATTTCTAATTAGGTGACGTCAATTTCTAGCTTCTAATTTCATACAACAAAAGACAAAGGCTTGGCATGTAAGGAATGATGATAATATTTACTTTGTAATCTGAATATAATGAAAATATAAAAGAGAAAATAAAATGCTGCAAGGTAAGCAAAGAATATAAAAGTGGACATGCTGAAATATCTTTAACATTTTTTTTTTTTGATATTTCTATCCCTTGGGCAGACACACCCAACATTTTTGTTTCAAAAGATAAAGACAAGTGAATTTTTGTAAAAATATTTGGAATATCTTCTTTACATAAGTATACTATAAATTTGTGTAACAATTCTTTGGAAATAATCCTTTAGATAAATGCTGACTTTTTAGCATTTTTGCTGTATATTTATGAAGATTTAAAAAAAATTTATCTGTGATTTTTTTTTAAATTAGTACAAATAATCTTCCTGAATAATTAAGCCAAGTGTCGTTTTATAAAAAAGGGATCTATGTATTCGTTTTCAAGCTAATGATAAAAGTCAGTGGAAAAATACATCTTTTCCAAATTAGTCACATGCAAAAAAAGAACATTTCACGTTACCAACGTTATTATCTCCCCTGTAACTGTATTGTATGTCCTTAATTGACTATCAAACCAGAATAAAAAAAATAATTAGACATTCCGCTGACAAACATGTGATGATTGAAATTTCTCATTAACAATATATGTCAAAATTTAAAGGGAACACACCAAGGAATTCCAAAAATAGATAAATCAATAATTCCATAAGAGATTTCTATGATTAACAATTTTACAGCTCATAATATATGATAAATATTCAGAGTGGACTCCATTAACTATATTGATTTCACTTCATTTTAATTTTAAAAGATTTAAGACTTGTACAGCCTTGTGATATACATATAAATGATTATTGAAAATTATATGCTTTTATAACCAAAGAGTTTTATTTGGACCAAACTGTCTTGCAAATGGTTAGTTCAATTTGAATTTGAGTGAAATAAGCTGTAATTCTTAAAAATAAAATAAAAATAGATTAGTTTTCAAAAATTGTGAATGGAATAAGATAATTTAAATATTGTTTTTTCAAATTCTTTAACTTTTTCATTTTTTTTTACCGGTATTTACAATTTTTGTGAACTATTTGATAATGTCCAACCCATATTTGCCTCGCAGTTCTGACCATTTGACTGATTTATCAGAATCATTAGCTATGGGATGAAAAACTTCATTTTTTTAAATCTGAATACCTGTATAACAAGACTATGTGTCCATTACACACCATCAGCCACTCCCACTATCACATTTCTATGTTCAGTGGACTGTGAAATCTGAGTCTAAACCTTAATTTGTCATATTCATAATAAGTTCATACCATGAGGAATATGTGTATTAAGTTTCAAATTGATGTGACCAGATATCATGGTTAACTACCTTCAACTAAAACTTTAACTTAAAACAGGCTGGATGAACAAACAGGAGCAATGATCAGATGACAAAGTGCCCCCTACTTTCGTAGATTAGGAATTTAAAAAATTCTAGAAAGTTCTTTTTGTTCAAATCACACTTGCCATTTTGATTGGCAGACTTACTTCATCTGACCTGAGTTAGACCATTTTGATCAACTCACAACCAACAGTCTCAATCTGTGAAACTGATTAATATATTATTGGTGATCCACCGTGAGGTGAACAACTTAACTTAATTCTGAAATAAGAGGACCAAAGGATACATTTGACACAATCTATTTTTAATTGGACAACTGCCTTTTGAAAAGAATTTACAAAGAGATGGCAACACCATGAGCTTAAAAATATATAGAAGAAATTTTGATAGCTTGAAATATCTGTTCATGAATCAGACCTACAATACTTACTGTGCTCTAGGGAATTCAAATTTCCCTGACAGCTGTATATGGAACATTAAATCTCCACCATTTAAATACTCCATTACAAAAAATAAATGACCCTGTAAGAAAAAAATAATTTACTTCTTTACAAGTCATTCATGAAATGTTTCATGTGCAATTTTTGTAACTAGCACTATAATCCACCAAGTGGGACTTATACCTTTAAGTCTTCATCTTTAGTAAAGCAGAAGTAAACTATGATGTTCCTCTGAAACCATTTTAGAAATTTATTGTCTTTAAGCCTTCAGATGTAACCTTGGGTCATAGGTGATCACATTTTGTAAATCATGGGTCATAGTTGTATGCAAAATTACCAAGCAAATATGTCTAATAAAATGCTTCGCTGGGGCGCAGCTTGATATGACCGCAGAGGTCGAACCCTGAACAGTTGGGGCAAGTATGGACACAACATTCAAGCTTGATACAGCTCTGAATTTGGATTGTTATTAAATATTTGACACAGCATAGGTTTCTGACACAGAAAGAATGTGGTCTAAGAACTTGAATTTTTTTAATTTACCTATTATGGTCCAATGTCCAAAATCAAAATACATGGTTAGATTCAGCATATCAAAGAACCCCATATATTCAATTTTTGTTAAAATCAAACAAAGTTTAATTTTGGACCCCAACTTGGACAAACTTGAAAACTGGGCCCATAATCAAAAATCTAAACACATGTTTAGATTCAGCATATCAAAGAACCCCAAGAATTCAATTTTTGCTAAAATCAAACTAAGTTTAATTTTGGACCCTTTGGACCTTAATGTAGACCAATTTAAAAAAACGGGACTTAAAATTAAAAATCTAAATACACGGTTAGATTTGGAATATCAAAGAACCCCAATAATTCAATTTTTGATGAAATCAAACAAAGTTTAATTTTGGACCCTTTTGACCTCAATATGAACCAATTTGATAGCGGGGCCCACAAATAAAAAATCTAAATTCATGGTTAGATTCAGCATATCAAAGAACCCCATATATTCGATTTTTGTTGAAATCAAAAAAAGTATAATTTTGGACCCCAACTTGGACCAACTTGAAAACTGGGCCCATAATCAAAAATCTGAACACATGTTTAGATTCAGCATATCAAAGAACCCCAAGAATTCAATTTTTGTTAAAATCAAACTAAGTTTAATTTTGGACCCTTTGGACCTCAATGAAGACCAATTTAAAAAACGGGACCCAAATTAAAAATCTAAAAACACGGTTAGATCTGGCATATCAAAGAACCCCAATAATTCAATTTTCGATGAAATCAAACAAAGTTTAATTTTGGACCCTTTTGACCTCAATATGAACCAATTTGATAGTGGGGCCTACAAATAAAAAATCTAAATACATGGTTAGATTCAGCATATCAAAGAACCTCATATATTCAATTTTTGTTGAAATCAAACAAATTTTAATTTTGGACCCCAATTTGGACCAACTTGAAAACTGGGCCCATAATCAAAAATCTAAATACATGTTTAGATTCAGCATATCAAAGAACCCCATATATTCAATTTTTGTTGAAATCAAACAAAGTTTAAATACTGGACCCTATCTTGGACCAACTTGAAAACTGGGCCCATAATCAAAAATCTAAACACATGTTTAGATTCAGCAAATCAAAGAACCCCAAGAATTCAATTTTTGTTAAAATCAAACTAAGTTTAATTTGGACCCTTTGGACCTCAATGTAGACCAATTTAAAAAACAGGACCCAAAATTAAAAACCTAAATACACGGTTAGATTTGGAATATCAAAGAACCCCAATAATTCAATTTTAGATGAAATCAAACAAAGTTTAATTTTGGACCCTTTTGACCTCAATATGAACCAATTAGATAACGGGGTCCACAAATAAAAAATCTAAATACATGGTTAGATTCAGCATATCAAAGAACCCCATATATTCAATTTTTGTTGAAATCAAACAAAGTTTAATTTTGGACCCCAATTTGGACCAACTTGAAAACTGGGCCAAAAATCAAAAATCTAAATACATGTTTAGATTCAGCATATCAAAGAACCTCATATATTCAATTTTTGCTAAAATCAAACAAAGTTTAATTTTGGACCCTTTGGACATTAATGTAGACCAATTTGAAAACTGGACCCAAAATTAAAAATCTAAATACACTGTTAGATTCGGCATAACAAATAAATAAATGTGATCAAAGATTTTACAAATCTAATGCGCCATACTGTGCAATTAAAGATTACTTCTTGAAATTTTTCAATATTTGAAATTTGAAAAAAAAATAATATTTGAAGAATAATTCTTTTTAATTTCTGAAATCTGAAATGAGAAAAAATTGGCCCCCCACAATTTCTTTTTATCCCCCCCCCCCCCCCCCCCTTTTTCCCCAAAAAAAATTCTTTCCCTCAAGATATGGTCATAATCTCAATTCAAATTTCCAATGGAGTTGGCAACCATAATTACCCATTTAAATTAACCATAGTGCTAACTTAATCTATTTTATAATAGAATTAATAAAAATATAGTGTCAAATCTTTCATATGGATTTTTTTGTAAAAAAAAAAGATGAAAACATTTGCAGATATTTTTACTGGTCTTCCTTTATAAATATGCATTTCTTTAAACATAATTTAAAAGCAGTGTAAGGGAAGTAACCAAAACGTTGTATTTGGATTACCTCCCTTACACTGTTTTAGATTATCTTTATTGTTCATTAACCATTACTTTATACATAATTTAAAAGCAGTGTAAGGGAGATAATTTCAATGATGTATTTGATTTATCTCCCTTACACTGCTTTAAATTATGTTTTGTACTAAAGTATTTGTCCATTAACCAGGACAACCTTGTTTTTCCCCCTTTTTTGCCCCTAATTCCTAAACGGTTTGAGCCATAACCCCCCAAAGCAAATCCTAACCATCCATTTGTGGTATGGAAACTTTTAGTATAATTTCAGAGAGATCCATACACCGTTCCACAGTTATTGTCTGGAAACTAGAAAATGCTCATTTTTGGCCCCTTTTTGGCCCCTAATTCCTTAACTGTTGGTACCATAACCCCCAAAATCAATCCCAACCTTCCTTTTGTGGTATTTAACCTTATGGTCAAATTTCAAAAAAGATCCATTCACTTAAACTAAAGTTAGAGTGCGAAAACCAATATGTATTCGGACGACGACACCGGACGACGACGACGACGACGACGCCAACGTCATACCAATATACGACCACAAAATTTTTTTGCGGTCGTATAAAAAGTCAGAACAAAGATATTGCCAAGACAATTGTTTTGTGTAGTTATTGGCTGTGACTTTGACTTTCCAGTTATACCTTGGTGGTCATAAAAAATGCTTTGGAATGACAAAATGTGTATTCATAGATTCATAAGCAATAACTTCTAATTCAGAAAAAAATAATTTTCAATTGAAATTGCAGAACAAATCAACATATGTCAATCATAAACTATACAATTACCAAAAATTGTATTAAAAAAAATTGGCTTGATGAAGATAAAGAAAAAAACATAATTTGCCAATACAGAAGAGTAAATACATTATTTTTCTTCTCTGATAAGAAAAAGCTTTTCCACCACTTGTAATATATTCAAACAGTTAGTGCATGTAACAATAAACTGCAATAAAAAGAAAAATGCTGTGCAAAGGCATTTATCAAAGGATAGACCATATGATATTACAATCAGAATTATTCCAGGTTCAAAAATGTATTCTAGATGACGCAAGTCACCAGCATAAAGAGTCTTGAAATAAGATTAGCACAGATGTTTTATTATGTAACATTTAAAAAAAGGAAAATTAATATTTTGTCTTACAGCTAATGACGCTTGAAAATATGAATCCTTCTGTTTAATAAGGTAAACTCTAAAACGCAATGAAAATTGGGTTTAAAGTGCAAAATATCTGTTTACAATATTTCCCCTACTATTAGATCCTATCCTAATTGACTCATTGAAAAAGAAATTGTTGAAACATGTCTATGAATAAAAATTGCATTTTACTTAAGTGTAGTTGTAAACTTAGCTGCTCAAATATACGATCTAAACAATAATTTTGCATATAACCAAATAGAAGACCAAAAGTCTATGTTGCTGGCTGACAATGAAATAGAAAATTGTTTTGGTGATAAATTTATTGCCAGAGATTTACAAATCATTAGCTTCTAGTAAGGTGTAACTTTACCTCTAATACCATTTCCAAACTTGCAAAACCTTGTTACTGTGATTGAATTAATAAACCCAGGTAATAATGTCCAAGAGGCTTATTTTATTGAAAATAGCTCTTTTTTTGCCAGTTTCTATGAACACAAGTGATACAAAATAAATAAAATGTCCACCAACTTTTCATCTGAATTTGGACTTGTTAAAATCCTGTGCAAATTAAATTCTGATTCAAACTGGTATAAACTGCAATTCTCATTTGCTGTAGAAAGGTAAGGCAAGTTTTTAATCCTAACTTCTCATGTAAAATACACTTTCCTTGACATAGCAATTCTGAGATTACGAAAGATTTGGACACCAGACCTATCAAAATTAATTAAATTTTTTTTGTAATAAATATTATATTTCTAAGTACAAGTTATTTCTTGTAGTTTTTTTAAGATTAGACCTTGATTTTATAACTGATTTCTGGATTGCCTTTAATTCAAGTTATTACAAATAAGCATTTTTCAAATGCCATAGCAACATTAAAAGATCAAAACCATAACATTAATTGTCAGGGGATGTAAAACTTTTTTTTTTTTTTTAATAATAAAACAAGAAAATACAAGCAAGTAATAAAATGCCATAAACATAGAAATATTTCTGTTTCATTTGACATTAGCTACTAATTATACTAAGATTTAATACATAATTTTCTTTTTCATCAGAACGCAAAATTTAAACTTACTGAGTATTTCTGGTAACATCTCTGATATATGGCCATGAAACAGAACAAAGACATAAAGAGATGTAGATCAACTAAACATGAAAGCTGAAAAAAAACTTTAAAAAGAGTACCGTTCTTTTTATCTTATACCATATTAATTACCTGGGTATGAAATGTACTGTGTAAATGTGTCAGATAGGGATGGCTGCAACCCAATGCTAAAACACGTTTTTCTATCATTGTACATTCCACATCGTCATCCTCTAATACTACATCCTTTTTAAGTACCTTAACAGCATAATACTGTTTCTTTCCCTTATGTTCAGCTAACATGACCTGAAAATAAATTCATTTTTGTTGTGAACAAAACTAGAAACAAGGTAAAGACCACTGAACAGTGAAGATTTGATGGTCACATTTAAGAAACTTAATTCTATGCCATCTAAGAGGGGCAGAAGACCTTTTTTGGGACGTCAGGATTTGGCCTTTATTTTGTGAGTAGGATCAGGATTTTCACTTATTGGGACTCAGGAAAGAATGCTTTATTTTTCTGGGAATGATCCCCCACCTACCCCATCATCTAAGTTTTCTCCAGTTTACTTTGTCTTACTACAGAGAGACTTGAAGGGGAGTGTTGAAAGGCATGATCTATACATTGTGTATGCATGATAAAGAATCAAATTACTTACTACAGCACATACACATAATAGTTATTCATTAGTTTGCAAGGTGGTTGGGGTGTAGGAAAACTTCAACTCCCTTTCATCATTTCTTTGGAATAACCCTTCTATCAGGAGGATGCTATGTAAACTATATATTATGTGTCTAATTTTATTGCATCATATTGCCCTCTCAATATTTAAGTATACACTCAAAAACAGGTGCCTTCTCAGATGTGAGCTCTTATGATAATCAGGTAATTCATACTGTATTAACTGTTTTTAAAAACACTGGCATGAATGGTGAAGATACAAATGATCCTCCATCACACTAGGGTATATTGAGACTTGAAGCATGCACTTAAAACACAAAAATCACAAAAGGAGTTCACAACCTTTAAGCCACTATAAGGTTTCTGGTCTGCTTTATAGTTTTTTAAATTGTATATAGATCACTCAGTCAATATTGTTGGTAGCTAGAGAGCCTATAACATTATAATGTGGATCCTGGATATACAGCTTGCATTTATCTACGATTTCATTTCAACTATTAATCTCCTCTACAAAGCTTCATTTTGATCAGAGCACAGACAAAATTAAAAAAAAATTATATTATTTTTGAATATTATAAATTTTAATCAACTTAATTTTAATCAAATTAACAGTGAAGATAAGCAACAGTAGCAAGTAATGACAACCCTTTAATTTGTCTTTTAGCCATAAGTTCAAAGATACAGCATCTTGTCTTGTTGGTGATCACCTAATTATCAATTATAAAGTAAACGAAGGTTAACATTAATAACAGGCTGTAAATATATACCTTTCCAAAGCTTCCTTTACCCAAAACTTTAAGGAATGTAAAATCAGATGTAGTGAATTTCTTTCTGGGTGGACCAGGAGGTCCACCACCTGGAGGTTGTAAAGGGGCACCATCTTTTCCCCAAATCTGGTCGTAACCTAAATATTCGTCATCAGAACTTTCATCTTCCTTTCCATCAGAATTTAACTGAAAAAAAATAGAAATACATCACAACTAACATACAAAATTTCTTGCAAAATCTTTTTCAACTTTTTTTTCTTCAACTGACTTTCTGTTATCATAAATTTTGACAAATTGTTGAAAACAGCAGTATCAATTTTTCAGTAAAGTGTAATTTATATATTTTGGTTTGCTTTAGAATATACAAAGCTATTGGTAACTTTTGGATTCATTAATATAAGTAGATATTTTTAATAATGATTTAAAAGGTATAAGCATAAAGTATGCTCATGTTAGGCTTTGGTTCACAGTTCTTGAGAAAAATGTGACATAAATTTCATACATGGCTATTATGTGCAAAAATATATCAGTATTTGTTAAACAGGTAGTTGATAAGTAATGGATGTGAAAAAAAAAATCATACTATAAAACATTCGAACATGATGATACCAAATTTCAGGATGCTCTGAATTGAAGTACATGAGGAAAATGCCATGACAATTTCATACACAGCCTTTATTTTAAGAATATAAGTATTTGCTGGAAGTTGATATGCAATGGATGTGTAAAAGTATCACAATTATAGCATGCTCAAACTTTCCTGCCTTTTAATATCAATGATGCTCTGTGGGTATTTTATTTTTTTTTTTTTTGGGGGGGGGGGGGGGGGGGGGGTTGCTAATTACATAAATCAGGAACAAGGAAGAATTCAACTGTACAAAAACCTAACATGACTGTATCAACTTAAGGCACATATAAAGGATATATATAAGATTTCCAATAACATGTTAACTACATTGTATTCTATTTGCTGCTGAGATTCAAATTGCAATATTATCTATAATAAATGATGTTTTTCAATCAAAAATTTACAAGGATATTTCATAATACAATATTTACCATACATCAAAAACTATTTTAAATAAATGTGGATTGTGTCCACATGTGGACACATATGATGCCCCCGCTTGCATATCATATAGTTATAAAGGGACATAACTGAAGAACGGTAAAAGTGACACTACCCAAATTTGAACTTGATCTGAGTTTTGTGGTAATAAGCATTGTGTGTAAGTCTCATAACATTTGGTTGAGGCTAACTTAAGTAGAGAACAGAAACTAAAAATTCAGCAATTTTTCTATTTGTAAACATGCATAACTCTAAAACGGTTGTGTATATGTTTTTTGTAAACATGCATAACTCTAAAACGGTTGTGTATATGTTTTATAACATTTGGTTGAGACAAACTAAAGTTAGAGAACAGAAACAAAAAATTCAGCAATTTTTATGTTTATAAAGGGACATAACTCAAGAATGGTAAAAGTGACGCCACCAAATTTCGTACTTAATCTGTATTATGTAGTAATAAGCATCGTGTATAAGTTTCATAACATTTGGTTGAGGCAAACTAAACTTAGAGAACGGAAACAAAAAAATTGTACTTGATCTTAGTTTTGTGGTAATGAATATTGTGTATAGGTTTCATAGTGTTTGGTTGGGGGCAAACTTAAGTTACAGAATGGAAACTAAAAATTTTGCAATCTTTCGATTTATAAAGGGGCATAACTCAATAATGGTTAAAGTGATACTACCCAAATTCAACTTGATCTGTGTTTTATCAGTGGAAGGCAAAATTAAACATTGCATTGTATAAAGCATTGATTGTAGTTGATTTAACTATAATCATGGACAAAGGAAGATAACTCCAAATTTAAAAATTACTTGAATAATGACATCGATATTTTTAGAAATTACATTTAGTTTTAAGACAAACTCAAGTTAGAGAATGGAAACGAAAATTTCAGCAATTTTTTTCATTTGTAAAGGGGCATAACCCTAGAACGGTAATCAAACAGCTTGTAAGCACTGAATGGTAAAGATTGCTTTAATTTATCAGTAGGAATTAAATTGAATATTGCATTGTATAAAGCATTGGTTGTAGTTGATTCAACTACCATTATGCACAAAGAAAGATAACTCCAATTTTCAAAGAAGACTTTGAAATATTTTTAGGAATGAAGGGTAAAAATTGCTTTAATTTATCAGTGGAAGGCAAAATTAAACATTGCATTGTATAAAGCATTGATTGTAGTTGTAGTTTGATGCTACACAATGCGTATGTACAGACAGACAAGGGTAAAACTTAATACCCCCTCCGCTACGGCGGGGGCATAAATATCCAACCTTTGTGCTTGGTTTGTGAGATACAGTGTCTGAAAAGTTAGTATGATTGGTGAGAAGAGGATTCCTCTTGATTTTTCATCAGAAATGGTTGGGAAGAAATTTATGTTAAAATGTAGAACAAAAAACAAGAATACAAAAATATTTGATCAGAAGTGTATATGTATGGTTTAAATACAAAATACTGACAGATATAAATACTTGGTAAAACATGCAATGCATTGCATCAGAAAAAGCAAGAGGATTATAAATTATACAAGAAGATTGGAATATACAAATGGCAAACATTGTTAATACACATCTAGCATTTTAAGAGTGCAAACAATATTTTGTACCAAAATAACCATGTGTAAGTCATGGGAAATATGAATTTTCTAACTCTTGATATTCTCTGATAAAACCAATTCACTATATTTTACTTGAATATGCATGAAATATTTTTGACGATGAACTCTGACTTAACTGTTTCAAACAAGGTTAATGAAGCACAATATGCATTCTCAGAGACTTTTCTTTATAAAATACTTCAGAAGATTTTTCGTTTAAGGTCAGATGGACACACCATATCCTGTCCTGACAGATAATTAATACAGTGCTAAACATAATTCCCCCTGACTTTTTCACAAAAAAGCATTTTATATAAAAATCTTGATAATCAGTTAACTCAAGACAAAGAAAGAAAAAAGTTTAAGATGTTATCAATGGTTATACTTTAATGCTTTAAAAATGTCCTATAATTCTGAACAATCAAGACAACGATTAGTGAAAATACTGTTAACACTAAAGAACCATAATTAACTAATTCTCTTATTTCTCAAAGGAGAATGGCTTGTGCTTTGACAAGTGTCAGGTGCTCAAGAAGGACGCAAGCAATTACTTTTCCACTTGTGGCAACCATTACAAGATCCACTGACAAAACTAGTCTGTGATGAGTTATGAACAAAGTTTTACAAGACATTAAATTCATCCACTTATAGCTATAGTGGTAATTTGAATATCTTATTTTTTCTTCAGGTACTCAAGTGTAAGGAAGAGGAATTCAGATGTAACAAAATAAAAGCATTGTATCTAATATAATATCATTATGAATGAATTTCTCAAATTAATTTAATGTTACGGTTCCACTTGTTCTTATCCTTGACCTCTGTTTCAATCTTTGTTCAAATAGTATGGAAAGATTTCTTAATTCTTGACCACAACATTGTCTAAAATAAAACCCCAATTTGGCATAGTTTTTTTTTGTATCCAATTTCAATTCTTGAGTTTAAAAAGCTATCATATTGTGGTTCAAATTTTGGCTGATTTCCTATCCTTTTATAAAATAAAACTAAACAATAAAAATAAAATTTCTGCAAACACTAAATAAGGACATGGTGATCAACATTTAAACTTTAATTGTTTATCCTATGAACAAGATGGAACCTATCATATGAACAAGATGGAACCTATCCTATGAACAAGATGGAACCTATCATATGAACAAAACTTGAGACTATCCTTATAAGGATCAGGACTTGCCACTATCCAAAGAACTAGATTTGAGACTATCCTAGGAACAAGAATTGAGACTATCCTATGAACAAGAATTGAGACTATCCTATGAACAAGAATTCTGACTATCCTATGAACTAAAATTAAGACTATCCTATGGACAAGAATTGAGACAGGTGCTTTTGTCATTACTAAATGGAACAAAATTTAGGCCATCTGTGTTTGTCTCTCAAACCTTTAAAATTGTATTTTAGCAAGTAACCATTTCTAGACTTTTTCGTATACATTTTAGTAAATCTAGATTGTTCTTATTCACATTATGTATTTTTTATTTTAAAGAAAAATATTCGTTACTTATTTATATGGAATTTTTCCCCATACAAATTGTTGAATCTTCAAGCACAAGAAGCAACTGTCATTGTTAATGATGCCAAAAGAAATGAAAATGTTTAAAATGAGCAAAGATTTGAGAAACACAAAATTTGAAAGGGCCTAAAGCTGTTGAAGGTTCACTACAAGAACAAAAGTGTAGTCTTTACTTGTGAGGACTTTGATCCTTTCCCTGATTTACCATTACGCATTTGTACATGTACCTGCAATTCAATGACGTAACTATGATCAACTCATGCATGACACACAAACATGCTATTATTACCACATTTTTATAATATGCAGAAATTAATACAAATTAGTGCTAGTTTTAATAAACATTAGTCTCAAATAACACATTACATCATAGGGAAGAACATTCCATGCAATACAACATTAACATTATGTAGAGGTATTACACACCCATATCTAATTAAAGAAAATTTAAGTCTCTTAAATATTACAAACTGCAGTAACAATTATTTATTTTGAAATTTGTAACTACATTTGTACCTATTTAAATTAGCATGTATAAATCACTTAAACACAAAATTACATAAAAGGCGAGGAAGTAATCTCCTGCACTGTATAATTAATCCCCTCCTTAGAGGCTACACAGACTACCCAATGGAACAATACCCTTGGTATCTAGTGCATAAAAAGTTTGATGTGAACAACCTTGGAGGTTTTATGAGAGGTTAGATATCTTACTTATAATAAAACATTTCATTATCTAAAAAGACCCACCACTATAACATAGGAAACCTTAGGAAACATTATCTAGTAAATTCACTAGAGGATTTAATTAATAAAACCAGTTTTAATGATTCTACTACTGACAAACATTAATAAAATGCTCCGCAGGGCGCAGCTTGATACGACCGCAGAGGTCGAACCCTGAACAGTTGGGGAAAGTATGGACACAACATTCAAGCTTGTTACAGCTTTGCATTTGGATTGTGATTAAATATTTGACACAGCATAGGTTTCTGACATAGAATGAATGTTGTCTAAGAACTTAAAAATTTTAAATTGGACATTCACCTATTATGGTCCAATATCCAAAATCTAAATACATGGTTAGATTCAGCATATCAAAGAACCCCAAGAATTCAATTTTTGATGAAATCAAACAAAGTTAAATTTTGGACCCTTTTGACCTCAATGTGGACAAAGTTGATAACAGGGCCCAAAAATCAAAAATCTAAATACATGGTTAGATTCAGCATATCAAAGAACCCCATATATTCAATTTTTGTTGAAATCAAACAAAGTTTAATTTTGGACCCCAATTTTAACCAACTTAAAAACTGGGCCCATAATCAAAAATCTAAATACATGTTTAGATTCAGCATATCAAAGAACCCTAAGAATTCAATTTTTGTTAAAATCAAACTAAGTTTAATTTTGGACCCTTTGGACCTTAATGTAGACCAATTTGAAAACGGAACCAAAAATTAAGAATCTAAATACACGGTTAGATTCGGCATATCAAAGAACCCCAATAATTTAATTTTTGATGAAATCAAACAAAGTTTAATTTTGGACCCTTTGGACCTCAATGTGGACCAATTTAAAACGGGGCCCAAAATCCAAAAACTAAATACACGGTTAGATTCAGCATATTAAAGAACCCCAAGAATTCAAGAATAAAACCCCATTGAAATTGGTCAAGAAATAAGCAATTTAAACGAAGTATCTTCTTTTGCACAATACTATGCAATTAAATTTTTCTTGTTATTGCGCAATACTGTACAATTGACAATTTCTTGCTATTGCGCAATATTGTGCTATTGGATATTTCTTGCTATTGCGCAATACTGTGCAATTGAAGATTTCTTGCTATTGCGCAATACTGTGCAATTGAAGATTTCTTGCTATTGTGCAATACTGTGCAATTGAAAATTTCTTGCTATTGCACAATACTTATTTATATAATAATTTACACATCTTGTTTGGTGTGTATCTCCTACCATATCATTATTATTTGCTTTTAAATATAAATCAGAAATAACCAACTTAAAATGGAAAATTTTAAAAGAAAAAAAAAAGGAAAAAAAGAAAAGAAATGAAAAAAAAAATCCCCCCCCCCAAATTTTTTGAACCCCCTTATGATTCATCACCCCCAAACTCAATCCCAGCCTTCCCTTTGTGGTATGGTACCTTGCAGTACAATTTCAGAGAGATCCATACATTTGAACACAAGTTATTGTCTGGAAACTAGAAAAATGTGTTTTTTGGCCCCCTTTTGGCCCCAAATTCCTAAACGTTTAGGGCAATTACCCCCAAACTCAAACCCAGCTTTCCCTTTGTGATATGGAACCTTGTAGTACAATTGTGTCTTCGGACGACGCGGGACGACGACGACGACGACGACGCCAACGTCATACCAATATACGACCACAAAAATCTTTTTGCAGTCGTATAAAAATTAAAGTATAGTTATTGCTTCTGTTCTGATTAATTTTATTTTTAATTATAATGATAGATTACTATTTTCATTATGGTCCCTTAACGGCCAAATAATATGTTTAAGTGAAACCTTGCCACAGATGGTTTTTATTCCCTTAAGACTTATTTCTCTTAAAAGTAATCTTTTTTTTCTCTTTTCCATATTCTTTTTCCCTTAACTGCAAACTACACTTCAAAAACTAAAATATTGAGAAAATATATAATTTAGGAATATAATAAGTTTTATGGAAAACAGCTAATTACAGTTTGTTGTGTTTGAAAAATGGATTAAAATGATGCAATATTAACATGCCATTCAGTGGAAATAAGAAATAATATAAAAACTATCTATCATTTTCACTAATCAAATCACTAAGATGGATAACTATCAAATGACTAATTAAACTGTTTCCATGAAGAAGAAACATATATTGTACTATTAATCACACATTGTTATGTTTTAAAATATCTATAACAATACTCACACTAGTGGTTGATGTGTTATTGGACATGCCAGTCTTGCCTTTCTTTTGACTTGGCATTTTTCTAATTTCATTTAATTTTTCTGCCAACATTTTCTGATTGATTCCACATAGATTAGGCATCAATTTTTGACATTTCTTATGACAGTTTACACCACAAACTATAAAAAAGTTAATACAATCATTCAAAGACGAACTTTACAGTAAGCATAATATACTTATTGATATACTGTAAATTCAGAAATTATTGCGATGTTTTTATTATTGCGAAAAATGCGACAGGGTTATAATTGCAATAATTTAAACTCGCATTTTGAAATTTTTTGTATGAATTAAACAGGATTTTTCTCAATATCGCAAAAATTAAAATCGCATTTTAGTCTAAAATGACAAAATCACAATAATAATAAATGCACGCAATAATTTCTGAATTTACAGTATATGATAAACAATTAACCATGGTTTCAGTGTATCATTTATTCTCTTTGTTTGACGTTAATACAATATTTTTTACACATATTTTAATATAGTTTTGATCTAGATTTTGTGGCTATGTAAGTAACTTCTGTCAGTCTATCAACAAATCTAAGGATATCAGACACCCTGGTAATATCCCTATCTTCTTGGCCAGCCTCATGAGAAGCTGAAAATATAACTTTCCCGTGTCTGAGGTTAGTGGGTTTGAATGCTTTCCCATGTTACATTCCTAATATCTCGGCCAACTGAAGATAATATTTCAAACATCCAACCAGGTTTCATGAATAGGACAGAAAATTTTACCCAAGGGTATCTGCATTTCATACACTTGAGCTACAATTTTGACCTCTTTCTCCTTTAACTTTTATATAGATTCATTTATGAGATAAAAAGGGAGAATTATGTTGTTCCAAATAGGAGATTTGAAGAAACATTTTGATCTTCGTTCATTTAAATAACTTTATCTTGGTTCTCTGTAATCTATAAAATGTTGAAATCAAATAGCAAGGAGATGTTATTTTTTTTGTTATCATGGACAGTCTTTGCTATTTATTTTTTTGGTCAAGTCAAATATCCTTCTGATTTGTCCTACTATCAAAATGAGTCATTGAAACACAAAAAAATCTAAAATATTACAGAGGTGTTTCACAATGTTCATTTCTATTTATTAGTGATCAGAATAGATAAAAAAAAACATATTCAATCTTTCTTATTTCAAGAAATGTAGTGTTTGGCTTACTCAATTTAGAACATTTAATAGTTGTGTATGAAATATTTATAATGTAAGTATATAAATTTATCTGCAAAAGCATATTAAAAAATTTTCAATTCTCCTTGTTTTTTTCTGTTGTTTTTTTTAATTTCTATTTTTTAGTTTTCGAACCTTACCATCACATTTTAAACCTTGTCTGAACAGACCATACAGCAGGGTGCCACAGTGATCACAGAATGTCGGAGACATGTAATTATTTACTTTAAATCGATGTGGAACATTTATGTTGAATCTCTCTGACATCATCTGTAAAGAAAAATATTTGTACTAAAAATATGCATAAAATGTCACTATTTCAGAGTGGTCTCCGTTATTCAAATGTTCACATTGAAATTTTTCATAACATAAAACTCCATGAAAAATTTAAAAAATAAGCTTCTTTCCCAAAACATTATTGCAAATTTCGTTTGATTCTTATATACATGAAAACCTGATTTTTAAATTCAGCCTGACTATTTTATAAAGCATTGCTGTAAGAATACACAATTATATGTCTGACCTTTGTTTCCCTACTATCCTTAGCACTTCCAGGACAGGTTCCCAAAATCTGTGAATGGCATTTCTTGTGAACTGCACAATTGCAAACTACAAAATAAAAGTAAAACACATAAGAATATTTTGAAACCCCCACTCTTTTTTGACAAGGATATACTTTCTGTCATTTGCTAAGGATTGGTTAAAATATATCTACTTTCCAATCTGTTCTGTTTATTGATTTTTTTTAATCTTAAATCATAAATTAAAAAAAAAAATCATTTCAATGGTGCTATTATTGAAATTTTAAACAAGATTAAGATGAAGAAAGAAATGGTTATTTTTGGTATAATGCTAATAGATGTATAAAGTGATTTCTCCCTATTAAAGTAAAAATAAATGCTATGTTCCTAAAAAAATATTTGAAAAAATGTTAAAGCAGAGCCTCACAAGTATACTCATAAAAAGTTTTGTGAAACACCTGAACCTAAATTCTACACAGAACACAGTTTGCAAACTTTGTTCAATTTGAGGACTTTTCTTTGGATTACATAGTTTTTTGTAACATGTTTTAACATGCAACAAGAATGTGTCCATAGTACACGGATGCCCCACTCGCACTATCCTTTTCTATGTTCAGTGGACCGTGAAATTGGGGTCAAATCTCTAATTTGGCATTAAAATTAGAAAGATCATATCATAGGGAACATGTGTACTAAGTTTCAAGTTGATTGGACTTCAACTTCATCAAAAACTACCTTGACCAAAAACTTAAACCTGAAAAACTTAAACCTGTGGTGGGACAGATGAACAAGACGAATGGACAAACGAACGGATGCACAGACCGAAAAACATAATGCCCCTAGGTGGGGCATAAAAATTTGATATTAAAAGATGGTATGTTAAACTCCTAATATTTTGGCTACATATTCATATAAAAGGCCACATGTTAACATGATAACTGAAAAATTATAAGTTGAGACCAAATAAGACTTATCCTGCCTTGGTGTTTACTTTGCTTGTGTACTATATACATACCTTTACACTGGTAGCCCTGTTTGTTAAGTCCCCTAAAAAAAAGAAAAAAAGCTGTTATATATTGTTAAATTTTCTCTACTTCATTTAAAATGTGCATTCATAAAAATCCTTAGCCACAGCATATCAGGAAGAAACACAAAAGCACATCTTACAGCTTTATGTATGTATTATTAAAACAAAGTAAAAATAAGTTTTCTCTTTTAATATGACATTCTTCTTTGGCTTTGTAAACAAAACCATGTTCTAATATATAATTCAAATAGATCATGGGATGCTCGTGATTGATGTCACAATTAAATTTACAACATCAATTGTATTTTGAATGATGCCTGAGGTTGCTCTGTGTTGCTCACTTGGAAATTAAATAAAATCGTTCTTAAAATAATCTCTTCAATTTTTAACGGTTGGAAACGGTCGATTTTTAGCTTCATTAAATAAAATCACTTTTTTTAAAGTGCTTCTAAGTCATGTAGGAATCTGATGTTCAGTAGTTGTCGTTTGTTGATGTGGTTCATAAGTGTTTCTCGTTTCTCGTTTTTTATATAGATTAGACCGTTGGTTTTCCCGTTTGAATGGTTTTACACTAGTAATTTTTTAGGGCCCTTTATAGCTTACTGTTCGGTGTGAGCCAAGGCTCCGTGTTGAAGACCGTACTGTGACCTATAATGGTTTACTTTTATAAATTTTGACTTGGATGGAGAGTTGTCTCATTGGCACTCATACCACATCTTCTTATATCTATACACAAGTTCTAAATTTTCCTATTAGAATCAAAATAATTCTATCATGCCACTCTCTATGCTCATTGAAACATAAGTAGGCATTATATTTGTCAACATTTTGTACCTCACTAACACTTGGCATAAAGATGATGACAAATATAACACCTACCCATGTTAAAATGAGCATAGAGCATGGAATGAAAGAATTATTTCTTAAGTTAATTTTATACCATCAATTTTGATGAAATAATTGGGTAAATGGTGTTTCATAATGCCTAATTTAATATATGGTTTTCAGTTAAAAGTGGTCATTTATAGCAACTAATCATAAAAATAAATTGAACATCTACTGAAAGATAGGAGAATTTGTGTATCTACTAAACATTAATTAAATAGCAGCACACTCCATAATCACTGAATGATAAATGTTTTTCTTGTAAGTAATTAAGAAAAAATATCAAGCTTATTATACAAATTATCTTTTTTTATTCTTAGTTACCCTTTCTGTAAATCAATACTCAATGGGATAATCTTAAATTCAAAACAATGTTGTTTTTTATGTATAAAAATAAGAAGATGTGGTATGACTGACAATGAGACAACTCTCCACCAGAGATCAAATGACATAGAGTTTAACAACTATAGGTGACTGTACGGCCTTCAACAATGAGCAAAACCCATACAGCATGTACCTGTCTCAATTCAGGAGCCTGTAATTCAGTGGTTGTTGTTTATTGCTGTATCTTATATTTGTTTTTTTTTATTTTTTTGTGCTTTTATCAGGCAGTTAGTTTTCTCATTTGAAGTGTTTTACATTTGTCATTTCATGGCCTTTTATAGCTTGCTATGCAGTATGGCTTTTGCTCATTGTTGATGGCTGTATGGGGACCAATAGTTGCTAACTTCTACATCATTTGATCTCTGGTAAAGAGTTGTCTCATTGCCAATCATACCACATCCTCTATTTTTATATTAAAGACACCTATCATGACAAAATTAAATTAAATTACACAGTTTCATCATGCAAGATCACATCACAAATAACAAAATGTCTGTGCCAAATTGACACTGCCATGGCAACAAAATGTGTCATAGATATTTAATTATGGACATCATTCCAAAATGTACTTGTGAATTTGACATCTCTGTAACTGATCTCTATTTCATATCAAATGACACAATGATCAAATGACCTCAGTCTGCAAGACAGAATCAACAATGATCGAATGACCTCAGTCGTCATGACAAAATCAACAATGATCAAATGACCTCAGTCGTCATGACAGAATCAACAATGATCAAATGACCTCAGTCGTCATGACAGAATCAACAATGATCAAATGACCTCAGTCGTCATGACAGAATCAACAATGATCAAATGACCTAAGTCTACAAGACAGAATCAACAATGATCAAAGGACCTAAGTCTGCAAGACAGAATCAACAATGATCAAATGACCTAAGTCTGCAAGACAGAATCAACAATGATCAAATGACCTAAGTCTGCAAGACAGAATCAACAATGATCAAATGACCAAAGTCTGCAAGACAGAATCAACAATGATCAAATGACCTAAGTCTGCAAGACAAAATCAACAATGATCAAATGACCTAAGTCTGCAAGACAGAATCAACAATGATAAAATGACCTAAGTCTGCAAGACAGAATCAACAATGATCAAATGACCTCAGTCGTCATGACAGAATCAACAATGATCAAATTACCTAAGTCTACAAGACAGAATCAACAATGATCGAATGACCTCAGTCTGCAAGACAGAATCAACAATGATCAAATGACCAAAGTCTGCAAGACAGAATCAACAATGATCAAATGACCTAAGTCTGCAAGACAGAATCAACAATGATCAAATGACCTAAGTCTGCAAGACAGAATCAACAATGATAAAATGACCTAAGTCTGCAAGACAGAATCAACAATGATCAAATGACCTCAGTCGTCATGACAGAATCAACAATGATCAAATTACCTAAGTCTACAAGACAGAATCAACAATGATCAAATGACCTCAGTCGTCATGACAGAATCAACAATGATCAAATGACCTCAGTCTACAAGACAGAAGCAACAATGATTGAATGACCTCAGTCTACAAGACAGAAGCAACAATGATCAAATGACCTCAGTCTGTATATGTATTACTCAGAAATGGAAATTATCATGAAAACTGAACCTTGATCAATGAAACATGAAATGAGGTCATGGTCTGGTGAACCATCTGACTGACATGCAGACCTTGCAATAATTCTACTAATAAATATAGTTGCCATTTTACTCATAAAAACTGGACAAATCAAGTGATAAAAAAACTATAAAAAAAAAACTTTAGTAGTCACTGAACTATGAAAATAAGCCAAAGACAACAAGCCAGATTAAAACTTCAAAGCTTATGTACACTGTATATAAAATATGGATTATTTAGCTGCTATACCTTCTGAAATATAAACCTTAAGACAAAGAGTTTAAGCTGTTGCCACTCCCACTCCTGCAGCTGGATTATCATTCTTAATTCTCACATTCTACAATATTCCCTAACGGCCATGTTGCCACTCCCACTCCTGCAGCTGGATTATCATTCTTAATTCTCACATTCTACAACATTCCCTAACGGCCATGTTGCCACTCCCACTCCTGCAGCTGGATTATCATTCTTAATTATCACATTCTACAACATTCCCTAATGGCCATGTTGCCACTCCCACAGCTGGATTATCATTCTTAATTCTCACATTCTACAACATTCCCTAACGGCCATGTTGCCACTCCCACTCCTGCAGCTGGATTACCATTCTTAATTCTCACATTATACAATATTCCCTAACAGCCATGTTGCCACTCCCACTGCTGCAGCTGGATTATCATTCTTAATTCTCACATTCTACAACATTCCCTAACGGCCATGTTGCCACTCCCACTCCTGCAGCTGGATTATCATTCTTAATTCTCACATTCTACAACATTCCCTAACAGCCATGTTGCCACTCCCACTCCTGCAGCTGGATTATCATTCTTAATTCTCACACTCTACAGCATTCCCTAACAGCCATGTTGCCACTCCCACTCCTGCAGCTTGATTATCATTCTTAATTCTCACGTTCTACAACATTCCCTAACAGCCATGTTGCCACTCCCACTCCTGCAGCTTGATTATCATTCTTAATTCTCACGTTCTACAACATTCCCTAACGGCCAGTCAATAAACATGCATGAAATTATGCCAGTAATTTCTTACCATTAACAATTGACTATTTCATAATATATAAAATTCATAACAGGAATTACCAAAATATTGGACAGTATAACAGACCACTCCAACTACCAACACCTGACTAATAAAATGCTCCGAAAGGCGCAGCTTGATACGACCGCAGAGGTCGAACCCTGAACAGTTGGGGCAAGTATGGACACAACATTCAAGCTTGATACAGCTCTGAATTTGGATTGTGATTAAATATTTGACACAGCATAGGTTTCTGACACAGAATGAATGTGGTCTAAGAACTTAAAAATTTTAAATTGGACATTCACCTATTATGGTCCAATATCCAAAATCTAAATACATGGTTAGATTCAGCATATCAAAGAACCCCAAGAATTCAATTTTTGATGAAATCAAACAAAGTTAAATTTTGGACCCTTTTGATCTCAATGTGGACAAAGTTGATAACGGGGCCCAAAAATCAAAAATCTAAATACATGGTTAGATTCAGCATATCAAAGAACCCCATATATTCAATTTTTGTTGAAATCAAACAAAGTTTAATTTTGGACCCCGATTTGGACCAACTTGAAAACTGGGCCCATAATCAAAAATCTAAATACATGGTTAGATTCAGCATATCAAAGAACCCCATATATTCAATTTTTGTTGAAATCAAACAAAGTTTAATTTTGGACCCCGATTTGGACCAACTTGAAATCTGGGCCCATAATCAAAAATCTAAATGCATGGTTAGATTCAGCATATCAAAGAACCCCATATATTCAATTTTTGTTGAAATCAAACTAAGTTTAATTTTGGACCCTTTGGACCTTTATGTAGACCAATTTGAAAACGGAACCAAATATTAAGAATCTAAACACATGTTTAGATTCAGCATATCAAAGAACCCTAAAAATTCAATTTTTGTTAAAATCAAACTTAGTTTAATTTTGGACCCTTTGGACCTTTATGTAGACCAATTTGAAAACGGAACCAAAAATTTAGAATCTAAATACACGGTTAGATTCGGCATATTAAAGAACCCCAATAATTCAATTTTTGATGAAATCAAACAAAGTTAAATTTTGGACCCTTTGGACCTCAATGTGGACCAATTTAAAAACGGTGCCCAAAATCCAAAAACTTAATAACGGTTAGATTCAGCATATGAAAGAACCCCATATATTTAATTTTTGTTGAAATCAAACAAAGTTTAATTTTGGACCCCGATTTGGACCAACTTGAAAACTGGGCCCATAATCAAAAATCTAAATACATGGTTAGATTCAGCATATCAAAGAACCCCATATATTCAATTTTTGTTGAAATCAAACAAAGTTTAATTTTGGACCCCGATTTGGACCAACTTGAAATCTGGGCCCATAATCAAAAATCTAAATGCATGGTTAGATTCAGCATATCAAAGAACCCCATATATTCAATTTTTGTTGAAATCAAACAAAGTTTAATTTTGGACCCCGATTTGGACCAACTTGAAATCTGGGCCCATAATCAAAAATCTAAATGCATGGTTAGATTCAGCATATCAAAGAACCCCATATATTCAATTTTTGTTGAAATCAAACTAAGTTTAATTTTGGACCCTTTGGACCTTTATGTAGACCAATTTGAAAACGGAACCAAAAATTAAGAATCTAAACACATGCTTAGATTCAGCATATCAAAGAATCCTAAAAATTCAATTTTTGTTAAAATCAAACTTAGTTTAATTTTGGACCCTTTGGACCTTTATGTAGACCAATTTGAAAACGGAACCAAAAATTAAGAATCTAAATACACAGTTAGATTCGGCATATCAAAGAACCCCAATAATTCAATTTTTGATGAAATCAAACAAAGTTAAATTTTGGACCCTTTGGACCTCAATGTGGACCAATTTAAAAACGGTGCCCAAAATCCAAAAACTTAATACACGGTTAGATTCAGCATATGAAAGAACCCCATATATTCAATTTTTGTTGAAATCAAACAAAGTTTAATTTTGGACCCCAATTTTGACCAACTTAAAAACTGGGCCCATAATCAAAAATCTAAATACATGGTTAGATTCAGCATATCAAAGAACCCCATATATTCAATTTTTGTTGAAATCAAACTAAGTTTAATTTTGGACCCTTTGGACCTTTATGTAGACCAATTTGAAAACGGAACCAAAAATTAAGAATCTAAATACACGGTTAGATTTGGCATATCAAAGAACCCCAATAATTTAATTTTTGATGAAATCAAACAAAGTTAAATTTTGGACCCTTTGGACCTCAATGTGGACCAATTTAAAAACGGGGCCCAAAATCCAAAAACTTAATACATGGTTAGATTCAGCATATTAAAGAACCCCAAGAATTCAAGAATAAAACCCCATTGAAATTGATCAAGAAATAAGCAATTTATACGAAGTATATTCTTTTGCACAATACTGTGCAATTGAATATTTCTTGCTATTGCGCAATACTGTACAATTGACAATTTCTTGCTATTGCGCAATATTGTGCTATTGGATATTTCTTGCTATTGCGCAATACTGTGCAATTGAAGATTTCTTGCTATTGCGCAATACTGTGCAATTGAAGATTTCTTGCTATTGTGCAATACTGTGCAATTGAAAATTTCTTGCTATTGCACAATACTTATTGTATAATAATTTACACATCCTGTTTGGTGTGTATCTCCTTCCATATCATTATTATTTGCTTTTAAATATAAATCAGAAATAACCAACTTAAAATGGAATATTTTAAAAGAAAAAAAAAAAGAAAAAAAGAAAAAATAAGAAAAAAAAAAAATCCCCCCCCCAAATTTTTTGAACCCCCTTATGATTCATCACCCCCAAACTCAATCCCAGCCTTCCCTTTGTGGTATGGTACCTTGCAGTACAATTTCAGAGAGATCCATACACTTGAACACAAGTTATTGTCTGGAAACTAGAAAAATGCTTATTTTTGGCCCCTTTTTGGCCCCCAATTCCTAAACGTTTCAGGCAATTACCCCTAAACTCAATTCCAGCTTTCCCTTTGTGATATGGAACCTTGTACTACAATTTAAGAAATATCCAAACACTTACACACAAGTAATTGTCATGAAACTAGAAAAATGCTTGTTTTTTGCCCCTTTTTTGGCCCCTAATTCCTAAAATTTTGAGGCGATTACCCCCAAAATCAATTACAGCCTTCCCTATGTGATATGGAACCTTGTGGTACAATGTCAGAGAGATCCATACACTTACACACAAGTTATTGTCTGGAAGTTACAAAAATGCTTATTTTTGGCCCCTTTTTGGCCCCTAATTCCTTAACTGTTGGTACCATAACCCCCAAAATCAATCCCAACCTTCCTTTCGTGGTATTGAACCTTATGGTAAAATTTCATGGAGATCCATTCACTTAAACTAAAGTTAGAGTGCGAAAACCAATGTGTCTTCGGACGACGCCGGACGACGACGACGACGACGACGCCAACGTCATACCAATATACGACCAAAAAATTTTTAATTTTTGCGGTTGTATAAAAATAGGTGAACAAACAACGAACAAGACATGATCCAGATAGTCGTAATTCGTACATGAAATCCTTAAATTTTGCAGGAACTCCCTAAACTGTTTCACATTCATCATTTACGAATAAAATTATTTCAAAGCAAAAAGGTTTTATGGAAATTATATATATTTTGACAATAGAAAGAAAACTTGAAATGATGAGATTTATAAAAAAAGTTGTTTTGATATTAACTGATACTTGTCAGGCTATAAAATCAATGGATGTTTGTCCCAACTGAAATGTCTTTCTTCTGTCATTCAACAACAGACAATAAAGCATCCAGGACAATGATCAGTTAATGCAATATTGCCTGGATCAATATGGTAAACAAATATCAGAAATGACTAGTTACTGCTGTCAGCTATTATTTTATGATTAACATTAATCAGTGATCTGTCAGTTTGTATACTTTAGTAATTATAAGTCCCAATGCCCCATCAATTGCATCAAAATCAAACATATACAAAATCAAGTTGACTTTTGATGAATTATCCCTAGAAGACGAGTACTGAGACTACAAAAAAAGCAGTACCAAAGTTTTTATAAATAATTGATTCACTTTTTTTAGCACCGCAGAATGCATGGAAAACAGAGATACATTTCAAGTAAAATTTATTTTATTTTATGACTTTTATGATGTTCTAACAATAAAACCACATTCTATTCACAACTAAAGTAATGGTCACTTCCTACATTTATCCTTACAATTTGCGATGTAGTTGATACTTGATAAAATTACATTTTGCCACTATAATAATTTATGTACACCGGTTTGAAAGAACTTCAATTTGTCACAATAAAAATGTAAATTTTTAGCAGACATTCAATTTATTACCACATCTTCTAGTTTGTTATGTAAAAATAGCAAAAGCTTGAAATGTATGTCAAACATTATCTCTAAAGCCTCTAAACAGTATCAAAAATATAGAAGTAATAAATGACATACAAAGCTACTATAGTTACAGGATCAGCATAAAATCTGATGGATCAAATTTATCTTTTGAAAAATGGATGTCTATTCTAGCTATGATAACTAGGTGAACTGTTTCAGTGGATAAAAGAAAATATCTCCCTTTCATCTATTGAAATAACTAAGTCAAAAGTAACGATCAGAGTTCATCTTCAATGTTACAAAACACATCATCCTGAGGTGATGCCAATTATCAAAAGCCTTACTTTTTTTTTTTTCTTTTTCTCTCTGTCTTTTTTTTTTTTTTTTTTCTTTTTTTTATTCTCATAAAGCCAATGCATTACATCAGTACAGAGATAACAACAATAACTATTTACAATATATACAAAACAAGGAGAGAGGTTACAGAAGTCACTAGCCAGGAGGACAAACAAAAGTATTAACATTTTTTATAAATAAACAAAGTTTCTTCAGGACTGGTTTTTGTGTACTTGACATAAGTTCCGAGAATTTAAATGTATTATGTTGTTGTACAAAATAGGAGGATAAATACTCTACGTTTTTGATAGAAAAAAGTACATTCAAATATATAGTGATATTCGTCACCAATTTGTCGATTGTTACATTGATGGCAAACATGGTTTTCTCTCAATACGTTTTGCCACCTTCCTGTTTCAATCGGCAATTTGTTATTAATTGTTCGAAATCGACAAAGAACAACGGCATCTTTAAAGTTCAAAATATTAAAATATTCCTCAAATTCCCAGTTTTTCTTAAAAATTTTGTAGTTAATAGCTTTTGATGATTTTTGAATAAGGGAATTCCAATTCTGAAGAAACTGGTCTAATAATCTTTGCTTTATAACAGTTTTTAACCAATCTTTATCTATAAAATTTTGTGTTTCCCATATATATGAGAAACCACAATCTTGAAATATTTTTTTGACAAATAGAATCCATTTAGTCTGCATGTTATAATGAGCATTCATATGGCGAGAAAGTTGTTACAATATAAAGGAAAACTTTGCTTGTTTGCTGGAAATCAAATTTGCCCAAAATAATACTGCTCGAACTTTTATATCTATGTCAACCGGATGGCGACCTAGTTCCCCGTAAACCATATAATTTGGTGTTGAGGATTTCAGATTTAAAAGTAATTTACAGAATTTTAAATGTATCTTTTCTAATACCTCATTATTACTAAAACCCCATACTTCGCACCCATACACCAGAATGGGCTTGACAATTTTGTCAAAAAGATCTAGCTGACATTTTATGGAAAGCTGATACATCCTTCCCATTTTCAGGACTTCGTACATGGCTTTTAAGGCCTTATCGGATAAATGTTTTTTTTGTCATATTAAAATTCCCTGTTTTAGTAAAAATAATTCCCAAATAGTTAAACTGCTTTACTATCTCAATGTTAGTGTCATTGTAAGAAAATCTGAGATTTTTTGGCAAACGTCCAAAACCAAAGAATAAACTTTTTTTTTTATTGACCTTTAAGTCAAAGGTCAAGGCCATGTGATGATCATGATGATACAGGGCTTGTTATCTTATGGTCATAAACCTTCATGCCAAATACCCCAAGCCAAATTCAAATAAAAGAAGAATGTGTCTGAGGACACTAATGCCCCCGCTCAAGCTTTGCTATTTTCGAAGTTAATAAGGGGCATAACACTAGAACAGTAAATGACTCACAACCCAAATTTGAACTCTGTCTACGTGTTGTGGTACTGAGCATTGTGTATGAGTTTCATAAAATTTGGATGAGACAAACTTAAGAGTGTGGAAACCAAAATAATTTGCATTTTCCAAGTTATGAAGGGGCATAACGCTAGAACGGTAAGTGACTCACTGCACAAATTCGAACTCTGTCTGCTTGTTTTGATTCTTAGCATTTAGTATGAGTTTCATGAAATTTGGATGTGGCAAACTTAAGTTAGAGTGCAGAAACAAAAAATGGATGAAAAGACTGACAGACGAACGGTCAAGGGTAACACAAAAAGGATAACGGGGACATAAAAAATAAATTTCACTTTAGAACTAAATGCTTCTTTTTGTATTAAATTGTTTAAGTTGGGGTGTAAAAAGCTTTGACTGAAGCACATTTTGTATAAAGGAAGCACTTCATATTAAAAATGTGTGCATGTTCAACACTTTTACAATCCTATAAATTAACAAAAAAGAAGCATTCGATTCTTATAATTATATTTTTATGCTACAACCATAAAATTATGAGTTAAATGTTGTTACAGAGAGCACATAGAGTAAAAGTAGCATTTTATACGGAAATAAAATGTAATTTTTGGAATGCCTCAGCCAATCACTTAGTTGAAATATGATATGGATATCTCTTAATAATTCAAATAGAAGTGGTCCAAAATCAATAAATATATCATAGAATGTCCTAAATATACTATGATTACTTTTTAAGCTGCCTATCAACTGTTTATATTATGTTATCCTATAGTAGAATACATTTTCAGAATGTGTTTGATACTAGATCTTTGGTTAGAACTGATAGAGGATAATTTCTCAAATTCATATGAGTTAGGGATCATTTTCAACATTTATAAATACCAACAAATACCAAAGTAATATTACACTTTGAAAACAAGATATCTTCTACAAATATGTAAGGCTGTTCATATGTAACCTGTTATGAAATATGACCTTAAGAGATCAATACTAACCATATAAACTCATTACAGAATGAACAATATGTAAATTGACGGAAGAACTTTGCAATGAATTGGTGACCTTTGACTTCATGTACTTTAGCTTGTTTGATTGCACCTCGTCTGCGTGTTATGCCGCCTGTCTCTTGTTTTTTCTCAGTATCAATAAATGGCACTTGTTCTATAAAAGGGAATATGATAATTAAAATAATATTCAAAGAAAAAAGACGTAAATTGTTTATTGTTTTTTCAAATTGAGTGAATAGTATCTGTATACTACTACAGTGATGGTATATAACTCATAAGTTTATAAACACCGACAGGTTTTAATCTATTTTAATTACAAGTTGAAATTGGGCTTTAAACTTCCTTTCAGTTACTGTGAGTAGTCTTAGGACAGTACTTTGTATCTTTTGATATTTTGTTGCTTTTTGATCTTAAAACCAATCTGATGAGTCCAGCCTCTTCTCTACTGATTTTTACAGTTTGATTGTTGTACAGGTACACCACTGTCCCAGGTAAGGGAAATGGTTGAAGGCCCACCTCATATTTACCTGTGCCACATTCCTTTATGTGCCTGTCCCAAGTCAGGAGCATGTTATCCAGTGATTGTCTATGGTTGCTGTCTGCCATAATTATTTTTTGTATACATCAGACTATTTGATTTCTCGATTGAATTGTTCATATTTTGTATTCCTATGACCTTTTAATATTGTCCTAAGAGGTCTTAAAATTGATTTGTTTTTAATAAATTAAAACATAACTAAATATGTATTGTTATACAGTTATCAAAGGGTATTGTCTATCCTGTTGACAATTATATTTTGTCATTGCACAAGGTCATGCTTTTCTCAGGCAGTAATGTCTTTATACTAAATCAGTTGGATTTGTAGGGATGTATATTTGGAAAACATGGTTTATCTTTTATTTGAGGTCAGTGTTGGTGTTGAAGTAGCTTTCAGAAATTGTAAGTACTGTTAGATTGAGACATAATGTTGTTTGTATTTTTGTTGGGTTTTTTTAGTGCTATGTGCCAGTCTGACGAGTCTTACCCTTTCCAACTTACTTTTACAGTTTTACAGTTTGTCATTATGTGCTGTTACACCATGCCACTGTCCAAACGTAAGGGGAGAGTTCAGCACTCTCTATCATGTTTAACCCTGCCCAATATTTTATGTGTCTGTTCAAGTGAAGAGCCTGTAATTTAGTGTTTGTTGTTATTTGCTGTGTGTCATATTTGTTCTTTGTTAATTGTTTTTTACCATTAATCAGGCAGTTTTTCTCTTTTGAATTGTGTCCCATTTTGTCATGCTGGGGCCTTTAAAAGCTTACAATAAGGTATGGGTTTACCTTCTTGTTCTGAAAAAAATCTGACTTGTATCTGTAATCTTCCGGATGGTTTCAAATCTAACTGCAATAAAAAAAAGAACAAAATTGTCATTAAATGGAAAAAATAAAAACAAAATAAAAGAAGAATTGTGTCTGATGACATTAATGCCCCCGCTCAAGCTTCAAACAAACAAAAATGGGACGGACAGACGGGCGGAAAGATGGAAGGACGGAAAGACGGACGGTCAAGGGTAACACTTAATGACCCTGTTGCCTACGGTGGGGACATAAAAACCCACAAAAATTAAAACAAAAAGCATAAAAAGATAGTGACATAACTAAATTGTAATACAAAGCAGTGCCATGTTGTTTTAAATATGTAAACAAACTGTTCTCTGCATAGCACAAATATCTTTGACATAACTAACAACTTATTGTTAATGTTGGTGTCCATTCTATATTTTTATCCAATTAACACCTATTATTGACCTATTAAGACCCATTGTGAATTTGAAATAAAGAACAGCAATAAAAGGACTGTTCAATTGCTTTTAATTTGGCTTTACATGTGCATGTAGTGGTTTTGTGTCATGAATTGATACACCAAAATTAAAATTTTCTCTTCTATTTTTGTACAAAAATATTATAAATTATTGCTCAAAAATTATATGATATAAGCTTTTAAGAATACTAAAGATTCATCAGTTTTTTCCATAGTCAATCAGATGAACCCTGTCAGACAGACCAGAATCCCTTACAATCATTCTACACACAAATTATATATATAACTTATATAGTATCAAAAAACTGACCTAACCATGAAACCTTAACATTGTTCATTAAAACCATGTTCAGATGAACCCTGTCAGGCAGGCAGGTACCTGTCAGAGAAACTCTCTCAATCAAGAAAAACTTCATATTGATTACTGAAAGTTAAATGAGGTCAATGTAAGGTGAATCCTGTCTGACAGACATGGTACTGATTCTGCATAATCAGCATATTATATATAGTTTTTTTATGCATTTATTGAACCATGAAGATGAAAATGCAAAACATCACAGACAGAAACGTCAGACCACTAGACAGAGGTATAAAAGATATGAACAATAAAGGAAACAGCACATTTCAATCCTGGGAATTGTTTTGGGAAAGGCATAAGCTTTTATTAATTAACACCTAGAATGAAGAATAGAGGTAACAGTTTAATAGTCAATAAAAAATAAACCTATCCTTAAATCACTTCTAGGATGAATTCAAATAAATTCATTGTGATAAGTGTTTAGTTTAACAGATTTGCATGGCATATTCTAAACTATTGGCTTAAAGGGCATAGGTCTAGTAAATTATTGGTGTAAGGAATTCCATAAAGTAACTAATCTATAGTCCTCAAAATACAAAATTTAGTAATCATATTACAAAACTTACAAAAACTTTTTTAACTCCTATACTTGTAAAGAAAGCATAAGTGATATACAAAAACAAGCAGAATTACCGCATGTGATGCAATTTAAAGCTTCAATGCTATAGTAATCATCATGTAATTAAGACATATACATGAAAGGTACATATATCTGGTGAGAATGTACCAAGCAGGAAACTGGTGTCAGCGTGATTACAATGAGCTCAGAAATGCTACATGTGTGTTTAGACAAAAAATAAATATTCCTAAGGAAGTTATTTATCAATGATTATTTTCCAGATTGTGATACTTGCTGCAGAAATCATTTATCTGAAAAACAACTTCACTAATTACTCTTCATAGGGTTGCCATCCATTTTACAATGTAAACCATATCATTAACTAAGTGATAATCTCGTAGGTAATTTTTACAGATACGCCTATTCTTTTTTGCTTCTTTTACTGTAAGAAATTGTTATAACAGATAAGTCAGGCACTAAGTGCACTTCACTAAGCAATCGATAATATAAATGTATGCATAAGTTGCACATATTTATTATAAGATGGCACATGAACATATGTCTAAGGATACTTTAATAAATAGTTTCATGCTTATTAGCTGATTGTAAATTATTAAAATTCTCATACTTAAGTTTAATGTACTTGTTTATGATTTTCTAACTAAAATTGATATACAAAAAAATGAAAGCCTTTAATAATTAAGAAAGGACTTTCAAGAATACGACCTATTGATACATACAGGATATACAATTACATTTGGTAACATGAAAGTAAAAACCTATATCAACCAAAATATGGAATTACATCTATGTGAAACCCAATGTTTCCCAATAATAAATATCGAATGTAGTTCTATCTTCATATCCACATCGGATATGTATTAATGATATTTATCCCCCTCCTATCTATTGCATACAAAATGATATTTATTTATAGTTAAACCCATCTATCTGTTTGCACCAGTACATTAAACTTGTATGCATATTTTCTTTTCAGGTCTTTGGTAAGGTTGAATTTTGAATTTTGCCATTTTTAGCACTAAAATGTAAATTTGGATGATTGGATGGATGGATAGATGAATTGGTGTTTTCCATCCAGTGGCTAATATTACATGCATGATAGGACAAGAACATGTTGTCAAATTTCATATGAATATGAATATGACATTTTTCATCTTAGTGATTTTCATAGCCTACAATTTTGGATTTATTTCATTATTGAAGGCTGTATGGTGGCCTATAATTGCTTACTACGACTTCATTTGAACTCTTGTGGATAGTTGTCTCATTGACAATCATACCACATCTCCTCATTTTTATATGAACCCTGCTTTGTACAAGTCTACTGGCTGGATTATCAACATGATTATTCACAAGGCAGAAGTCAACAGATGACTCTGACCAGTCCAGTTTAGCTCATACTTGTATATGCAATAATGCTTCTCATGACCAAGCCAAAGATTGAATTCCCACAACTTCCGGCACTAGAGGAAGACATGCTATTGAGAGACCACCAAGGTTTTTGCAAAATTTGATTTTGAACTTTTAATATCACTGCACTTTACCATAAGTTCATAAGTTATAGGTGTTCATAAGGTATGAATTTGAAATTGGTTTAAGAGGTTCAGTTTGGGGTCAAAAATGGTGAACTGACAGTAATGGTGTGTTCAATATGGCAATAGCTATTGTTTCTGATAACATCATTTCTAGATATTTTATTACAAGTAGCATCTTAAAGCCTATTACACAGAAGAATAAAGAATTAATTGCAATAAATCAATCTTCTAAACATTAAGTGTATTCCGTGATTAATTCAATTATATCATTGATATTTCCTGTCAGAAGAAACATCAACTCAAGTACCCATCCATTATTCGAAATCTTTAAAACTCATCTGTTGTCTAGTAAATGTTACTATTGTTTGGAATTCATCTCTTATGCTAGATTATGCCTATTAATCTTAGAACTGACTGTAAAATACAAGATAGGGTGGCAACCCACCAAGGATTGTAACACATTTAATATGTATCACAGGTAACAAGACAAAGGCTTAAACACTGCTCTGCTTAATTTGAGACTAAAAGACCCTGTAGCACCCATTAGGTATCTCCTTCCAACTATGTCATCTTTTCTCAGTAGTTCAATGATCATGAAAAGGATCATAATGTTATTATTAAAGCAGATGTGGTGTATGCCAATGACACAGAAATACACAAAAAGACATCCAAATGTCAGTATATTTAAGAAATATGTCTTGGGGGCTTGAATTTATTGTGATTTTACCACGGGTTGACCCTTTATGCCACATATTTTACCTCGAGCGATAGGGAGGGGTAAAATATCAGCATAAAAGGTCAACCCATGGTAAAATAAATATAAATTCAAGCCCCATGAATTATTACTATTCTAATAGGACAAAGTAAGCAGTTCTTTTGTTTCGAAGTACTCTAGGTGAAAGGAAATGTTTGCTGTTCCTGTAATTGAACACACTATTAATATTGACGTAAAATACAAAGAAAACTGAATATGTGACATGCTTAAATGATTTACAGTAATATTCCAAGACAGGTTTGGACGACTATCTTACTTTTATTTAAGAAAATAGGCTTTCAACAAATTCTTATCATCGTTTGTTAATGTTTTCATGTTTTGACGACTTTCAGTTTCAAATCTGGCGTTTTCCCGTAGAATGCTTATATCGTTACTTCATCATTCAATGACATCATTTACACCGTCTGACATCGGTAACTCATTCATAAAAAGCAAAGAACGTGGGAGTAAGATTGGAACAGCCCAAATAATCCATAGCATTGACGATCAGCTGACATCATAACGATGAAAGCAAACCTAGTTGGTAGGTGTGGTCCTCACAGCAAATTAAGTAAAAGAACATCCTTAACAATTGGACCTTAAAGGCCTAGTATACATTTATATGTTAAAATGATCATCATTAATGGTTTGTGCAATAGATTTATATAGTTTGGGCTAAAGCTTAGTACATTGCAAACAGTTTTGAAGCTCCATGAACACACTCCATGAAAGGATGGCTATTTCCAAGGTTCCAGTTGAAGCAGGATAAAAATTAAGACAACTGACTACAAACACTACCAGCTAGCATTAACGGTCATTGTATCAGGTGAAAAAACAAAATTTAAATTTTGTTCTAAATGATGATATGACAGGTATTCAGTACACAAAACGTAAAGTTTGCCATCTGAATTGAGTCACACGGACATACACTGTATCTACCGGTACTATTTATTTATTTATATTCTGATACTACCAATAAATTACTTCCTTGTACAAGTATTTCATACTCTGATACTACCAAGAAATTACTTCACTTGTGTATTATTTTATAATCTAGAAGTGACAAATTGATCAATTTTTAATGAGCTGTTAGGAAGCATTGCATGCAAAAAACTATTCAATATTGAACAGAATAGAGAATTTAACAAGATTGATGACTACTTTTTATTAAATGAAGTTCATGGAAATCTCTTTAGCAAGACTCAGGATTAGATAGAAAACAAGTCTATTGATATAAAGCGAAAATTCCATAGAAGATTGTCTCCTATGGGATTTTTAACATCAGATGTTTACAGATATATCAACTAAAAGAGATTAACAGTACCCAGGGGAATTCCCTTTATAAGATGGCATTAATGATCAAATATCACACCACTGACGTAGGCAGTGTTAATAGGAACTCCACTGAGATACAGAGACAGATATTTCTCTACAACTGATTTAAAGGTCATCTCCGTTGTATAAACTGTACTAACTTTTTTGAAGAACTAATAAAAAAAAAAAACCTCAGCTAAACTGAATAAACTGTCATATTTCAGTGTAATTATAAATCCCTGGAGAAATTATCCTTGTAATGTCTTCATGGTGGCGTTTCAGACAACTTATATCATCGATAAAATCCAACTCATGGTTATAATTATGTATTGTATTTCTAGAAATCTTTCCTGGATTATCTCTATGAACTATAGGAACTGCAAAAACAACAATTTGCATCAGATTTCTAAAAGTATAAAATATTTACTAAAACGCAAAATATTATTCCAGATCTAATATATACTGGCAATCATACCACATCTCCTTATTTTTATATAGACATTAAACAGAGTACTGAGACAAACAAAGCCCTCTTTTATTATTGAAATTAAAAGAGCTGTGTCAAATCTATGCAAAAATTTAAAGAAAGCATGTGCCAAATTAAGTTCACAAATGCATACAAGTATTTAATATAAAATAAAGGAGATGTGGGGACACAGTGAGGTAAATGTCAATGAGACAGCAATCCAACAACATAAATAAAGAAATGAAATTTAGATGTAGAAAGCTTTTTCACAAACAAATAGTCATTAATCAATCAAAAGAATTTAATTTGAATTCCTATACCAGGATAACTGTAAAAGAAAACAATGGTCAGATAAATGGTCCTTAGTTACTGTATAGAAACTGCACAAGGGCTCAACATACCAGTAACATAAAAGACAATGGTCAGATTACAGAAGTATTATATTGACAGGAACTACTACGACCTGACTTCAAACATTTTATCTGTGATGCCATGCACAATTTAATGACATGTTAACTTGAAACATGGTATGTTATTTACACATCAGAGTATTATTCTCATTCTCTTTTGCTTTCACGATTACAGAAATAAACGAAGAAATTGAAAGTTGTCATAAATTCTAAGGAAACAACAATCGGCAAACCTCGGTAGATTCCGTTACCCTACATCAAATCTCAAGTCATGATTGGCATATTCATAAATGTACAAATAGAAATACTGACCCCGGCTGTATATTATTGGACAAAATTCATTCATATATGAATATTTTAGCAGTTTTGAATCAAATGTCAAAAAATTAAAATGCACATACATATATATAACGAGGTGCGTCTTTTTTTTACTATTTTTGTTATATATAATTTCTATGTTTTTTATATATAATTTCTATGTTTTCAGCCCTTGGTCGCATAATTTTTCAAATATAAAACTGAAAATTTTTCTACTTTCCAGGCTAATCCAGGCTCTTTACTATATATATTCATAGATTCGTCACAGTGTATATTTATATCAGAACATTTTCTTGACTCGGCAGTAACCAGAACACACCATTATGACAGTTTAAACTTAACCCTTGTAAGAAATAAAATAGTCACTTACTACTTTAAAAGGTTGTAGTATAAATAATTCTGGGCCGATTTTCATTTTTTATTCTAATAAATCGTTGTAGTTCCTGTCAATATAATACTTCCATGGTCAGAAAGATGATTCTTAGTTACTGTATAGAAACTGCATGGGGCTCAACATACCAGTAACATAAATGTAATCAATGGTCAGATAGATGATCCTTAGTTACTGAATAGTAACTGTACAGGTGGCTCAACATACAAATATGGGTACAGACAACTGGCTGAAGTTTAACCCCACCCCCCCCTTTTATATATCAAATTCTTGCGATAATCCCTATTATACATATTTCATGGGAAAATCATAACCCATTCATATATTGAGCAGAAAATGAACATTTCTGACCCATTGACAAATAAACTTCTACCCATATATAATAAAATTTCTGTGAAACACCCCATTGATATATTTGACATTTTGAAAAAGTGGCCAATACCAGCCTGTCTGTGTATACCTTTATGTAAGAAGAGACACCAGTGAGAAACTGTGTGTAGTCATTATACAATTACGGACATTTACACTGGTAAGCCAGAACCTAAAGTTACTGTAGAGACAGTATGGAGAGGATGTCATCTACATTCATTACAAGATTAATGAATTTTGATAAGGTGGATACAAGGGTTTATTGATCTAAGAATATAATTTTTTACTGAGGCCATATGCTGAGGTCAACCTAATTTCCTGGGATAATTAACCCTGTATCACTATACTAAAATCCTGAAATTGGCTTCTTATATGACATTTTTTTTCTGTATGGTTGAAATGAATATTGATCACAATTTTGTTTAAAAATGACTTGATTGTAAGTTTTGCTGTCCACCTTGTAGCAGTTCCATGAAAATTCTGACCAAATTGCAATTTGTTTCATCAAATCAAACTGTTCAGCTGGTCAGAATTTTTAACCAGTGATAAAATAAAGCATATACTTACAACCTCAAAACACTTCAATTCCACTTCATGGTTGTTATGCAATTGTGGCCTAAACTTTTTAAAAATATATTTATTGTAAGGGGTCATTTGAAAGCTAAGATATAAGAGTAATTTTTGAATTGCAAAAAAAATGTCCAAACTTTGAATGACCTCTTCTAAAATGCTATTTTTCTACACATGCTTCAAAGCTGTCTTTAAATTCAAATTTAGAATACATACTGGTAGTTTAGCTAATATTTTTTCATGAAGTTTTAAAGGAAAATAAGAAATATTTCATATTAAATAAAATGCTCCGCAGGGCACAGCTTGATACGATCGCAGAGGTCGAAACCCTGAACAGTTGGGGCAAGTATGGACACAACATTCAAGCTTGATACAGCTTTGCATTTGGATTGTGATTAAATATTTGACACAGCATAGGTTTCTGACACAGAATGAATGTGGTCTAAGAACTTAAAAATTTTTAAATTGGACATTCACCTATTATGGTCCAATATCCAAAATCTAAATACATGGTTAGATTCAGCATATAAAAGAACCCCAAGAATTCAATTTTTGATGAAATCAAACAAAGTTTAATTTTGGACCCTTTTGACCTCAATGTGGACAAAGTTGATAACGGGGCCCAAAAATCAAAAATCTAAATACATGGTTAGATTCAGCATATCAAAGAACCCCATATATTCAATATTTGTTGAAATCAAACAAAGTTTAATTTTTGACCCCGATTTGGACCAACTTGAAAACTGGGCCCATAATCAAAAATCTAAATACATGTTTAGATTCAGCATATCAAAGAACCCTAAGAATTCAATTTTTGTTAAAATCAAACTAAGTTTAATTTTGGACCCTTTGGACGATGATGTAGACCAATTTGAAAACGGAACCAAAAATTAAGAATCTAAATACACGGTTAGATTCGGCATATCAAAGAACCCCAATAACTCAATTTTTGATGAAATCAAACAAAGTTTAATTTTGGACCCTTTGGACCTCAATGTGGACCAATTTAAAAACGGGGCCCAAAATCCAAAAAATAAATACACGGTTAGATTCAGCATATTAAAGAACCCCAAGAATTCAAGAATAAAACCCCATTGAAATTGGTCAAGAAATAAGCAATTTATATGAAGTATCTTCTTTTGCACAATACTGTGCAATTAAATATTTCTTGCTATTGGGCAATACTGTACAATTGACAATTTCTTCCTATTGCGCAATATTGTGCTATGGATATTTCTTGCTATTGCGCAATACTGTGCAATTGAAGATTTCTTGCTATTGCGCAATACTGTGCAATTGAAGATTTCTTGCTATTGTGCAATACTGTGCAATTGAAAATTTCTTGCTATTACACAATACTTATTATATAATAATTTACACATCCTGTTTGGTGTGTATCTCCTACCATATCATTATTATTTGCTTTTAAATATAAATCAGAAATAACCAACTTAAAATGGAAAATTTTAAAAGGAAAAAAAAAAAAATCCCAGCCTTCCCTTTGTGGTATGGTACCTTGCAGTACAATTTCAGAGAGATCCATACACTTGAACACAAGTTATTGTCTGGAAACTAGAAAAATGTGTTTTTTGGCCCCTTTTGGCCCCAAATTCCTAAACGTTTAGGGCAATTACCCCCAAACTCAAACCCAGCTTTCCCTTTGTGATATGGAACCTTGTAGTACAATTTCAGAAAGATCCATACACTTACACACAAGTTATTGTCCTGAAACTAGAAAAATGCTTGTTTTTTGCCCCTTTTTTGCCCCTAATTCCTAAAATATTGAGGCAATTACCCCCATCATCAATCCCAGCCTTTCCTTTGTGGTATGGTACCTTGCAGTACAATTTCAGAGAGATCCATACACTTGAACACAATTTATTGTCTGGAAACTAGAAAAATGCTTATTTTTGGCCCCTTTTTGGCCCCCAATTCCTATACGTTTCGGCAATTACCCCCAAACTCAATTCCAGCTTTCCCTTTGTGATATGGAACCTTGTAGTACAATTTCAGAAAGATCCATACACTTACACACAAGTTATTGTCATGAAACTAGAAAAATGCTTGTTTTTTTACCCTTTTTTGGCCCCTAATTCCTAAAATTTTGAGGCAAATACCCCCAAAATCAATCCCAGCATTCCTGTTGTGATATGGAACCTTGTGGTACAATGTCAGAGAGATCCATACACAAACACACAAGTTATGTCTGGAAGTTACAAAAATGCTTATTTTTGGCCCCTAATTCCTTTACTGTTAGTACCATAACCCCAAAATCAATCCCAACCTTCCTTTTGTGGTATTGAACCTTGTGGTAAAATTTCATAGAAATCCATTCACTTAAACTAAAGTTAGAGTGCGAAAACCAATGTGTCTTCGGACGACGCCGGACGTCAACGACACCAACGTCATACCAATATACGACCACAAAATTTTTTTGCGGTCGTATAAAAATATTAGATTATCTCCCCATGGAAACTTATTGAAACCAAATTGTAACTTCACATATATTTTAATGAAAATTACATGTTTTGAATTCAAACAGATGTCTTTTTCTTATAAATATAAAAGACTTTTTAAAAGTAATAGTATGAAAACTTACTTGGGACATTTTTTAAGCAGTTAAAAAATAAGCACCTTTAATCTTTCAAATCACTCACTACAATAACAATATGTATACAATTTCTAGGCCACACTTTCTTAATAGCCATGAAGTGGAATTCAGATCATAATTGATTGTAAGTATATTTTAAATAATTACTTTACACTTTGATGACTTGACTATGGTTTATCTACAGCAGTTGGATAAAATTTCTGACCAGTTGAACAGTTTGATTTGATATTTTCTCTACTCATTTTGGAATTTTTACAAAGCTCAGTTTTAGGTGCAGCTAACACACCCTCCCACCCATAATTATTTGTATACCAACTGTTTCTGTTTTGTCTCAATTATAGATATTTCAACATGGCAGTGGCCAGTGCAGATGTCATATATGTACATACTGAATAGATACTGTAACAGAACTTTGTGGCAATTAATCAAATGATCAGATATCAACAAAACAGAATCTTCCAGCGTTACCACATAATAACAGCTGTTATAGGTAATGAATACTATATAATTATGCTTATATATTATCATTATAATATAAATGAAGGTACAAGTATGTATCAAAATACAAAATGTTGTCATATCTAAAAGGTACTGAATCATAGACATATAAAAACAAGAAGATGTGGTATGATTGCCAATGAGACAACTCTCCACAAGATACTAAATGACGTTGAAGTTAACTATAGGTCATGGCACGGCCTTCAACAATGTGCAAAACCCATACCGCATAGTCAGCTATAAAAGGCCCCAAAATGACAAATGTAAAACATTTGAAACGAGAAAACTAACAGCCTAATTTATGTAAAAAACAACAAGCATTCTGTGAGTATTGCCTGGCAATACATAGTCCCCTACCGGTTAAAAATTCATTGTACTGGAACAAAATGCTAACTTGGTCTAAACCTTGTCATGGTGTGAACTATATAACAAATATCAAGTCAATATCTTCAAGCATGACGAAAAAAAATGTGGAAAATTGATTATTTGAGTGAATTTTCTAAGTCCAAGGACCATAACTCTGCACAAAATCATCAGACCGGAACAAAAATCGAACTTGATCTGTAACTAGTCTTGATAAAACTATATACCAATTATCAAATCAATATCTTCCGGCATGACGAAAAAAAGTGAGGAAAACTGATTATTTGAGTGAATTTTCGAAGTCCAAGGACCATGATTACTCTGCACAAAATCATTAGACCAGACCAAAATTTGAACTTGGTTTATAACTTGTCATGATAAAACTATATACCAATCATCAAATCAATGTCTTCAAGCATGACAAAAAAAAAGTGTGGAAACTGATTATTTGAGTGAATTTTCAAAGTTCAAGGACCATAACTCTGCAGGAAATGGTCAGACCGGAACAAAATTCAAACTTGATCTATAACTTGTCATGATAAAACAATACACCAAATATCAAATCAATATCTTCAAGCACCAAGAAAAAAAGTGTGGAAAACTGATTTGCCGGACTGCCGGACCGACCGATCAACCGACCGACAGACAGATAGACAAAAAGACGGAGTGCAAACCTAAATTCCCCTTCGACTTCAAACGGTGAAAGTGACGCCACCAAAATTCAAACTTGATCTGTGTTTTGTGGTAATAAGCATTGTGTATTAGTTTCATAACATTTGGATGTGGCAAATTATAGTTAGAGAACGGAAACTAATTTTGGGGCGTAGGGACGGACGTACAGACGGACAAGGGTAAAACTTAATGCCCCCTCCACTATGGTGGGGGCAAAAAAAAACCAAGAAGCTCCTAAGAGCCTGAATTGCTCACTGGGTGAAGCTATGCCATCTTTGATATCCCTTACTTATATGGCAAAATAATAACTGCAATTTGCAGTTTTCTAAAAAAAAGTCTGTTGATGGCATCAAAATAAACCACTATGTTACCACAAGCAATCAGCAAAGATGTTTCTTTGAAATAGTTAATACTTGGCTTTGAGATAAATGATACAGTTAGAGTCATATTGCATATTTTATATTTTCAAATTAAAAAGGACTCAAAATTATACTCGGTCCTTTCTCAAATATTGTATAATCACCATTTAGTGTCAATATTTGAAGTGAAATATTAAACACAGTTTCTCTTTTTAAACAATTGATGGACAATATTCCTTCATCGAAATATTTCACAATTAAAATTGGCCAAAAAGTATTTATATATAAAAATAAGAAGATGTGGTATAATTGCCAATGAGACAACTCTCCACCAGATACCAAATGACATAGAAGTTAACAACTATAGGTCACTGTACGGCCTTCAACAATGAGCAAAACCCATACTGCATAGTCAGCTATAAAAGGCCCCAAAATGACAAATGTAAAAAAATTCAAACGAGAAAACTAATGGCCTGATTTATGTAAAAACTATGAATGAAATATAAATATGATATACAGTAACAAACGACAACCAATGAATTACAGGCTACTGACTTAGGACAGGCACAAACAGAATGTGGCAGGGTAAAACATGTTAGCGGGCATCCAAGCCTCCCCTGACCTGGGACCTGGTGTAACAGTAAAACATATGAACAAAATATCAAAATCAGTTGAAAAGGGCTTAACTCATCAGATCGATACAGAGCAGAAAAACAAGAAACAAAAAAACAGACTGGACGTGGCAGGGTATTTATACATCCTTACAACAAAAAAGAAAATAACAGGATAGTGTTTAAGGCCAAAAAGACCGTAAATAGTATTTCTTTTTCTTACCCAGGCAGTTGCTATATTTCCATCTGTGCATTTTTCTGCCAATACTTTTGCTGATAATGTTATTTCTGCTAAAAATCTATTTGGTTTCTCCATGACAACAAGGTTGATAACTCTGCCATCATACAAATGAGCATCAAAACATGTATTCCATTCAGGATAAATTGTTCGCTTTTTCTGAACTTGCTGAATACCTCGACCTTAAATAAATTTGCAAAACATTAATAAAATGCTTCGCTGGGGCGCAGCTTGATACGACCGTAAAGGTCGAACCCTGAACAGTTGGGGCAAGTATGGACACAACATTCAAGCTTGATACAGCTCTGAATTTGGATTGTTATTAAATATTTGACACAGCATAGGTTTCTGACACAGAAAGAATGTGGTCTAAGAACTTCAATTTTTTTAATTTACCTATTATGGTCCAATGTCCAAAATCAAAATACATGGTTAGAATCAGCATATCAAAGAACCCCATATATTCAATTTTTGTTAAAATCAAACAAAGTTTAATTTTGGACCCCAACTTGGACAAACTTGAAAACTTGGCCCATATTCAAAAATCTAAACACATGTTTAGATTCAGCATATCAAAGAACCCAAAGAATTCAATTTTTGCTAAAATCAAACTATGTTTAATTTTGGACCCTTTGGACCTTAATGTAGACCAATTTAAAAAACCGGACTTAAAATTAAAAATCTAAATACACGGTTAGATTTGGAATATCAAAGAACCCCAATAATTCAATTTTTGATGAAATCAAACAAAGTTTAATTTTGGACCCTTTTGACCTCAATATGAACCAATTTGATAGCGGGGCCCACAAATAAAAAATCTAAATTCATGGTTAGATTCAGCATATCAAAGAACCCCATATATTCAATTTTTGTTGAAATCAAAAAAAGTTTAATTTTGGACCCCAACTTGGACCAACTTGAAAACTGGGCCCATAATCAAAAATCTAAACACATGTTTAGATTCAGCATATCAAAGAACCCCAAGAATTCAATTTTTGTTAAAATCAAACTAAGTTTAATTTTGGATCCTTTGGACCTCAATGAAGACCAATTTAAAAAAAACGGGACCCAAATTAAAAATCTAAAAACACGGTTAGATTTGGCATATCAAAGAACCCCAATAATTCAATTTTTTGATGAAATCAAACAAAGTTTAATTTTGGACCCCAATTTGGACCAACTTGAAAACTGGGCCCATAATCAAAAATCTAAATACATGTTTAGATTCAGCATATCAAAGAACCCCATATTTCAATTTTTGTTGAAATCAAACAAAGTTTAAATACTGGACCCTATCTTGGACCAACTTGAAAACTGGGCCCATAATCAAAAATCTAAACACATGTTTAGATTCAGCATATCAAAGAACCCCAAGAATTCAATTTTTGTTAAAATCAAACTAAGTTTAATTTTGGACCCTTTGGACCTTAATGTAGACCAATTTAAAAAACAGGACCCAAAATTAAAAATCTAAATACACGGTTAGATTTGGAATATCAAAGAACCCTAATAATTCAATTTTAGATGAAATCAAACAAAGTTTAATTTTGCACCCTTTTGACCTCAATATGAACCAATTTGATAACGGGGTCCACAAATAAAAAATCTAAATACATGGTTAGATTCAGCATATCAAAGAACCTCATATATTCAATTTTTGTTGAAATCAAACAAAGTTTAATTTTGGACCCCAATTTTGACCAACTTGAAAACTGGGCCAAAAATCAAAAATCTAAATACATGTTTAGATTCAGCATATCAAAGAACCTCATATATTCAATTTTTGCTAAAATCAAACAAAGTTTAATTTTGGACCCTTTGGACCTTAATGTAGACCAATTTGAAAACTGGACCCAAAATTAAAAATCTAAATACACTGTTAGATTCGGCATAACAAATAAATAAATGTGATCAAAGATTTTACAAATCTAATGCGCCATACTGTGCAATTAAAGATTACTTCTTGAAATTTTTCAATATTTGAAATTTGAAAAAAAAATAATATTTGAAGAATAATTCTTTTTAATTTCTGAAATCTGAAATGAGAAAAATTGACCCCCCACAATTTCTTTTTATCCCCCCCCCCTTTTTTCCCCCAAAAAATTCTTTCCCTCAAGATATGGTCAAAATCTCAATTCAAATTTCCAATGGAGTTGGCAACCATAATTACCCATTTAAATTTACCATAGTGCTAACTTAATCTATTTTATAATAGAATTAAAAATATAGTGTCAAATCTTTCATATGGATTTTTTTGTAAAAAAAAAGATGCAACATTTGCAGATATTTTTACTGGTCTTCCTTTATAAATATGCATTTCTTTAAACATAATTTAAAAGCAGTGTAAGGGAAGTAACCAAAACGTTGTATTTGGATTACCTCCCTTACACTGTTTTAAATTATCTTTATTGTTCATTAACCATTACTTTATACATAATTTAAAAGCAGTGTAAGGGAGATAATTTCAATGATGTATTTGATTTATCTCCCTTTCACTGCTTTAAATTATGTTTTGTACTAAAGTATTTGTCCATTAACCAGGACAACCTTGTTTTTCCCCCTTTTTTGCCCCTAATTCCTAAACGGTTTGAGCCATAACCCCCCAAAGCAAATCCTAACCATCCCTTTGTGGTATGGAAACTTGTAGTATAATTTCAGAGAGATCCATACACCGTTCCACAGTTATTGTCTGGAAACTAGAAAATGCTTATTTTTGGCCCCTTTTTGGCCCCTAATTCCTTAACTGTTGGTACCATAACCCCCAAAATCAATCCCAACCTTCCTTTTGTGGTATTTAACCTTATGGTAAAATTTCAAAAAGATCCATTCACTTAAACTAAAGTTAGAGTGCGAAAACCAATTTGTATTCGGACGACGACGACGACGACGACGACGACGACGACGCCAACGTCATACCAATATACGACCACAAAATTTTTTTGCGGTCGTATAAAAACAAGTAAAACTGTGAGCTACTGCTCACTGATGATACCCCCGCCGAAATATTTCGGTAAACAGGAAGTTGTTGAGTGATGAATCTGAAAAGGCATCACAGGGTATAGCTGACTTATATAAACCCTGAAACCAAATTTCAGAAATCCTTGTCAAGTAGTTCCTGAGAAAAATGTGAGGAAAATTTTCAACTTGGCTATCATGTGTAAAATAATACAAGTGTTCGGTAAACAGGAAGTTGTTGAGTGATGAATCTGATAAAGCATCACACAGTGTAACTTACTTATATAAACCCTGAAACCAAATTTCAGAAATCCTTGTCAAGTAGTTCCTGAGAAAAATGGGACGAAAATATTCATGGGATGGACGGACTGACGGATGGACTGACGGATGGACTGATGGAAGGACAGAAAGAGGTAAAACAGTATACCCCCCCTTATTTAAAGTGTGGGTATAAAAATCGTATGATTTTGTTCATTACCTTAATTTTTACATGTAAAGATGTAAAGAGCTGGTCAGATGAACCCAAACAGACAAACACCTTACAATCATTCTGTACGCTTGATTTAGTGGACCTACTACTTACAAGTAGCTGAAAATGGGACTAATCATAAAATTTAAATGACACAACCAAATGAACATTGTCAGACTTAATAACACATTCAATTTACCATATAAAAACAGTTTTTTTAAGTGGTCATTGAACCATGAGAATGAGGACGAGGACAATGGGCATATGTCAGAGGGAAAACACAGACCAGAAAGCACCTGTATACTAGATATGGACTATCAAGCTCTTCTACTTTCTAAAACATGAAGCTTTATATAAACCCTTATAGCTGCTGGATGACGTAACATCCCTATTTCTTTGACTTAATCCGCAAACAAGATGATAAAATTAAGTATCATTGGGTAAGCAGGCCAGTACTTAAGTCATCAGCTTGAAGTATATGATGTTTCAAATTTATTATTCTACTGTTAAAAGTTACAAAAAGATACCTTAGTGTAAACATGTGTTTATAATATTCATTCAGATTTTTCACTGTGCTATTAACACCAGGTAGGTGCCCTCATATTACCCTTTTGCATCATACAGTAGTTTAATTACATTATTTTCTGGCATCATCATTAAACTAGTATTAAACAGCAGTACACACAATTGAAGCTTTTGTTTGCTCATGTATTTATATTTAATAATTTATCATCAATATTTGATGAGACCCATTTGAGTATGATTAACTTTCCCTACAATCTCAGGTCAAAATGATTCTTTCTGTTGAGTAAATCCATCAGTTAAAAACCTTTAATAACTGTTTCTACTATCATAGTAGAGAGGTATGTAATTCACTGTTGCAGAATCTTTAGGATATATATAGGTCACGATGTATTAATAATGAAAATGATATTGTAACGTCATTGGCTGAATTCTTGTTGCATAGAACATTGTTTACCAAACAAAATCCTATTTTGGTGTAGCTTTTGAAAGTTTGATCCATGCTAGATAGATTCATAAATGATGATTGTACTTTTTTTATATACATGTCTATTAGTTTATTCAGTTACAGAATTAATAATCATTATTACTGATAATCTTGTTATCACATCATGGGAACTAAATGAATGCTGCTTATCACCCACACTTATCTTAGTCTTTTTTCATGCGATTTTATCTTAAGTCTTTTTTCATGCATTCCCTCATTCTTTTTTCATTTCTTTTTTAACCTTGATTTGTACATGTATCTTCTAATTAATGGTTTTTGAGATTTGAACATTGGTAATATACTGTTGCCTCTAAATTATCCACCATACTTCTTGTACTGTGGCCTTCCTTGTGACTTAATCCGTGGTAATAACACAGTGATCTTCCATGTGACTTACTCAGTGGGTATATCACCATATCAGTAATAACTCTCAATTTCTACACTTATTCTGGTACATTTCATTACCTGGTGTTTGAACAGACTCCTTCACATTTACAGCTACGTAAGGGTCAAACATTGGGGTTACTGAGTCCATTGAACTCCCTTTCTCCACCTGGAGAAGTTTCACTCGTATAAATCCAACTCCTCCCGCCATCTCTAATGATCAAGTCCTGCAATTTTTTAATTTTTAGAATTAGAATTCTCATAATTTTATAACTGTTCTTAATCTCAGCATCATCAGAATGACATATTTTTTCTTAAATAATTTAATTGATTACACTAAGACCAATGGCTTTCGAAGCAAAATAAAAATATACAAGAATGTGTTCATAGTACACAGATGCCCCACTCGAACTATCATTTTCTATGTTCAGTGGACCGTGAAATTGGGGTCAAAACTCTAATTTGGCATTAAAATTAGAAAGATCATATCATAGGGAACATGTGTACTAAGATTCAAGTTGATTGGACTTCAACTTCATCAAAAACTACCTTTACCAAAAACTTTAACCAAAAGCGGGGACAGATGGACGAACGGAGGGACGAATGCACAGACCAAAAAACATAATGCCCCTAGGTGGGGCATAAAAAGGAAGCCCCAAAACCAAAAGGATACAACTTATATAGTTATTATATTGAAAAAAATGTTGAAGAAGTCAAAATTTACCATTACACTTATATGAAGTCTAAATGAAGTTGCAGTTAGGCGTAAGCTTTTAATTTGTGTTGAAGAAATATATATTTTTTCAACAAGCTATTTCTTCATTTTTTTCTTCAGGACATTTAAATATTTAATCATAGCTTATTTTGAGGTTCAAAAGGAAAATGTATAGCACATGGTTGCCTATTTGATAGTTCAGTATGACATTTTTGTTCTTCCTGTTTGATATAAGTCCTGTTTGATAATATATTATAAATCCTTGTCATTTGAACAATCGTTAGGATCAATATTTCAAATGAAAATAAAAAACAAAATCTGTTTGAAATATAATGCGTTGTATAAAATTTTATCAATTTGATGTATATAATTTCATTTCGAAATGTAACATCAGATAATATAAAATATTGTCATTGCTATCTAGCAATGTTTCCTATTCCTGAAGCAGTGGTTCTTGTACATTTACAAAGAGCAGGTATTCAGTTCTAAATTCATTTTTGTCTACTATCAAGTGGCAAAGAAACTGGTAACTCATCTTAGAAAAGCCTGTAAATCCAGTTTTAAATGCATCCATTAATCATTCAAATCTTTAACAACAACAAATAATGTGAGATAAAATACAATTCTATGTTTGATTTAGTCACAAATCATTTTAGTTGATTTACATGAAAATAAAGTTTGAATATATCTATTATAAAAGAATATCATTAGCAAAAAAAATAAAGAGCTGGCCATGAGCACATGATATGCCCGTTGCTTTTTCAATGAATAAAGTTCAATAACTCCTCAATGTCATATCAGAAATTTATAAAAAAAAACTAAAGGGAGGTTATTTTGACAGATATAAACCAGTCACCAAAGTTTCATGAAAACTGTTCAAAGCATTTTTGATAATCAACCAAAAACTAGAAAATCCCCCCTTTTTTATGAATAAAATCCCATAACTCAGAAAAGTAAAATCTAAAATTTATAAAAATCCAAAGGGAGCTTATGTCAATAGATATAAACAATTCACCAAAGTTTCATGAAAATTGATTAAAGTGTTTTTAAGTTAATGTCCAACATGTTGATGACGGAGGGACGGATGGATAGACAACAATATACCATAATAGGTCCCATACACAGGCATAATAAAATGTGAAATTTTAATTATTGGGATGATCCTTGTGTTGTTAAATTTGTTTTCTGAATTTACAGGTGATAGACCTAACAATCCAATTCAGCAGTTTTAATAGTATTTGAAAATTTAAGCCTGCAATATAATAGACCTTTAATGTCATAAAAAGATTTATTTTTTTTCTGATTTATGAGCTTTTTTGCTTTTAATGACATAAGTGTCTACAAATTAGAACACTTTTATCATCAATGAACCAACTCTCATGGACACTTTTATATGAGAACAACTAAAAAAAAAAACATAATGAAATACTTTATTTTGCTTCATTATCTTGCTGAACAATCAGATGTGCCAAACAAAAGGGGAATTAGAAATCTAATTCAATGGATAAGAATTACAGAAAATAATCGATATTTTTTATTGACTATTTGAAAATTAATTTGTGTGCTTCTCCTATTTCAAAATATTTCATTCAAAAACTGCTTTCTACTTCAGAGTTGATGGTTACAATTTGAGTATATTAAGCATATATATCATCAAACATTTTACTTTCATTGCAATCTAATTAGAGTTCAAACAAACCTGAAGCTTAATTCTCTACAATACATCAGTCAAGTTTAGGTCAAATATATTAGGTGTTCAATAAAAAATGAACAATCTGCTTGTGACATCCTGACAGACACTATTGGAAGTTTTTCCATTCCGGGTAATAAGTTTTACCATTAAGAATCCGACTACATGACAGGCAATATCACTTTGTTAACAGCATCAATGGAAGAACTAGGCTTTTTCTGTCCGATGATAGGCAGGCATGAAAAATTGATGAGCACCTCACGATTTTATCATTTATGGATGAATTTTTATCCCACACCATCACAGTGAACATGTGACAAGTTTTTAATGATTTGAATGCTTATTGTTTTTACTATAACATTGTAGAGCTCCAATGTATGATAGATGTATAAATAATGTCACATTGTTTTCTAACACAAGAACAGTAAAAAAATTTACTTTTTTTTGAGGATTTTAAATTATTCATCATATTCAAATTCAAATTCAATTGAAGATGAGACCCATTTCATAGTAAGTTGTCCTTTATATAACGAACAGAGAAAATTATTATGGGATAAAGTAAACAGTTTTTGTAATAATTTTAAAGAATTACCCAAGGATAAAAAATATTTCTGGCTGCTACAAATGAGCATTTACCAACTCTTATGTGCCTAGGCAATTATATAATTAAGTGTTTAGAAATAAGATCCAGGTGGATACAAAATATATAAAATAATATTTAATTATTATGAAATTATTGTTATAGTTATGTAAGACACATGATGTGTTAGGCTCTGATCCTGTCCAATATATGATAGTATTATATTAGGATCTAGTTTTTCTTTTTTCCAATCATATTGTGCTTAATATTGTTGTAAATGATGCCCTTTATGGGTTCTTGATTAGATTAATAAAATTCTTATTTTATAAAATTCTTATCTTATTCAACTAGTAACAAATTAAATAATATGTGAAAATAGTCTTTCTAAATAATTAATTCACATGTCTTTAAGTACATATAAGACATAGAAATTGTTAGACCATATATACCAATATTGATGCAGAAATAAATGTTTTCATGTTAAGATAATTAGCCTTATGAAAAATTGATGAGCACCTCACGAGCTGATGTTTGATGTTTGAAATATGAGCCAACAATTCAATCAAGCATTGAATTTGAACATAATGCATTTGTTAAGTTTCCTGAGTATTCTGAGTATTAATCAAATGTATTGACTAAGTTTGAAGATTCACTTTACAAATCTTATAGAACATCAATCCTCCTAACAAGAAACAATATCTTTTGTTTGAAAATCGACTTTTCTACTTGAAGTAAAAATATGTCATCCTGGAAAATCTGGCACCAAATAATATCATTACAAGACAATTGCAAAAGAGCAATAAAAAATACAGAAGAAAACCTGGCACCAAACATCATTGTGAGACCAAAGCAACATAGCAACAGAAATCATACTGTAAAAGTGTAAACTGTTACCATGTATAAAATATAACAAGTGAAACTGTGAGCTACTGTTCACTGATGATATCCCTGCCCAAATACTTGACGGTAAACAGGAAGTTGTTGAATGCTGAATCTGAAAACACATCACAGGGTATAGCTGACTTATATAAACCCTGAAACAAAATTTCAGAAACCCTTATGATGTAGTTCCTGAGAAAAATGCGACAAAATATATTCATGGGACAGACAGACGGATGGACGGAAGGAAGGACAGACAGAGGTAAAATAGTATACCCCCACTTTTTTTTACTAGTAAGATCAAGTGCCGGAAATAGATATTTATATCAATAAGCACCCACACTGATGTTTACATTCAACAATTCACGTAACAGGTCTGACTTTTTTGCACTTAAGGAAAGGAACATGATGAAAGATATAATTGATAATAAAATGCTTCGCTGGGCGCAGCTTGATACGACCGCAGAGGTCGAACCCTGAACAGTTGGGGCAAGTATGGACACAACATTCAAGCTTGATACAGCTCTGAATTTGGATTGTGATTAAATATTTGACACAGCATAGGTTTCTGACACAGAAAGAATGTGGTCTAAGAACTTCAATTTTTTTAATTTACCTATTATGGTCCAATGTCCAAAATCAAAATACATGGTTAGATTCAGCATATCAGAGAACCCCATATATTCAATTTTTGTTGAAATCAAACAAAGTTGAATTTTGGACCCCAACTTGGACAAACTTGAAAACTGGTCCCATAATCAAAAATCTAAACACATGTTTAGATTCAGCATATCAAAGTACCCGAAGAATTCAATTTTTGTTAAAATCAAACTAAGTTTAATTTTGGACCCTTTGGACCTTAATGTAGACAAATTTAAAAAACGGGACCCAAAATTAAAAATCTAAAAACACGGTTAGATTTGGCATATCAAAGAACCCCAATAATTCAATTTTTGATGAAATCAAACAAAGTTTAATTTTGGACCCTTTTGACCTCAATATGAACCAATTTTGATAGCGGGCCCACAAATAAAAAATCTAAATACATGGTAAGATTCAGCATATCAAAGAACCCCATATATTCAATTTTAGTTGAAATCAAACAAAGTTTAATTTTGGACCCCAATTTGGACCAACTTGAAAACTGGGCCAAAAATCTAAAATCTGAATACATGTTTAGATTCAGCATATCAAAGAACCCCATATATTCAATTTTTGTTGAAATCAAACAAAGTTTAATTTTGGACCCCAACTTGGACCAACATGAAAACTGGTCCCATAATCAAAAATCTAAACACATGTTTAGATTCAGCATATCAAAGAACCCCAAAAATTCAATTTTTGTTAAAATCAAACTAAGTTT